AATGGTCCACATTGCGTACAGGAATCATTATCTACAGTTATTATCACCATAACCAACAACTTTCGGGGTTTCAGGTCGATCACGATGGCGTGAGGAACACAAAAAAATGTTAATTTACCAATCCATTCTAAAAATTTAAGTCTCAAGATATATTAAAGACTCAACATATTATGATAATTTTAAATGGAGATAAAAAGTGTAATTACAGGAATTTGAACTCAGGATCTCCCGCTCTGATACCATATTAGTTTACCAATTCATCTCAAAAGCTTAAGCTGTTATGAGACATATTAGTTTATCAATCCATCTCAAAAGTTTAAACTGTTAGGAGATGTGTCAACAATAATTTTATACTTTAACAGGGCTATACAGAATCTGATCCAGCCTGTCCACAGTAAGATTTCAATCCAACACAACATAAAATGTGATCCTACGGCTGTGGGTACTCCGAATTTGGCCGGTGCACCAGAGAAAAACTCCAAAAGAAAACATAAGAGTAATGCAGAGGAAAAAAAAACGGCAAAGTACCAGGATAACGAAATATTAATAATCGTCACATATCAAATATTTAAAGCAAATGTTTACCATAAAAAATAATGGCAGCTAACACATACTATAACGAAATAGAAAAACACTTAAACAAAAAGTACGATTCCCCAGCGCCATATATAAAAATAATTCCAGCACCACAATAAAACATAAAAAGTCATCACAATATATCAACCGTTTAAGGCAAATATAAGATCCCAGCAACATGAAGACGATATAAATTCTACCCAATAAGATTAACCGTAAAAAGCCACTGAAAGAGTAAAATAAACTATAATTCTAGCATGCAATATAATTTGAAAACATTATGTGCAATTTAAAGCATATTGTAGTTTGGTAACATAATCCAAAACGATAGATGCCATTTAAAGCATTGAAAAAAAAAATGTATGCCACAACATTTTGGATATTATTCTCATTTTATATAACAACTAAAAAAGTTAACAAAGTTTTTTTTTTTTTTTTTTTGCTTAGAGGTTTAGAAAGTTAGAAAGTTACTACCAAAATTTATTTCAATGGGAGTAATTACAAAAACATTATAGGTTTTATAAGCGTTTAATTATTGATCTGTTTATAGAATAAGAACATAATAACTTTAAAAAAAAAAAAAAAAAGAAGATTATGGTTAAAAATTAAAATTCGAAAGTGCCTTCACAGCACTCACGACCATGTAGCCTCGCATTGTGTAGGGTACATAATGCAAGATTAGATTACCTTATCTTTTCAATATGTATGCATATGGACGAATGTTGGTGTAACATATGAGCAATCATTATTTGTATTTTATTACGAAAAGGAGCTCAAATAATTTGGTATTTTTTGGCTAGCTAATTGTTTTTCTTGTCAAAAACATGGTTGGAGACTGGAGTAGATCATGCTTAGTATACAACATCCACTTTAACATTAAAAAAAAAAAAAAAATGAGAAAGTATCACAATAATCTACTTCTTCAAGTTGCATGTGTCTCCACTTTGGCGTAAAAATGGATTGAACAAGAACAATTAACATTTGAATGATTGAAATGATTCGTGTGTGTTATAAATTAGCGAAAAGATTATCAAAGATGATACAACAAACATTGGAACTTCATGACCAGCTGAAGATATATACATATGTAGTCGTCGTCTCGTTTATGTTGGTCACTAGCATATATTATAGCTGATCAAGTATTTTCAAAATGTATTGTGTGTGTATTCTTCCGCTATTTGTGTTTGGTTCAAAAATTCGTATCATGGTTCGTGACTCGTTACAGTGTTTTTTCTCACAAAAAATACACGTAAATCGATAATAATTCTAAATCATGATTCTGAATCCATCAACCAATTTAGTTGTTTCTGTGCTCTACTCGTGCTTATAAAGAAAGCAAAAGAATGTAAGAATCTTTGCCATATATTATTGTTGTGGTTGGAGAGGATTACTATACCCTGCCTAGCTACTCCACCAGCTGAACAGCAGCACTATCTTTATTTTCTTTGGCTTTTCATGAATGTCTTTTTTTCCCATATACTTTGTAGCATATGATTTGGCTTGTTATATGGAATATTTAAACGTTTTTCCTACCTAATACAAACAAAAAATTAGTTCACGCCACATATATGGAAGACAATTACTAAAGCAGCTTTTTGAGAGTTTTTTAGGGATTTCAAGGCTTGAAAATGAAATCTTTGTGCTTTTATGAGAATTGAGTGGGTAGGTGGTGGTGGGTGAGAAGGGCTTATAATTAATAAGGAAAGAAGCTTGTGCACTCATCTAGTGTATTTGTATACATTCAATCTTTAGGAAATGAGATATTTAGGAAATGTTTCATGATTTTAGTGTGGATTGAGTTTTGTTTGGGGTCCTTAAAGATTCAATTTTTCTGGCATGTGACAAAACAAATTTAAGATTAAAAAAACTAAGGGCCCGTTCACTTCGCTGATTCGAGTTTAGAATTCGAGTTGAGATGTGACTTTATGTGAGAGCTTTTTACTGTAGCAAAAAAGTTAGATGTGATTGTTTGTGAGAGCTTTTTACTATAGAAAAACTCAAATTCTAAACTCGAATCAGCGAAGTGAACGAGCCCTAAAATATCCTAAAATTTTTCTCCCCTCTTTCTTTCTCTTTCCTTTTCCAACCGTCACTTGTCCTCTCCGTTCATCTTCTCCTTCTCTCCTGCATCTCTGCAGGTCGCCACAGTGGTCAAGCTCTCTCCGGTTTTGACTAACTCCATACTTGGATGATGAAGGGAGTACATCTTCTTCGATGGAATGATGTAGCCAAGACAGATCTGAGCGCAAAGGATGTCGGCTCGTCTTGATCTCTTCTCCTTGCCGAGCACTGAGATCAATAGCGACTGCCTGACCACGGACGATGACCGTTAGTTTTTCTCCGCGGGACTTCGCCACATATCTGATAGATTCACTGCTCGCCGTTGTCGTGCGCTAGTGGACAGCGGCTCGCTGTCGTCTATTCTCACATTTCGTGTTGTTGTTGTTTTTCTTTTTTATACGAATCTATTTGTAGTATTAAAAAAATTTTATATATCTGTGTATTTTGTGGATTTTTTTTGTTTCTATGTATTATTATGTGGATAGATCTGTGTATTTTGTGAATTTTTGTGTTGTTTTCTATGTATTTTTGTGGATTTTTTATAGTTTTCTGAAATTTTAGGTATTCTGGCAACTACGACAGCAAGATTTCTGCTAATATCCGTGGTTGTTGGCCGGATACCGGCAACTATTGGCCTGATCCGATGAGTATCTTGGCCATATACTAGTATCGTTGCCGGATGCCGGCCGCTATCTCAGCCGGATACTGATATCATGGCGGATGCCAATCAATATCTTTGTCGGATGCTGGTCGGTATCCCAATATCTGGCCGGAGACCTACCAATATCCTATGCATATATTTAGGTCCCGTTCACTTCGCTAATTCGAGTTTAGAATTTGAGTTTTTCTACAGTTAAAAGATCTCACAAACAATCACATCTAACTTTTTTGCTACAGTAAAAAGCTCTCACATAAAATCACATCTCAACTCGAATTCTAAACTCGAATCAGCGAAGTGAACGAGGCCTTAATATTTCAAATATAGTGTGCTGACATGACTGTGATATTTTATGCAATAATTTGTCCCTTGGCATAAGTTAATCCCACTCTAAAACTTGTGGTATTCTTGTAAAAGGCACAAAAGAGTATGGTTTGGAGACTTCTTAAGGGTGAAAATATCATTGTCAACTATCTACTTGGGGCCTGCTCACTCCATGAATTAATTAGCCTTAATTTACAAAGTACTTATTAAGTTGTTCTTGAAAACTAATATCAAAGGCGATAGTAGAATTAGATATATACTTGCGGCAAGTATTTTGTCGATGAAAGATGTTAACGATAATTAACATGCAAATGATCACATATAACATATTGTGTCGTTACTTATAATTACTTTGACATATTTTATCATGTATCATTAAATGCTGAAAACTTGGTACTTTGTTTTCATCATCACAAATATATAAAAATTAATAGCAATGTTGCTCAGAGTTAAAAAAAAAAAAAAAAAAAAAGTTGTTACTCGTGATCATCATTTCATCACGAGGCAAGATAAGAATGGGAGAAAGAGATAAATATGTCAAGATTTGAGATGAATTAAAATTAATAGGTCAATAGTTTACATAAGTTAATAAATAGGCCAAATTACTGTTTTTGCCCATAACTTGTCTGGTTATAAACCATAACTTGACAAGTTATTGTCTATAAATCACGGTTTTTGTCCATAACTTATCTAGCTATAAACCATAATTTAACAAGTTTGTTTATAATCTATCTGATTATGAACCATAACTTGACAAATTATGACCTATTAATTTTTATAACTAAAAGTTAACTTATATACTTTCTTAAGCTTTTCATATTGACATATTTTTTACTATTTTCGGATAAGAATTTGCATTATTATTAGCAAAGAGAGAGAGGTATGAGTGTGGCATCTACGTCCAAGATACTCCAGCCCCACTCCTCTATACCTACTTTGTCGTGGCCCTTTCAATTTCATATTGCAAAGCCCATGAAAAATCCTACCTTTTCCTTTCTTTTCTTTTTCTCTCATCACGATATACCCATTTCACTTTCCAATTGACTTATCAAACAAAGATTTCTTTTTAAAAAAATATATATACATATAAAGTAAAAATACATACATTTGGTCAAGTCTAAATTAGAACGATACATATGTATATTTTTTTAAAAATATATATAATTTTTTTAAAAATATATATGTTTTCTAAAAATATATATTTTCTCTAAAAATATATACATGAGTATTTAAATAAATTATAAATATCTCTTTACATTAAATATATTTTAAAAATATATATATTTAAAAAAAAATATACGTATGCGGCTCTAATCGGCGACGGAAACAATTCTTATAAATGTATATACTTTTTTCAGATAAGTATCATATGCAATCTACACCCATATCCATGTACTTACTCTCTGGTCAATTATCAGCTCCATCATAATAATTAGAGTTCGTTGAGATCCATCGGCCTGAAAAGATAAAGAGAAGCTCACTGCTCATACACACCTTTATATACATATATATATATATATACACACACTTCATATGCATTTTTCTTCCGTTTTGGTTATAAACTTTTTGTCCCTGGGAAAGCTAGAGAAACATTGATAGAAAAAGAGGAGAGAGAGAGAGCTTGGAGGTATAAGAATTAAGGAAGGAGAGAAAGAAGTGTTTCAGAGAGAGATTTGCTGTATGTCAGCGGAGTGCTACTACAGACGTGACAACTACAGCGGTGGATACGGTGAGCTTGCTAACCCTTTACAATGGCCACAGCTCAGGAAAAGGCGACGCCTAATTCATCATCATGTTGCTTTAACGACTCCTCCTCCTCCAAATCTTCCAGTGCTATTGCTTCTTCTTCTTCTGAGAGAAGTCACCAGGCACTTGGCGATTGGAACAATATCGTCGTCGCCGCCGCCGCCGCCGCCGACCCGATCCGCAAATCGGCGTCAACGTCCATGGCTGCTCTCATCAGACCCGTAGACTCCCTCCAGGCTGATGACCCCCCCACCAACACTACTTCTGCTTCCTCCAAAGGTTTAAACTTTTAAAATCCAAAAAAAAAAAAAAAAAAAGATCATGTTGACTTTCACCGGCCTACCACCAATCCTTGCTTTTCTTTTTTATCATTATTATCTTCGTTGATTGGTTTTCTCACACTTGTTCTCAAGTACTTGGTTTTGTTTAGAATGTGGATCATTACTTAATTGGAAAAGGTGTTTTTTCTTTCTGTTTCTTTCCTTTTCTGATGCAAAATGACTAGATTTTGAGAATCTAAAGTGCTAATTTTATTTTGTGTGTTTGGTTTTGATTAGGCATCCCTGCCATGATGAGGGCTCAAACCAGTCACCCTTTGGACCCTTTATCTGCTGCTGAAATCTCTGTGGCAGTGGCCACTGTAAGGGCAGCCGGAGCAACCCCTGAGGTCAGTTGAATAACATTTTAAGGTGATTTGTTTCATTATTTTATACATGCTTGTGTGTGTGTGTGTGTGTGTGTGTGTATCTAGATGTGTACTTGTTCTTTTCTGCCTTGGATTTGCTGATTGAAAGAGTGAAATTGGTATTTTGCTAAGGTGAGAGATAGCATGCGCTTTGTTGAAGTAGTTCTAGTGGAACCAGATAAGCATGTTGTTGCATTGGCAGATGCGTATTTCTTCCCTCCTTTTCAGCCATCTTTGCTTCCCAGAACAAAAGGAGGGCCTGTAATTCCGAGCAAACTTCCTCCGAGGCAAGCCCGGCTTGTTGTTTACAACAAAAGGTCTAATGAGACAAGCATTTGGGTTGTTGAATTATCCCAAGTCCATGCCGCAACTAGAGGTGGACATCATAGAGGCAAAGTCATTTCATCCAAAGTTGTTCCTGATGTGCAGCCTCCTATGGTACATAAGTTTGATCTCTCAAATGTTCGGAATTTTTTTTGGTCTATGTGATGTGAGATACTTCTGTTCCTATGAGCCATACTAATTCCTTTATTTATTGTTTACTCTTATGTTTCCAACATCATTATGCTTGGTTATGCAAGAACAGGATGCTGTGGAATATGCTGAATGTGAAGCTGTTGTGAAAGACTATCCCCCGTTTCGCGAAGCGATGAAGAAGAGGGGTATTGAGGATATGGACCTTGTGATGGTTGATCCATGGTTAGTTACAGAATTGAGATTCTCAATGTTGGGTGTGAAATTGTTTTTATTCAATTGGGGCTTAACTTCTTTTTACAGGTGTGCTGGATATCATAGTGATGCTGATGCTCCTATCCGAAGACTTGCTAAGCCGCTTATCTTCTGTAGAACTGAGAGTGACTGCCCTATGGAAAATGGTTATGCCCGTCCGGTTGAAGGAATCCATGTGCTTGTTGACATGCAAAACATGGAGGTCCTCGAATTTGAGGACCGTAAACTTGTTCCCCTGCCACCTGCTGATCCCTTGAGAAACTACACCCCGGGTGAGACTCGAGGAGGGGTTGATCGAAGCGATGTGAAACCTTTACAGATCGTTCAGCCCGAGGGTCCTAGTTTTCGTGTAAATGGACACTTTATTTCCTGGCAAAAGGTGCTTGCTCATTTGGAATAGATCACTGGTTATCGTTAGATTGTTATGTCACATTGATTTAAAACCATTGTTTTGTTACTGCTTGGCAGTGGAATTTTCGTATTGGCTTCACTCCTAGGGAGGGTTTGGTTATTTATTCTGTTGCGTATCTTGATGGTAGTCGGGGCCGAAGACCTGTGGCTCACAGATTAAGTTTTGTTGAAATGGTAGTCCCTTATGGAGATCCAAATGATCCACATTACAGGAAGAATGCTTTTGATGCAGGGGAAGATGGGCTGGGCAAAAATGCACATTCTTTAAAGAAGGTCAGGGACTCATATTACGTTCTTTCTATGTTTCCCTCACTTTTTCATGCCATTATCTTTGTTGGATTCTTTGCATTTTCGATGTTGACACGATTCTAGTGTTGCAGGGTTGTGATTGCTTAGGCTATGTAAAGTACTTTGACGCCCATTTTACAAACTTCAGTGGTGGTGTTGAGACAATTGAAAACTGTGTTTGCTTGCACGAGGAAGATCACGGGATCTTATGGAAACATCAGGATTGGAGAACTGGTTTAGCGGAAGTTCGAAGGTCTAGAAGGCTGTCAGTCTCCTTCATTTGCACTGTGGCTAACTATGAGTATGGATTTTTCTGGCATTTCTACCAGGCAAGCTAACACTGACTTTATTACATTAGAGTTTTATGCTCTTGGAACGGTTTGCTTCAATGATGCTTATCAAGATTTGCTTTACAGGACGGGAAAATTGAAGCTGAGGTTAAGCTCACAGGAATTCTAAGTTTAGGAGCACTTCAACCTGGGGAAACCCGTAAATACGGCACAACTATCGCACCTGGACTATATGCGCCCGTTCATCAACACTTTTTCGTGGCCCGTATGGACATGGCAGTCGATTGCAAACCCGGTGAAGCATTCAATCAAGTGAGTTCATGTCTGTTTTTGAGTCTTTTATCTGTCATAAATTAATGTTCGTCAAGCCCTTGTAATTCTGCCTGTAAAGCTGAGCATTCTCACAAGGGATTCACTTTTTTTCTTTTTTTTTTTTTCCCTCTAGGTGGTTGAGGTGGATGTTAAAGTTGAAGAACCAGGAAATAACAATGTTCATAACAATGCATTTTATGCAGAAGAGACACTGCTGAGATCAGAGCTGCAAGCTATGCGAGATTGTAATCCTTTATCTGCTCGCCATTGGATTGTAAGATTCTCTATCAATGTTAAAGCTTTTTCTCATCATAAATTTCCTTCTATTCTCATTGTTCCTTTTAAGTTCTTCGAAATTGTTACCATTTAGGAAATGATTTTGATTAAGCAACATGTTACATGACACTGATAATTGTTAAACAGGTCAGAAACACAAGAAATGTCAACAGGACTGGTCAGCTAACGGGTTACAGGCTAGTACCCGGCTCAAATTGCTTGCCATTGGCAGGTTCTGAGGCAAAGTTTCTGAGAAGAGCCGCTTTCTTGAAGCACAATCTTTGGGTCACACCATATGCAAAAGATGAAATGTATCCAGGAGGAGAGTTTCCCAACCAGAATCCACGCGTTGGCGAGGGATTGGCTACTTGGGTTAATCAGAACCGATCACTCGAAGAAGCCGATATTGTTCTTTGGTAAAGTTCCCTTCCCCTTCTGCTACTTTGAAAGACATGATATAGAGTAAGTGTGTGAGTCAATGTATGCCATTATTTTTCAGGTATGTTTTTGGAGTGACACACATCCCTCGCTTGGAAGATTGGCCTGTTATGCCTGCGGATCGCATTGGTTTCATGCTCATGGTATTCCACTCAACCTTACAAGTTACAACCATAAAACATCATCACTTTTGTTCAAAGTTCACAACTTTTTACATCTTTTATAAAGCGAATTCGGTCTTATGTCAAGCATTTCAGTTGAACAGTAGAGAACAAACTGAAAGATTAATGCTTTTGTACGGATTGATTAACCAACTTTTTAACACCCACTCTCTCAACATTCGTTTATTGATAGGTATCTTAAAAAGTATCATGTTAATTAGTACTAAAATATTGAATTTACCAATTAAAACATGAAAACTCACTTATGCGGTTATGCCATGAGTTGGTATTAAAAAGTAGGTGAAAAAATTGATACATCTAGCATTACTCAAAAAAGAATGTCGCTTATGCGAATATTTTTGACAAAATATCTCACGATAAAAAATAAAAAAAAAGGCAAACATGGGTTTTCTTATGAAGATAATATCTATAAAAAAAAAAAAAAAACAGATACAGTAGTAAATAACATATTTATGAAATTAAATTAAGTAAACAACATATTTTAAAATTATTAAAGTAAATAGTAGTTTATTGTGTAAATTTTTCATTTACGACTAGAAAAAAATAATTTACGTAGTAAAAAATCTTTAGTTATGTGGAAAAAAATCTTTTTACAAGTCACAAAAAGAAAATTTACATGGGAAAAAAATCTTTTTACTAATCATAAAAAGAACATTTATACAATAAACTGTGGTTTATTTCAAATAGTTTTAAATATGTTATTTACTTCAAGTATTTATTATAAATTTGTTATTTACGTCATTCTCCCAAGAAACAGAAATTGCTATAGATAACCCATTTTTAAAATCTATTTTAAGTAAATATTGAACTTTAATAAATTAAAAAAAAAAACACTTTTTTTAAAAAAAAAAATTAGCTTTTGGTAAATCATCTATTGATTTTTGTTTGATCATGGATTGATGTTGGTAAGTAATTGATCGATTTTTTTTTTTTGGGTCAAATTATTAATTAGTTATTTGGTTTTGGCAAAAAAAAAATCGATGATTTCCCAGAGTCAATTTCTTTATAAAAAAAGGGATACTTTTCAATTAACAAAGCTAGAGAATTTTTTTTTTTTTTTAAAGTACCTTTAAAAAATGTAATTCTTGCATAAAGAATTATTCAATAGACCGGGTATACCATGTCATCATACATATATAATACACCCGCCTAATAAAAAATTAACTGTTAGATAATTTATTTATGTTAATTTTATGTAATCTTGTTTCTCTTGCTTAATGTGTTTCACATTAATTGTTTAGTCAACACCATAAATACCTTACTAAGTTCTCTTAATTTTACTAACTTCATAGGGATATTATTTTTAAGTTCTTAAAATTTATTTTTACATTCAAATTAATTAAAGGTTGTAAACCGACACGTAAACCACTAAAACATCAAATCATGAGGGTTTTTTTTTTTAAGGATAAAAACTCCATTTTACTGATCAATACTAACAAATTGGTTTCCGTAAATTAATAACCCAAAATGTGGAAAGGGACGAAAAGTTATAGAGAGAAAACAGCAATGTGTTGTAGAATTTTTTTTACCCCATCAAAGGAAACTTCTTTTTAGTTACTTCAAAATTACAATAATATTAACCCATTGAACCTTCAACTTCTTGTGAAATACACTTCCACTTGAGTATAAAAACAAATAAATAATGTGAAATATGAATATACTCTATGCTTGTAAAAAATAGATTATGAAACCGACTTTAGTACTTATTTTCCTTTATACTTTGGAACAGGTTAGCTATGATATATGCATATTACACATATATATTCAAGAATACAGTAATAAACTGATTAATTTTTCACGTTAATTAAAATGTAGAAAATAGTTTTTTAAAGGAATAAAATAATATCATTAAAGTTAATTAATTTAAAAGATTTAGGTAAAATATTTATCATAATGTTGAGCAGAGCATTAATGTTAAATATATTAGAAAAAAGAAATAAGGTTACGTGGAATTAATGTAGATAAACCTTCCAAATGTCAAGTTTTTATTTGATGAGTGTATCACATATGCATGATGACGTAGTATATCCGGTCTGATTTACTGAATAATTCCTCCTATTGCACATATCCCAAAATAATAATTGTTTACTTGCTCTTTACAACATCAGCCACACGGGTTCTTTAACTGCTCACCGGCGGTGGATGTGCCTCCCAGTTCAAGCGATTTGGAATTGAAGGACAATGGGAATGGGGTGACAGCAAAGCCTATTCATTCTCAAAGTGGCCTGCTTGCTAAGCTTTAGTCTCATTTCATTGGCTTATGAGTTATTACTTATTGCCAAGTGAGCATTATTTAATATATGTATATATATATATATATATATATATAGGTTGCTATCTCTATTCTACGTAGTATGTGATGTTATCACATGTTGTTGGACGCATGTTCTCGAAGGGTTCTTTAACTGCTCACCGGCGGTGGATGTGCCTCCCAGTTCAAGCGATTTGGAATTGAAGGACAATGGGAATGGGGTGACAGCAAAGCCTATTCATTCTCAAAGTGGCCTGCTTGCTAAGCTTTAGTCTCATTTCATTGGCTTATGAGTTATTACTTATTGCCAAGTGAGCATTATTTAATATATGTATATATATATATATATATATATAGGTTGCTATCTCTATTCTACGTAGTATGTGATGTTATCACATGTTGTTGGACGCATGTTCTCGAATAAATAAATATATAACAACTATGCTTTATATACAATATATATATATATGTAAAATAATGTATGATGATATAAGATTGTGGTGTGGTATCGTATATGTTTGTTTATGGTTTTATTTATATAACTGTGTATATACGTATGGTGCTGGAATGTCCTTGTCGACCCTAAAGCTAAACAGCATGAACCAGCAAATGGTCGATTTCCAGAAGATTCTAAATCAGACTTATGCAGTTTCAATATTTGTACAATATTTTAAAAAGTTTATCTAATACGTAAGAATCCTTTATTCACCCGGAAATATTTTAAGGTTGCAGTAAATTAGAAAAAAGAAGAATTACATGACAGGGTAAAAATATTTTTATTTTTATTTATATAAATTTAAATTGTTAAATTTCATTAAATCTTCTTAAAATAGTAATAAATTGTTAAATTAGTTATTGACCAAGTTTAGATGCCAAATTAAAGTGCATCCTTTTCTTGGACAATACATGGAATGTCAATTCATAAAAGGTTAGGAAGAATTTAAGATCAAAATTTTAAATCAAATTTCTTTTTCAACCTTTTTTTTCCTTTTGAAAACAAGAATATTTTTCACTGATTAATATATATAATATATGAGTGTGGTTTTAGTATTTACTCCAATATTTATTCATCAATAAGTATTTTTATATTAACCGCAAGATATTAATTTCACGGTTGTAATAAATTAAACAGTTGATTAAAAAAATTAATGACAATTAATGAAATTAGATTCTTATCAAGCTACGTCTTTAAATTTTTATATTTTTACATTTAGAGGTGAAAGTTTGGACCATCTAGTCTAGCTAGACAACCAGAATGGAAATTTCAGGTCGGGTCGGGGCTGACCCTAAATGGAATAGGGACAACTTAGACCGACCCTAAAGCTCAAAAAGTTTAGGATCAGTCCGGAATTTTATAAAGTATTTTTAAAATAAATTTTTGAAAGAAGAGCGTTTGAGTTGGAGCAATCCGACCCAAATAAATTTTTAGATTTGAAACTTTGGTCCAGCCTAGCCTAAAAATTAGAGCGAGACCGGGTCTGAGTTAGGGCCAATAATAGTGGGTTTTAAACCAGCGGTTTAGCTCAGTCTAAACTTTCAGTTATATTTGCCTTTGGTGAAATGCGGACGCAAAACAAGGGTGACTTTGTAATAACTTTCAAATGCAATGCATTAACCAATTTATCAATTACTCAAGGGCATGCGTGGACAATTTCCGAAATTAGACGTAGAAAAGGGTATGGCTGAATTCCACGCACCTTCCTAGCGAGTCATGAAAGGCTATCCGGTTCCCTTCCTCAAACGTGCACTTCTTTCAAGTAAAGTATATGAACGGTTTCGAAATCAGGCAATTGACTCGTCACACCTCTTTATATATTCAGTTTAGTAACCCCACGCGTCTCGAGAAGCACGTCTCCGACACGAAGCCCTCAGTAAATAAAAATAAAATGGTAGAGAGAGGAGAGAGAGAATCAGAACTCAGAAAGAAGGAAGAAAAACTCACTCGACACAAAAACATGCCAAGAGGAATGAAAGGACTGAACATACCAACCAACCAAACAAAAAACAAACAAACCCCCCTCTTGAAACCTCCTTTTTAACTCGGATGATTGACTCGGTGTGGACTCCTGACACTCCACCACGTCGATCTCGTCTTCTAATGGTGCAAGGATTCACTTTGAATGCTTTAGTGGGTTGGCATTCTACCTGTGGGATATGATATGAAACCGAGAGAGATACTGTAAATTGAGATCCCGTTTATTTTATCGATTTTAATTTAAAATTTAAGTTTTACTACAGTAAAAAACTTTCAAAAACAGTCACATTTAATTTTTTTATTATATTAAAAAATTCTTACGTAAAATCATATCTCACTAAACAGACCATGAATAACTGGTTGTCTATTCAAAGGAAAAAAAAAAAAAAAAAACCTGGTTGTCTAAATACATCTGGAATAACTTCGCATTATTTTTTTCTTTTTCTTTTTTTTTTCTGGTGCTGATTTATATATATATATATATCCATATATATATATATATATCCAGAAATAACGTAAACTTGCTTGCATTGATAAAACGCAATAAAATAAACAGGCTTAAAATACTTTTTGTTACATATCTCTAAAGGCCAACTCACATATTGGTTACTTGTAGCCACCTTGCGATTTTTCTTGGCTAACTAACTTAAATTGGACTCGTGTTTTTCTAGATGTTCTAACTCGTTAACCGTCACCCTCCTGCTGTCTTCTTACCATTTATTTACCTTTTGGTGACGTTGACTTTAACTCACGAACTCTATATATATATATATATTATATATGGTCCTATACTATCATGTATTTCATCACATCTCAGAATAAATAGCATTTTTCTTGGAAAAAAAGCAACCAAAACAATATATTTTTTTCTTTCATAGAGTATAAAGTATTTCCCAGCACTTCTTGAGATACAATACACCTCAGTAAAAGATGATACAACATGACAGCTTCTGCAGCCACATCTGCTACAAGTGTTAAAAATATTGGCAAAGCTCCAATGGAGTAGGACCCCCGTCAGCTAAAAACCAAAATTATAACCTAATCATCAGCATTTATGATAACCTTGCTGAACGGCAGAAGCCGAATATTTACAGCTGAACACTTTTACAGAGAGCAAGATAGCCTTGAGCTGTAAAACAAACGAAGATAAAACCCGTTTCACTCGCGGCTAGAAGTCTTTAAAACATGAAGACTGTCCAACCAACAGCTATCTTTGTCCCTTTTCGTTTAAAAAAGCATCCAGAGGAACAACAAGACGACAACAGGGGAGGTTTGAAAGCAGCCTGAGAACACAGATTGTGGTAATACCGATTATGCTCTGATACTATGATACAGCTCGGAAAGATGAAGGAAAAGCATGCCAGTTGTCTGCAAGATGCACGACACGATCACGTGATGTTGCTGATAATTGTTGGAGAATCACATTCTTGACATGGGCTCCTCCCGTTTCCCCACCACGGCTCGCAAGTTCCAGGTATACTACAGCTTTAAGCATTTCTCCTTCCTGCCCAACAAGTATTACAATACAAAAAACAGTACGAAACTCAAATCACCCTTGCTATTCTTCATTTTTTTGGGACTTTCCCTAATAAGCCTCTCTACCGGTAGTGCCAGTTTCTAATTGTTGGATCTTGTCAAAATCACATTAGATTAAGAGCCCGTTTGTTTTAGGTGTTTAAACTTATAGTTTTGATTATGCTGCAGTGTTTTCCTCTCACGAAAAATTTAAATTTCAAATGTCAGAATCAAGAATCACTGGATTGAACGCATGAACCAAACGGGTCCTAAAAAAGTAGGTAAAACAGACAATTTATGATATAGATCTGACGTAAAAAACTACTGTTCATTCTTTTTTTTTATCCTACTAGAGAAACTCCCTTGTTTTTTTAAGGGCAGATCTTCGACTTACTCACAACCAATAAGACAAATTCTTGGAATAACCAAATTAATAATTAAACAAACATATCTAAAATGCTTTTAAACATATCGTGAAAAGCCAGCAGATTTTAAACTTTCACTATCCTACAAAGCTTAAGTCCTAGTTTACTCTAGGCTTTAGTTAAACTAGAAAATGAAATTTTACGTGCTTATTGTTATGTAACACGTACAGAAAAGAGAGCAAGCCCATGCTCAACTTGAGCTTTAGTATGACCGCAATCCGCTGCCCGCTTCATCCATTTTCTTCCTTGTCGATGACTCCGAACCAAACCTTCCCCAAAGGAGTAGCACAGAGCCACATTATACATGGCACGAACATACCCACCTTCCGCCGCTTTCATGTACCATCTAGCCTGTTTCAGTAGAAATCTTATGAGAACCACTGCCAAATAAATTATACAGAATAATCAATTCTCAAGTAAATAGTACTGCCACCCTAACAACTTAAGATCAAGGAATATCTTCATGGGCAATTCAATAATGAGTGATTGCATTACAACTTTACAATGCGCCTGAATTCGAAAGAAAAAGTCCATTTCTGAAACAATACTGAATGATTAAAAGAAATTTTTCTTTCGAAGAAAAAATGAACTCCATACAGCTGCTTGAATATCGTTATCCACCCCGCGGCCGTGGTGCAGACACAGAGCAAGCTGGTACTGAGCACGAGCATGGCCTGCCATGGCGGATTGGTACAGCCATCTAACAGCTTCTTTCGGATTCGAAGGTTCAGCTACAAAGATGATGACTCTAATTAGAACAGGACTGTAAAACCAAATAACAAGATTACTAATCTTAAATTCCAAAAAAAATAATAAACACTAAAATATTACCAAATTGACCAACTGATATTATCAACTAAATTTCAACTTAAAATTGTTTTGCATCCTATCAGCTAAATTGCCTTCAAACAAAAATAAGTTAGATTCTTTGCGGAACAAAAATAGAAACCTTGCAAATAAGAAACCCCCAAATTGAACTGTCCAGAAGGATCGCCAAGAGACGCGGCTTTCCGATACAAAGCGACAGCTTTCTCCTTCTTTCCAGTCTCCCAATAGAGAAGACCGGCGTCGACCATCGCAAGAGTCGAGCCACGACTCGCTCCCTTCAGGAATGAGTCGAGGGCCTTCTCCAAGTTAACCCTAACGCCGGCTCGGCCGTGCTTGAACCGCTTCCCCCACCGCAGCAGCACCATCGCCTCCCTCAGCGGCCGCAGCGCCTCGCACCACGACCGGCACACCAGCGACGCCGCCCGCAGGTTCGCCGCGCCGAACGACGCTGCGATCTTCGTCAGAACGTCGTAAGGGAGATCCGAGAAATCGTGGCCGTCTCTTGAAGGCAGCGGCGATCTCGATGATGGGAGTTTGCTGCTCCGGTGTTTCCTCGAGCGCTCGGCCTCCTTTCCGCCGTTGATGCTCGGCGGAGGGAGGACGGAGAACCGTGAGCCGTCCGATCGGCACGGCCAGGTCCTTTGTTTCATCTTTGTTTCCGCTCAGAGTCCAATTGAACGGATTCTGGAAAACGTTTTTGCAGCTCGGCGAAACGGCGAATGGCGGTGACCGATCTGGTTTTGTCAAAATCAGATTTTATTGAAAGTGAGATTGCTGTACTGGGGAATGTCCCACATTGATTCTCTATAGTCTTCCCTATCTATTTTAACCACAGTCTCCTGCATTTTACTTGTTCTCAAATAGCAATACCCTGTTCCAGTCTAATTCACGCGATTTTTGTTGTCCGTTCGTTAAGGTTGTGGTGGTGGACGCAGAGCTTGAAACGAGTTTTGAGCCCAATGGACTACTTTGTACACTGATTCACTTGTCCGTTGGGCTAAACTGAACGGGCTTAAGCATCTTAAGAATATGCTAAATTGCAGGGAAATGGTAGTAAATACCCTATTTTTAAAACTAAATTAAAACTATTTGGGCCTCGTTTGCTTCGCGGATTCGAGTTTTCAATTCGAGTTGTTATGTGATATTTTCTGAGAGCTTTTCACTGTAGCAAAAAAAGTTAGATGTGACATTTTCTAAGAGCTTTTTTTACTGTAGAAAATTAAAACTGAAAATTCGAATCGGTGAAATTAACAAGTCCTTGAAGTAAATAGAAGTTTAAGTGAAAAATAATTTTTTTATTGCTCGTAAAAAAAAAATTATTTGAAAATAAATATTTTTACTATCCGTAAATGATTCATTTATTACGTGCATTGCTATTTATTTTAAATAGTTGTTAAAATACATTATTTACTTAATTTAGATGAATAAATTTGCTATTTACTATATTCTTCTTAAATAGTAGGGAGTTATTCTAAAAAACAATAATAATAATAATAACAAAGGTTATGAGAAATTTACAAATTCTACTTTTTAAGTACCATACTTACTAAAAACACCCTTTTAAAAAATTTTACTTTTTGACTAGTTCTAGTTTAAAAGGTAAAAATATATGGGTTAATATCAAGGAGTAGAGATAAAAGGGGGTTACATTTTAAGGGATATTTTTAAAAATTGCCCATTTTTATTAAATTAAGTAAATAATATATTTTAAAACAAATAGTAGTTTACTTAGTAAACGAATTTATGGCTAGTAAAAACATACTTTTCATGTAAATTTCTTTTTATAACTAGTAAAAAAATTACATGTAAATAAATATGTTTTTAGATTTTTTACCATGTAAGTTATTTTTTACCAGTCAAAAAATGGAATGATTCATGTACTATGCAAACTGTTATTTACTTTAAATAGTTTTAAAATATGTTATTTAGGGTCCGTTTAGTTTATGTGTTTAAATTATGATTCATGATTATGACATTTGAAATTTAAATTTTTTATAAGAGAAAAACACAGTAATAAAACTAAGAATTATAATTTGAACTACGCAGAACCCTTAAACAAACGCACCCTTACAATTTAATTTCAAAATATGTTATTTACCACAATTTCCCTACGGTTAATATGGAGTTTGGGTCAGATGGCGTTTGGAAAAAGGTTGCGAGTAAGTATTGACATTTACATTGGAGAGAGAGTCTTTTATTCCAGTGGTGATGCAAATGTTTTTTGTTTGTAAGTTTCTTTATTTACTTTTTTCCCCTAAGATTTAAGTTCCTATTCGTTTCTTTTAATATTGGAATAGAGAAAAATAATCAATTTGGATCATATAATAATATTTTTCTACTGTTCTTTCAAATAATATATTACCATTAAATAATTTATTATCTAATTGGTCCCATTAAAGTTCTTTTTCCTAATAAAATTAATGTGTCCACTTTAATATTTTTTTACCAAAACTAAATTTTTAAGAAAATAGTAAAATAAGAAAAGAAATTAAAATTACAACTTAAATTTTTTTACTATAATATTTTCTCTCATATAATATTTATTTTATAATTTAAATTCTCAACTCAAGTATCCTGTAACTCCAAAGAAATACATTCACCCATCAAAAAGTTACAAACAGAATACGCCAGTGCTTCCAACTAGCACTAGCTATATAACAGGGTAATTATGGAAAAAAAAATTATTAAAAAAAAACTTAGAATTGTCATTCCTCCCATACAAGGAAGGAATGATGATTTATCCAAAATGGGTGAATGACCATTCTTTTTGAATGATCATTCATTTCTTATAAATCCAACTAAACATTAAACTATAATTTCATTCCATTATATTCCATTCCTTTCCATTCAACCAAACACACCCTTAATATTATAATATCATAATTATATAATAATAATTTTATTATATTATATTACATTTTATATATTATAATATTATAATTATATTAACAATTTTAATAATATTGTTATATTATATATCATAATTATATAATAATAATTTTATTATATTATATTACATTTTATATATTATAATATTATAATTATATTAACAATTTTAATAATATTGTTATATTATATATCATAATTATATAATAATAATTTTATTATATTATATTACATTTTATATATTATAATATTATAATTATATTAACAATTTTAATAATATTGTTATATTATATATCATAATTATATAATAATAATTTTATTATATTATATTACATTTTATATATTATAATATTATAATTATATTAACAATTTTAATAATATTGTTATATTATATATCATAATTATATAATAATAATTTTATTATATTATATTACATTTTATATATTATAATATTATAATTATATTAACAATTTTAATAATATTGTTATATTATATATCATAATTATATAATAATAATTTTATTATATTATATTACATTTTATATTTTATATTGATAGATAAAATATTAGTGTTATATATAGCATAAGGGTAAGTTTGTCAACATGAAAATATTCATGTTCCATTCCAAAAAAATTTTAAAAATACAACTAAACAAATGAATCAGTTTTTTTTTTTTTTCATTCATTCCATTCTTATTACCATTTTTATTCTCATTTCTATTACTATTACCATTCTTTCACTGTAACTAAACGCACTCTGAGAATTTTTAATTTTTACAGGATATCCTCAGTAAGGACATTTTTTTATTATTATTATTTTTACTTCCTACTTTGATCAACAATATGTGAATATATGTATAGGCGGAGTACTTTCATAATTTTGTGGTAGTTGGAATTATCTTAGCTAGCTAGCCTTGATCGCACCAAACGACATATTTTTATTATTATTATTATTTTTAATTCCTAGTTTGATCAACAATATGGGAATATATGTATAGGCGGAGTACTTTCATAATTTTGTGTTAGTTGGGATTATCTTAGCTAGCTAGCCTTCAAATGCAACTAGCTAGCTTTGCAGATAACTTCTCTCTCTCTCTCTCTCTCTCTCTCTCTCTCTCTCTCTTCTTTTAGGGGTGGGGGCTAAAAGGACGGTGGGCGATTAATGAAGTTGAAATGTTGACCAAAGACTGGGCAATAAGAAACAAGATGGGTCCAGTCAAAGTCGCCGGTGGACGGGTGGAGTATTTGAATTTGACACGCTGCACATTGAAACCCATTGGCCTTGGCAGACCCTTGTTTAAGTTGTTCGGTTGTTCCCCAATGCCCACCCAACAAAGTATTGTGGTAGTTTTTGAAGCACCCAAAAATAAAATAAAATAAAATAAAATAATCAAGAACAAACAATTGTTGTCTCGTTGCCCTCACAAGAACAATATCTACCCTTACGATTTGAATGAATTGGCCCCCCACATGAGAGCCAATCCTTGAGTTTGCCACTGGCTTAAATCATATATGTAATATATATATATATACACACACACACACACACACACACACACACACATGTATGTATGATCTTTTGCATGGTTCATGTGGTGAAGTTTACTCTCTGATCAGAATCCTTATGGTGATCTTCAATTAAAGATTCTAGAGAGATCAGATTCCATCTTCTTAATAAATTATTGCACTTATGTTTTTAAAATTATTTTGTAGCGTGGTTCTCACACTACCGCTCAATCCAAATATGATCCACTAGCAAGCATATTCTTCCACACTAACAAGTAACAACACAAGCTCTTTAACAATTATTCGCTCCTCAAAAATGTTAAAATAACACCAAAAGCGCACAAAACTTTAGTACTAATTGTATGTGATTGCTGCCATTTGTTTGTGATCCTCCCTCCTAGCTCCATGTGGTTTTGCCGATAATGGGGTTTCACTTTTTTACAAGAAAAAAAAGAGAGGGTGTGTTTGGAACTCGTTCTGAAATGATTTTATTTTTTTGTATGAAAATTGAAATGAAAACGCTTTCAACCTCAGAGAGAAATTATTTTTAAAAATGCGTTTAGTAGTTTTATTAAGAGATTATTTTCAGTATAAAAAAATCTATTAATGTCTCGAGAGAGGAGAAAACGAAAAAAAAAAATGAAAAACGACTAAAAATTATTTTTCATTTATCTCTCATTTTACACTAAATTAAAAAATTATTTTTATTTTTATTTTTATCGTGTCAAATATCATTTCTCTCCTATTTTTATTTTTTCTTTCTAAAAAAAAATATGAAAAACAAAAATAAAAACAACTCCGAACTCACTCAGCAGAGTTTTATTAGTTAGTAACCTAATCCAAAAATGACCCACTACGTGCCAAGTAGGATAAGGGCAGGGCACTGTTAGACGTGTTGAGAAACCATTGCCTTGAAGACAGCTCAGATCCCGAGACATACTTTTGTTTAATGAAGAAAATAAAGGCTGAGAGATTCGGTAAACCTCCCCTTGTCACACATCACACACACACACACACACACACTTGCTGAGCCAATTGTTTGGCATGATAATGCACATTCTCCGCTTGTAAACAAATGGGGTTCTCTTTTCGTTTACCTTTTGAGATAAACATTCCACTATAATATTATTACAAGACCCCCAATATTATATTACGTATAAAAAAACTATTATGTCAAAGTGATTTTGTCAATTATTGGTCCAGGCAAAGGCTTGAAACTTGAAAGTCATGTAATAGTGATTTACACAAAGAGGAGAGAGAGAAGAGGACCATTCAAGTGGCATAGGATTCTAATTATCTCCCTCCTCTTACCACATGTGTTTTGTCCTTTTATTCATGAGCCATCAAAAAAGCGTTACAGAGAGAACCTTCCCACTATCATCATAAGCGTCCGAGGTGGATGGGGGGGGGGGTCATGGTTGTGGAACATAATTTGAAAGGCCAAACTCCTCTAACGAGTCTAAAGACGAGACGATGGTAGAGAAAAAAGAGGAATTTGGTGCTATGGCTAAGACCGTTAATATATGAGAAACATATCGAGCGCGTTTGGAACTCGTTCTAAAATAATTTATTTATTTTTGTATGAAAATAGAAATAAAAATATTTTCAATCTCAGATAAAAATCATTTTTAAAAATACATTTAGTAATTTTTTCAAAAGATTATTTTCAGTATAAAAAAAATCCATTAATATCTCTCTCTCTACTCAAGAGATGAGAAAATGAAAATAAAAAATAAAAAATGACTAAAAATTATTTTTCATTTCTCTCTCATTTAACATTAAACTAAAAATTTATTTTTATTTCTTTTTTTTTTTAATTATACTAAACGCTATTTCTCTTATGGTTTTATTTTTTTAATCCTAGAAACTCCATAATATGTGGGGGTTTTCTTTCTTTTTTATTTATTTATTTTTTAGTGAGTCAATATCTATGCTATGAAGAGGCAGTTTCATCACCCATCTTCTTATCTACTTACACGTCGAAAAGGATAGAACCCTTAACTTTTTGTTTGATAACTTTTTGGCTGCTTAGCTAGATTTGATCTGCATGTGTCACTCTTACGCATGACAATGAACAGTACTAGTACTAGTACTACTACTTGTTCACAAAACAAGATCACAGCATAACGATGAGAGAGAGAACAACACCGTGGAAATGAACTCCAAAAGTAGAAAATAAAGAACATGATGAACATGATCATCACCATATCTCTCAACACTTTGGCTGTTTAGTTAGCTCGTAATTTGAATTTTTAATTTGAGTTGAGATATAATTTTATATAAATTTTTTTATTATAATAAAAAAATTAAATATAATTTTTTTTGAGAATTTTTTACTGTAATAAAATTTAAATTTTTTTTTTAAATGAACTAATTTCATTCAACACGAACAAAACTTATTTAAAAAATGATTTATTATAATGGTATGTCTAATGTATTAGTAGGTTAAGTTTTTTATCATTAATTATTTATATTTTTTTAATTTTTATGTGATTTTATACACATATTTAACGAATAAAAAATTAAAACTATGGTATGTTAACCCTATGAGAAGAGAAGGTCGCAATAAACAAAACAGTTGAACCACAAAAAAACAAAAAAAAACAAAAAACAAAAAAAAATCCCTCCAACTTGAAAATCTCCCCTCAAAAGATGGTATTTCCTCAGGTTGGTTTTGCCCCATCTTTGATCTCACAAAACGAACAAAATAGGGGGAAAAAATATGCATATATAATTATATATATGCAGAGAGAGAGATGAGAGATCTTATCATCATGCAACCAAATTAGGCTAACCAAGTTGGGCGCAGTGTTCATTTATTCATATAACGTATATATACATAATAACAAGTCACAACTCATCATCTTAAACTTTCTACCAAGGATCAAAAACCAAGATTTATAAGCCTAAAAAAAAAAAAAAAAAAAAAAGACTACGAATTAAGCAAATTAAGTTAACCAAAAAAAAAAAAAAAAAGAGTACAAGATGAGCAATATTCCTAAAGTTAATTAGCCCTTTCGACATGGCGTTTAAAGACGGTCTCCAAGTCAGGAGGCGTGAAGAACTCCCTAACCGCACCGTAATTGCACTTACGCGAAGCCTTCCTCTTCCTCGGCGCCGGCGGACACGTCAACCTCGTAGGGATTCTCGACTCTTCTCCGGTGGGAGTCGTCGGGGAACAGTCTTCTTCTCCGTCGTCATCTCCGCCGCCGTCGTGTTGATCGCGCTCCAGCCGCGGAGATTTTGTCTTCGTCGTGTAAACGGGCTTTAACGGAGCCCGTAACGGAATTCCGGCGATGACCCATTTTTTTGTCGTCGGCTCGGCATCCAAGGCCGCTGCTAAGTCCAGTTTCTCTGAAAAGCCCATATATTTTTTTTAAAAAAGAAAAGAAAATCTCTGAGCTTGAAAGTCGAAAAAACTGACGCGTTTCAGGTAATTATAACGAGGAAGCTGGGGATAGAATAAGGGAATAAAGGAATAAAGCTAACAGCTTTTACCTTCTTTTTTTTTTTTTTTTTTTCCTTTTGTTTCCTTTTCTCTATATGATCAGAAAGCAATGAAACTGAAACCAGAAGGAAAGATAGTAAAAGCCGGTAATGAGCTTGCTAGCAAGCAAAGATGAAAAAAAAGATGGGAAACAAGAGAGAGAGACGGAAAAAGAAAAAGCTTTTTGAGTAGTTTGTGAGGGAGAAAAGGAAACAGAGGGAAAAGGAGAGTAAGATACGGTTTTAAATGTAAGAAGAGAAGGAAATAAAAGGAAAGGAAAGGAAAGAAGAGTAATGTTTGAATGGGTTTTCTCCCTGTGTATTTTTATTATTAGTGTTCCAATCAGAAAGAGTCAGAGGAAAAGGAAAGAACCCGAGGAAACGCGTGACGTAAGCAGGGGGAGATTAAAGAAGAAGACTAAATAGGAGAGAGAGAGAAAGAGGAGAGAGAAAGAGTGGGGTTGCCCGTGAAAAATAGTAGACCGCGGGCAGGGTGTGATTGACCTGGATTTTGGCGCCTAGTTTTGAGGGTCTAGGGATCACCAACAGTCCTTAATTATTCCTTCTTTTTATAGCCATCCAAAGTCCTTCTACTTCTATTTTCATTCTTGTCCCCATTGCTTGAATTGGAATTTATGTCCGTTTAATTTGTTAATTTAAATTTTTAATTTAAATTAATATGTAATTTTATATGAAAATTTTTTAAGTCAGAGGAAAAGGAAAGAACCCGAGGAAACGCGTGACGTAAGCAGGGGGAGATTAAAGAAGAAGACTAAATAGGAGAGAGAGAGAAAGAGGAGAGAGAAAGAGTGGGGTTGCCCGTGAAAAATAGTAGACCGCGGGCAGGGTGTGATTGACCTGGATTTTGGCGCCTAGTTTTGAGGGTCTAGGGATCACCAACAGTCCTTAATTATTCCTTCTTTTTATAGCCATCCAAAGTCCTTCTACTTCTATTTTCATTCTTGTCCCCATTGCTTGAATTGGAATTTATGTCCGTTTAATTTGTTAATTTAAATTTTTAATTTAAATTAATATGTAATTTTATATGAAAATTTTTTATTATAATAAAAAAATTAAATATAATTATTTTTTAGAATTTTTTACTGTATTAAAATTTAAATCGATAAAATAAACGAGACATTAAATAAAGACTTTTCACATTTTTCATTTTTTATCTCCATTCTCTCTCATTTCCTTTTCTTTATTCAATGTATCAATTTTAAACCGTTAAATTTTATGTTTTTCTTATTTCCGCTTCTTATTTTATAATTTAAAAGTATAAAAATTGAATTCAGACATATTGTTAGATGTATAATTATTGAAAAGTTAGTGCATGCAATCACTCATTTTAGTGTAATTTAATCGTATTAAAAAGTTGAATTATTAGTAGAAATATTTACAAGAGAAAGCTGTTTATTTATTTTGAATTTTCTCTCTTTTTTACTTTCCTTTCTTCTTGATGATGATCACGTGTTTGCTGCATCATCTGAAATTCCAGATTCTACAGGTGCTTCTCCTAGAAAAATATACACACACAAAATGATATCGTCTTCTTGATTGCTACTTAAAAATTGAAAATCTTTTGGGATATGAACTTTAATAATCTTTATTCGAGTACTAATTAGTTAAGACGCATGAAGATATGGTCATTAGATTCCTCGTTCTATTTCTTAATCGATAATTTTTTTAATAATTTCTTGAGAATACCGGTGTTTTTTATTTATCAGCCGTTAAATTTGTATTATTTTTTAATATGATTTGATTTTTTTATCAAATTTAATACAAAATCGATGGCTAATAAGTAGTATTTTTAAAAAAGAAAAAATATCAGAGAAAGTCCTATTTTTTTTCTGAATACTATTTTCTAATTGAATTCTTAGATACAAACTAGATAATTTATATAAATTATTCGAAAAGAATTATCCATTTGTAAAGTAAGAGTATTTTTCTTCTCATTAATTATCATCCAATCATTACTAGACTATTTGATTTGATTTTAAAGTGGACTTAGAAAAATTACTATTCAAGATAAAATTAGATCAAATTTCAAAAGTTAAGGTAATGTTATATATATATATATATTTTTTTTTTTTTTAAATCCGAATAAGAACATACTCTGAGTTGAATTTTACGTTAAAGATGTGAACTTTATGCGTGTCGTGAATCACCACTTCATGTCTTTTGCAATCTCAGAACAGGAAACAGAAAAGTACTACACTTTGCTTTGTATGAGTGGAAAATGCGTAACAAGTTATGGCATGTGAAAATAGAGAATCGTCACTTTTCCTTCAATCTAATAAGCTGTGATGTGGCATTGGTCCCTTAGCTTTATATTTATTTTGTTTTTTAGGCTAATGATTAAGACATAATTATGCCCCCAAAAAAAAAAAAATCATCCTTTTGTTCGCGGCATGTGACACGCCAATTCATTTTTGCTGAAACATTTTATTCAATCACAACTATGATTTTGCATTTTGAATAAACTGCTTGGCAAGAAAGAGGGTGTAAGAAGGAAAGAATTTAAAAAGGTACTTTTTCTTTTTTTTTTCTTTTTTAATTGTTAGATATATCGCATAATAAGTTTGATGCTTTTTAGATTTTATTGCAGTCCCATGAATCATCATGGGGCAGAACAGGAACTATATGTCAGTCTTGCCATCTCATGGTTTTGGCAGATGTGGGAGTGATGTTTCTTTCAGCTTTACCTGTTTCTTTCAACCAAACAGTACATTTATAGGCAGATTTGATTTATTTTACTAATTTAAATTTAGTATTTAAATTTTATTACAGTAAAATTTTTTAAAAAATAAAAATTTAAATAAACGAATTAAACGTTCCATAATTTTTGTGAAGTGTAGGTACAATGTTGCCCGTAATACACTCACAGGTCGGAATTAATCAAAACTTGGTGGGAGAAAAAAAAAAGGAAAAAAAATAGATTTTTACGTTAAAGATTTGAAAAAATAAACTACATTTTTGTATAAAAAAATTATTTATTTTGTATATTTTTATTTTGATATAATTTTAACTAAATTCAACAGTTAAAAATATGCTTTTATCATTACAAAATCTTATTGTATTTTTGAAAAAAAAAAAAAAAAAAAAAAAAAAAAAAAAAGAAGAAGAAGCTCTTACACCATCCTTCTATGATCAAGGTTATTTGGCTTTACCAAATTGTTTCTATTAAAAAAAAAACCAAATCTCCTCGAGCAAGAAACTTGTCCCTCTTTACTAAAGCCTCTTCTGAAGTAATGGATATTCTCAAGTTAATGCGCTGTTCGTTTTGGGTCTTGCATGCATTCTAGATCAAAGTTAGAATTTAGTCCCTCAACAATTTATAGTAAAGGTTTTGAGATAGATACATAATAAAGACAAATAATGTGTGAGGACAGTCTTCAACAGAATGAGGTTTATGGACCGATTGAGAAGTATAAAATAGCAAGAAAATGGTGGGGATAACTATAAATACAACTTGATTTTGAAGGATTTTTCACATCCTTGAATAACCTCTATGGTCTTCATATTGCTCCATGAACTCATCATTGAACTTCTTGAAACTCTCCATGATCGCCGGCATGTCTTCCTCCGCTGGCAAGATGGTTGTCCTCAAGTGGAACATCCTGCATCGTGGAAAGTTAAACCAGTCAGACAATTACATATTTGATTGGTTAAGTACAAACCAAGCATCTAAATTTCTAGTTAAGAATAGATTAGAGAAGATTAAGTAATAAAGTTATTACCCTTCTTTCTGCCCAAAGCCTGAACCAGGAACAGTGGAAATGCCAGTGGCTTCCAGTAGCTTGAGACAGTAGAACACATCTGGAACTTTTCCGGCCCTTTTAGCAGCCTCGATGGCTTTTGGTGGCAAACGAATTTGCGGGAATGAATACATAGCACCTAAAACCAAATTTTCATTTTGTGATTACCACACCTTATATTCAGGAAAACCTTGAGAAACTATATGTGTGTGTGTGTGTGTATTCTTTTTTTCCAAGTCATTGTATAAATTTGTTACCTTCAGTGAAATTACAGACTACATTTCTGCAGCTGTTAAATCCATCAGTCATTATACTTGCTCTTCTCCTTAGTGATTCAAGGATCCCTTTGCTGCGCGTTTTACACAAGTCAATATCACTATTATTTGCGGCTCAAAGAAAATCACTTTTTGATATAATGGAAGATAAATGTAACAAAATTCAGATCATATCATGTCTTACTGACTTCGAAAATGAAAGAGGTAGGGAGATTTGATAGGTGCTTTATGAAAAATTGTTATGCATTAGAAGTAAATTTTTATGGCCAATAAAGTTAAACAGTAAATTTTGGATAAGCAAGTAGTCTTAGATCTTGGCTACGATCAACCTTCGAAATGAAAACTGTTTATTGTTCATTTCTATCCAACTAACAGAAGCAAAAACATTAACATATATGGAATTGAAATTCAGCTGGTATACCTTTCTCTGACATATTGCTCGTATGAAATATCTCCAGGCCTGGGAGGGTTGACCATCAAACCCAACTGTAAACGGGCAGAGAAGCGGAAAATTTCACACTAACATAATGGTTTTGAATGTAAATTGGCAAAATCAAGATTTAGATCTCACTCACAAATATCTGTGCAGGAACATTTGGACTCAGTGATATTGAGGACACCTTATAGATCTCATCAACTGTCTGCACAGCAACATATGAAACGAAATGGAAATGAATTGGTGGTCTAAACATAAGACAAATTTAAGAATACTAACCAGTTGAATTTCACTTCACAAGTACGTAAAAGCGTCTTGTAAGAGGAAAATGAAACAGATAGAAGGCTAAAAGATGTGCTAAACAAGTAGTGAATTTCCATATTAGCTAGCAATTATTATAACCTTGTAATCCACAGACTTCTCTTTTAACGTTCTCTTTTAACCTTCCTTTATGTAAATCCACAGACTTCTTAGCTTATTGTATTTATTCTCAAGTCTAGGTCCTATTTTGTTTCCACTTTCCTAGAAATTAGAAAAGAAGTATCTCAAATATCTAAAATCCCCAACTATCAAGAAGTGTATGAACACCATTTCACAAGGGATGGAGATACAAACCTCCGGAGGAATGTTGGTCATCTCAAAGTATCCACCACGCTGACCGCATTCACCCCAATATCCTTTGGACACAGTGTGGAAAGAAATGAGCTGGACCTCCTTGCTTATTGGTGGCCCCATATCCAGCAATACCTTCAATTTTTATCAGAATCCAAAACGAAAATTTTTTTTTAAGCCAGGAAATAAGCAACAACTCTTACGCTTGGCTCTAATGTCACAAGATTATACCTTTCTTGAACTGATAAAGGGACGCTCGTCCTGGTATATATTCTGCTGATAAACCTCATCTCCGAGCAATACTAGGTTTTCTTGGTAACAGAATTTTAATATTTCTCTCAAATTGGCTTCACTGAGACATTGACCAGTAGGGTTGCCAGGGTTTATAATCACCATTGCTCTCACCTAGTCATAATTCATTATAGATTTAGAACAGCCATTGAACACACCAAAAAGGAGTAAATAGGCAAACAACTATTTTAAGATGAAGTAATAATCAAGACGGGGACACTATAATTTAACAGCTAAATTCATTCTCTTAGGCTGTTCCAAGAATACTCACCGTTATTCCCTTAGAGCGAGCCTGTGCAACCGACTGCCGAAGGTCATCAACATCAAGACCCCAGTTTGCAGTCTCCTCTAGGTAATATGGAACAAGAGAACCACCAAATAGAGTTATTGCAGCCGAGTAGAGTGGGTATTGTGGGACAGGAACCAAAATCTGCCAGAAAAAAAGTGAAATTAATTTAAAGGGAGATAGAATTCCTACATGAGAAATCCTAAAGTAGCCAAGAAGAGACAATTTATATGAATAAAAATAAAGCTTTATCAAAAGAGATAACAGGTTGGCAGTTACCCCATCTCCTTCACCGCGAATGATAGTGTTTAACATCTGCATCACACCTTTGCTAGCACCATCCGTCAGAAATATGAGTTCAGGGTCGCTGTCATTCAGAAAATACAGCGAGAACACTTTTAGTTTACAACTTGAACCAGATTTAACAACTCTATTGTCTCAAAGAAGTTGGCAAAAAAGAAAAAAGTTATAACCTTGGATATCCATCACGCCTTCCAATGAACTCCGCGACTTCCTTCCTGATCCCCGGAACGCCTCGGGAATCACTATAGGCACCTAGTTACATGTAGATAGCGAATCACCATTCACTTTGGACAACCCAATAAAACAGTTTCAAAAATGCTATTCTATTGTGATAGTAGAAAGTTTGTCATTCAATACCATGCACACTAAGATGATTCACTCAAATACAAATACATGATAGTAAAGAAAACATGAGTTTAGATAAAGAGATACCTAGACCACCCGAAGTCAATGAGAGATAATGTTTAGCTCTTGCAATTGCATCAGCAGGGAAGAGAAGTCCCACATTAGGATCATCTAAAAGAAATGGAGCTTGGCACAGAGCAACCACCTGCAACAACCATTTATTAGTCAACACAACACCAATTCTACACACTAGACTTGCAGCCATTAGAACTCGAAACGAAAAAAGACCAATCAACTATTTTGCAATACCTGGCGAGGGAATGTCAGCGGCTTCTGTCCTAGTGCGTGAGGGTTCCCAACATTTGTGAAGATGATCTATGAATGAACATCAAAATTTTATGTGACAATGAGACATTAAACCTTGGAACCCTGGAAATTAGTCTAGCAATAATATATATATATATATATATATATATATATAGGATTGGATCTACATGGGTACCTTCTTTCCTTCCTTCTGGAGCTCAGATGCTCGAAGGTACAGTTCACCTCTGACAGCATATTGAGTTTTCTTTACGTTTTCATTGATTGACTCATAGTCTAACGCCTTCAGAGGCATGGTGATAAGCTTACCTCCTTACAAAGTATATTCTGATACGATTCAGGAGGTAAAGACAGCAAAAGCTGCTAGTTCCTAACCTGATACATTACAAAAAACAACAGAAATGTTTTTAAAAATATAATGAAGTCTTCCCTTGATACAATAGAATAAAATAAAATAAAATAAAACTATGAACGAATCAAATAGTTATAACCGATGTTTGGCATACACAGTATAACGGTTTATTTATATTTTTATTCTTGGACGTGACAAAATTTTCAGTGCAGCTATCAGGCAATGAGGTGAATACGACAGAGGCTAATTAAACCAAAATTATTAGAAAATATAAAGCGGGTGAATTTTAATCTCCTATATGAGCTATGAATTCAAACGATCAAAATGAGACCCAAAGTTAAAAAAACTTTTTCCAATAAGAATTACTGTTGCATAGCAATTAGTGGATGCACAACTACAAATATCCAATCAGCAACCATAAACAAGCATCATAAGACTATAATTTTATCTGTCAACAGGAAAAAAAAAAAAAAAAAAAGGTCTTTTCGGTTGAACACAAGAATAGACAAACCCAGATGCTAAAAAACACCCCAAATTTAATAAAAGAACCACAACAAGAGAAGCCACACAAATCCCAATTACAAAAGCATAAAAAGCCCACAAAACAAACTGAAGTAGAACCCAACTACAAGAGAAAATCGCTGAAATCTTAAACAAGTTAATTACCTTAGGAACTTCTCTTGGCGTCTAGTTTTGAGTTTCCCAGCCAGGTAGGAAATAGCAGAGAGAGAGAGAGAGAGAGAGAGAGAAGAGAGAGAGAGACTGACTTAGGCACGAGGCTGTGTGGGAATGTCAAGTTTCAGTGTTTTCCTGTTGTACTGTTGTCACATTAATATTGGGAGGGAATAATTATGTTATTTTTTCATGTGGCATTACGTGAATGCATTGGCAGCACCAGAGCCACTGAAATATCGCAAAAGGATTATTGGGTTCTTTTTTTTTTTTTTGAAAAAAGAAAAAAATCTTTTTTTTGCTCAAAACAATTAGAGCCAAAGGGGATTAGATAAACCCAGGTGTGGTGCAGCTTCAAAAGGGTGAGTTCTTGGTAGATAACGAGGCTAGCGAGATCTCCTCTTGCTTTGACACATTGGACGCTCTCACGGAGCCTTAGTGTTGATATTTGATTGCTGACTTTTCCCTATGTTATGTTTGGTAGGAAATAAAGAAAATATGATAAAAAAAAATATAAAAGTGATGAAAAATAGTAATGATAGAAATGAAATTGATTTTTTTTTTTTATGTTATTTGGTATGAGAAGATGGAAAGAAAATAAGTTTACCTTCACTTGTTTGGTATTGTAAGTTAAATTAGAAAGAAAGAAAAAATCTTACTCGTAAATTACTTTTATACCCTCAAATTTTTTACTTGGATGTTGATAGAGAAAATGATAGTTTAGTAACTTTGCTCACTTTAATGAGTTGTCCTTATTTTTCATCTCATTTTCTGCCCACTTGTGAAAAGAAAAAAAATAGTGGGGCCCACATATATTATTTCCACTCTATTTTCTTTTCCTTTCTCTTTTCTCTCCTACCAAACAACTTACATTTTCATTTTTTCTCTCAAAATCCATCTACCTTCTTCATTCCTTCTACTTTTCTTTCCTACCAAACATACTCTTATACTCATTCTTGACCATAGGTGGCCAATTTAGGCATGTTATGTTTTTTTTTTTTTTTTCCTTTTTTTTCTTTTTTTTCTTTTTTTTTCTTTTTTTTTCTTTGCATGGTTATTTGTCTATTGGTTTTTAGTGGGGTCCAACTTTTGGTTAAGTTAGTCATTAGTGACTAATAATAATTAATTGATTAACGGAGCACTTGATTTTGGCTTATGTGATGATGAAGATTAATGATGATGTTAATAATTCAACAAAAAGAGCAGCCTTTATGGGAAAAGTAAAGGGGAGAAAAGGAATAGCAAACTCTTACGGAATGCAGTAGAACTGTGGTATCACTTTGAATAACATATCGCGCAATATTAAGTTTAGGATTTAGATAATGAGTAAATGAGTTAGTTCGTTGGAATTTAAAATGTTTTTATCAATTGGGACCTAATAATAAAAATTTTTGATAAAAAAAGAAAAAAGAAAATTTCTTCTAGTTAACACAATATAAAATCAAAAGGGTTTAGAAGAATACAAAAAGTGAGACATTTACAGAATTCAGGACACGTGTTACTCTTTTGATCTTTTCAGTCGAATTTCTGTGGTTGGGATTGAGTCGCTAAATATGCTCAGGTCTTTTGTGTCTGAATTAGTGATTGTATTTTTCTGATTTGAAATGCATTTCACATTTTTAAGAAAGAAATAAAGGTGAGAAATCTAAGTTAAAAAAAGAAAGTGAATTTGCAAGGTTACATTAAGTAAACTTCTTTAAACCATTGAGTCTCTGTAGTGGCATCTCGTGAACTTGACCTCCCTGAGGCTGTATAAATATTAGCAATTGCTGCTACCAGCGGTGTATGACTCATACTAGTCATTTCTTTTTAATTGAAAGTAAAATGTGTTATGAAAAAAAGGGTGGTCTTCTCGGAAAATCTTGGGATAGACTTTATCTATATATATATATATTTAACTAATTTAAACCATACACTTATTAATTGTTTAGTTGGATTTGTACCATGATTCGAATCATAGTTCATGGTTCGCTACAATATTTTCTGTCATAAAAAAATACACGTAAATCGAGAATAATTATGAATTATAATTTTAAATCCATGAACCAAACGTTTACAATTATTACAATAAAACGATGCAGGACAATCACAACTGATGCTCTCAAAACTTGCGAGTGATTGGAAATGCACAAACAAATACTATAGTCTTGTTTGGAGGATGGGCTCAAATCATTCTGATTGCAAGTTCAAACAGTATTTTCTCTTTCAAAAAATTTGAATTTAAAAAGTTTTACAACAGTGTTTTTAAAGCCCCCTTGTAGACAAGTAACGCCGGTGCATTATAAGATGACTCAAAGTTAAAGACTTTTTGCCCCACAGCAACCACTTGAAATATTAAACTGTGCCTTGTGGTTTAAGCTTAAATTAATTTGTCTGATAAGCTCTATTTTCCAATTTGGATTTGCAAGACAATCAACTAATGTATCTTTCAAGCATACATGTGCAGGAACATTCAATCCAAGAGTTATTTGTCCACGGAAAGAAGGGGTAAAATGTTGCTTATATTGCTTTCTTATACATCTGTGTCAGATTAGTTCCTCCCTAGTTGAAAACAAAGAGAATGTTGGGAGAACAATGCTGGCAATTCTATGGTTTTGCTTGTTAAGCATTTAAGGGCCCCCTTGTTATAGAATAAAACTTTGGTGAATGAATTAAGCATTTAACAAACAAGACAATAGAAAAATCTAGGCTGGCTCAAGGGTTTTTTCTCAAGATTGGTAAAATTGGAAGCAAAAGTTGACGAAAGGCCTTAGAATTTGAATCATTTGCTCATGAAATCTCAAGACCCGCCGCACAAAAATGCGATTTGAGTCTAATAAAATTTCTGCTTTACTGGAAACTGATCTGGTGATGAGTAAAATAATACTAACAAATGCCTTGTTCATGGAAATTACATAGTCTTTTAAACTTTGCTTATTCAAATTAATAATGATATTACTTATAATATCATATATACTTGTCTTAATTACCTACTAATAACGTCAGCCCTGCTTCAATGACGCCAATCCCAACTAAACCAGAAAAATATTAGTGAAAGAAGGTCAAAGGACGAATCTTAATCTTGAAAAAAACCTCTTGAGCCAGCTTAGATTTTTCTGTTGTTTTGCTTGTTAAATGCTTAAATTTCATTCACCAAAGTCTTCTACTAAAACAATTAATACTCCAGTCCCGGCTAAATTAATTCCTAGTGGCACCACTAGAACAAATAATATTGAGTAACAAACTTAAAGTCAAAGGTTTGTTTACATTTTTAATATAAAGACCATCTTGCTTACATTCTCTCTTAGCTCCATTTTTCTGGTTTTTGCCATGACATTTTCAACCACTAGACCAATATAAATCAACTAAGCATACACATTATTCAGCAAAAAAAAAAAAAAGAAAAAAAAAAAGGGGAACTTCTATGGCAAAATTTGCCACTGCAACAATGCTGGTCATCTTCCTATCTTTCAATTGTTTCTTGTCAAGCTCTTGCTTAATTCTTTCAGCAGGTAACAAAAATCTTCACAACTTCACATTATCATTTACCTTGATATTCACTTAAGAGTTTCATTTGGCATTGTCTAATCATATTTATCCTCTACTAAATGCCATAATCTATGCATTCAGAAGGGTTAAAGAAAAACGAAATAGGCGATTCGAGCGGTGAGGGAAGATACAAATCAATGCTGCTTCAGAGTTGCAAAGGTGGAAATGCTTGCATAGAGAGCGGCCTAAGGTTTTTAAGCCTGAGAAAGAAGCAACCTCCGTTGCCACCGGCGCCAACCCGGAACTCAAACAAGATTCACGGCGTTGTTAACGTATCTGAACCGCGACTATCATCTCTGATGAATCGGATCAAGGCTTATGTTTATGGATCTGCACCTCCCTCTCCTTGACGTAACCAACAGGAGCAAACAAGTAGTTGGGAATACTTGTAGGATATCTAAAATCTCTATTGTATATTACCCCAGGCCTTTGAAATTCTTTGCAAATTAGTATATATTTGGCCTTTTAGAGCATCAATACATGCATCAATTGCATTGACATGCCTGTTTTCTTTCTGTTTTGTTTGTTATTTATTTATTTATTTATTTATTTTGCGGATATAAAATGTAGAGTTAATCAGCTTATGATTAAGAATAAGAAATAGGGGAATGGTTCAAATCTCTGTATTTTTTTTTTTATTTAATATTGGTAAATACTTTCTTCAGAAATTATATATGCAAGCTGGCCTGTAAACTGTAGTGCATGGAATTAAAGTCCTCTTTTTGAAACCATATTACCTTGTTTATCATGTTATAAATGCTAGTGTTACTTTTTTTATTATTTTCTGTATTTACTGTTTGATACGTAGATTTTATGATTTTCACAATCTCATTTTATATTTAAATAATAATATATCATATTAGTGAATTCTACATGTCAAATAATGAATACAAAAAGTGATAAAAGAGAGTAAGGCGGACTCCAGTGCTAAAGAAGTTCCCGTACTATGACAGGCTCGGAAGAAAGCTCAATTCTATATGTACGCGGTCTTACCCCCGAAGGGGAGGCCGTGAGTGAAAAAAAAAAAAAAATGAGGCTTGCGGCTTGCCTTATTTGCCTTGTATCCAAACGAATGGTATCCATATATCAAGAAGTAAAAAGATATGGTAGAAAAGAAGAGTTTCATTTTGCTCTACATTGTAGTTTAGTCCTCTCTAAAAGCCGTCAATATTGTAAATTGTCTAATGAATTTTGTTGTTGAGGGTCATATCGTGTTTGATATTATCGGGTTTTACCTTTTATTGGTGATGGTTGTTGTTATTTTATTCTTAAAAGTGATAACAAAGCCGCCCATATACCACTTAAATTAGCTTTTTTCAGCTAAAGAAAATTGCTTTTAGTTAGACGACTATCCTAATCGTATTTTTTCCGTACTTAATGAATAATACCTGCATGTAACAAGTAGGGGTGTAATTCGGCAGGGTAGGGTCGGGTTGAGCTAAAAAATTAAGCTGACTCGTTTAATGCGGGTTGAGAAAATTTTAGACCGCAACACTCTCTTAAGTCCACAAACCCGCAACTTGTCGGGTGATCTCGGATTGGTGAAAACTAATTTTAATTTATGACTTTATACCTCTTTTAACGGTCTAAAAACATAAAATTCATAAACAGTCTATAAACATTAACATAACATCAAGAATCATTTTTGTCATTCTAAAAATATCGAAATCATCCGACACAGTGACCCATGCCTTGATGTCAAAATACTCCTTCACTAGATCATCACCGTAAACAAGTCCAGCAAGAGTTGTCTTACCAATCCCACCCATACCCACGATAGGAATCACATATATCATATGACTGCTAACATTATCATCTAGCAGCATTCCCACTCTTTCTCAACATTCCTACCATAAACACCCGATTCTTCCACCACATAAGTAGCGAGCAATCTTCGCGAAAGTGGCCTATTTTGAACACCCTCTTTAAGACCCAAGACATGTTTTTGTTCCAAAATAAATTGCAATCCATCTAGAATCCGTTCTATCTTCGGTTCTATCACTTTGGCAAAAACAGGCTTACTGAACAACAAAGCTCTGTTCATTTGTTTTATTACCTTTCTTTTGCAGCTTGAGGAAGAATCAGATTCACATTCTATCTCACTCTGCAATGTGAAGCTAGATACGAAGCGTGAGGATTAGGGATTTAGGGTGAAGTGGAACGGAGAATGCGAAGGAGGAGGTGAGGCGTGAGTGAAGTGAGGCGAGAGATTGAGGAGCGAGGCGAGCGAGCAAGTGATTAGATTTAGAAATTTAGGATTACACATCTAAATTGAGTCAGGTCGGGGGAAAGCGGGTTCAAAATGCCCGCTCCGCCCCCCAACCGCACAGTGCGAGTTGGGACTATTTGAATCCAAATTAAAAAAAAAAAAAAAAAAAAACCTACGTTTTTTGGTCGGGTCACGGATTATTCGGGTTTGGGCTCATTTCTTGCACCCCTAGTAACAAGTTTTTTTGTTGATAAATCAAATACCATGTTAATTGATGTTGACACCTATCATTATTTTTGAAGGGAAAATTTGGATACCTAGCATTTTTCATGCCACATTTATTTTTCTAAAGTTACACATTCAATGGGTTTTAGAGTTGGGCGTGCTTCAATTATTGTCACTTGTCACGTCAAGAGAATAGACTATAGAGATTCACATGAATTGATTCAATTATGATCACTTTAGCAACCAAAAAATAGTTCTATTGTTACACTTCACAGCAAAAATTCTTCCACCCAAATAAACAAAAATTTACATTTCAAACCAAAGAATAAAAAAGAGAAAAAAAGAGAAAAAAAGAGAAAAAACAGTAAAGAGTAAAAACGGCGCCGTTTCCGTTTGCTTACGAATGGAAGAAAAGAAAAACGTGGCGGGCATTTTTGGAACGTCAAAGAGCTAGTCAAATATTCAGTAGTGATATAGGCTGTCGAACTAATCGTCTGAGCCGTACACGAAGCGCCACCGTCGCCGTAGTCGAACTTCCAACGATCCGCAGAGTCACGGTGACCGCCGTCCATGGCGGCCACTCGATCCCTTCCGTCGTCTTACAGCAACCATGGCTTCTCTCATGCCTTCAATTCTCCCAAACCTAAACCTTCATTTGCCTCTCTTCCTCTTCTTCCTAAATCCACCAATGGCTTGAAGGAAGACGACGGGAGGAGAATTCAGGTCAGGAGCGAAATCAAGAGCTTCGAGAATTCGCAGAATTGGACGGTTGAGGCCGATCGATTTCGCTTCGTTCAGAACTCTTCGCCTCATTCTCCGTCCTCGGTGTCCATTGCCGCTTCGAGTTCCGCCATGGATTCGGCCATGAGAGCTACGAAGAAAGTTTGCCTCTTTTACTACGCGGAGACCAAGGCCCTCGCCGAGAGAGTCGCAGCGCAGTCTGATGCCATTGAGCTCCGTACCATCACCTGGAGGTAACAATTTCTTTAGAAAAAGATTCAAATTCGAAATTTTCTGTTAATATTCGCATTGGTGTGGCTGTGCCACGGAATTTCTGGGTTTTGAGTTGTGTTCTCTTTGATTTGCCGTTGAAATGGTGGGAATTGTCTTCAGTGCTAATTTTTTCTGTGTAATTTGAAGTCATTTCAATGTTTATAATGGTTTAAAATGGGATTTGGCAAGGAAAATGATGCTGATTTTTTTTTAATTTTATTTTAGTGTCTGTGAGTCCAAATATTTTCTCTCTGATTTCTCTCTGTTTGAACCATGATGTAAAGTTCAACCTTTTCTATTTTTTGTTCTAAATATTAACGTGACATAATTTATGAAATTTGTCATTTTTAGGAAATTTGATGATGGATTCCCCAACATATTCATTCCCAATGCTCATGGCATTCGTGGGCAACATGTGGCCTTTCTGGCCTCGTTTAGCTCCCCAGGAGTCATTTTTGAGCAGCTCTCTGTAATATATGCTTTGCCCAAATTGTTCATCTCCTCATTCACATTGGTCCTTCCATTTTTCCCAACGGGAACTTCTGAGCGAATGGAGGACGAAGGAGATGTTGCAACGGCCTTCACTCTTGCTAGGGCCTTGTCCAACATACCCATTTCGAGAGGCGGGCCTACTAGTTTAGTCACTTTCGATATCCATGCCTTGCAGGTTTGTACCTAATAAGGTGCAATTTGTTTTTTCTTTGTTAATCAATGAACATCATAGTTTCTGGGTTTCTTCTTTGTTTGACAATTATCTTACTAGTTGGCTTTGGCTCCCCTTGTATTTCCTCATCATAGGAGAGATTCTACTTCGGCGACAATATTTTACCATGCTTCGACAGTGGGATACCGCTGCTTAAGAATAGGCTCCAGGAACTCCCTGATTCTCACAATGTAAGTACTTTTTGGGCAGATAGGCAATATAAGCTATTCGACATAAGCTGAAATCCTAAGATGTCCGTCTGTTGCTTTTTGGTTGTTGCAATATTTTGACCAGTGGCCATGCTAAATAGGTTTACTTTTTGCAACCACGTGCCTTTTCTGGAAAGTATTCATTGCCGGCAGTTTTACATGCAGAAGTTTGTAATTGCATTTTCTTTTTATATTTGCATGCTATACAAAGCTCCAAATCCATGTTTTTGGTAACTTATAACTTTGTACCTGATTATTGCAGTAGAAATTATTAAGATCATGTGGAAACATGGAGATATGCGCTTTAAGTAGTTAATTTGAAGCATCTCTATCTTAGAGGTTTAATGTTAATATCTTTCGCTTATCAGATATCCGTTGCTTTTCCTGATGATGGAGCATGGAAAAGATTTCATAAGCAGCTGCAACATTTCCCAACGGTATCTTCTCTCATCTGTACAAAACATTTTTAGGATCGTCCAAAGATTTTCTAGGATTAAAACAAGTATGCTTTCTTCTCATCTTCTTTTGTTCCTCCTCCTGCATCCATACAAACAATCGCGATTCATGATTAATGACTTTACGTTGTCAATGAATAAACATTTTTGTCTAATTATGTGCCTTCTTAGATGCATTATCCAAATTTTTCTTGATGAACAGATTGTTTGCGCTAAAGTTCGGGAAGGTGACCAACGGATTGTTCGTATCAAGGAAGGAGACCCCAGTGGACGACATGTTGTGATAGTTGATGATCTGGTCCAATCTGGTGGCACCCTGATTGAATGTCAGGTAAGCAAGTGTGAACGCTTTATGACAATAAGATTTACATCCTTTTGCATATGCCATTATGGACCTTAATCTCTTCAGGAAACATGCATGATTTCTGGGGCAGAAAGTGCAAATCCTTATGAGGTTTATGTTAAATATGACATTGTTTCAAACTCGGTTAATCTTTCTCATACCTTTCAAGGCGTGCTTTGTAAAGTACACAGCATGGATTTACTATGTTGCATCTTTCTTATTTTTTTTAAAACAACGGATGAATTCAGCATGTGGAGGTTCTCTTGACTTCTTTGTTTTGTTTGGTAAGTTACACGCGTATAAATCATCTCACATCTTCAATACCTCTGCTTTTAGTTTATTTTACTAATAAATGCGATTTACTATTCTTCTTGCGCATTCTCTTCTAGAAAGTATTAGCCAGTCATGGAGCAACAAAAATCAGTGCCTATGTAACCCACGGAATATTTCCTAATAGTTCGTGGGAACGCTTTGAGCATGACAATGAAGGTATTTTATAGTCAATAGTTTGATCCATTTTTGTTCATACTTCACACATTCCGGTTTGGTTCTTGTTCAAAATATTCTCCACAATAAGCTTTTCAAATTTCACAGGATTTTGGTATAAACTGTGTTAGAATGAATTCAGTTAATTATGAAGCAACATTAATATTTTTAGCAGGAAAAACATGATGCTTCTTCAGAGAAACGACATGTCGTCGTTTGACCTTTAAAAGTTTGTCATTCTTTTGTAAGTTTGCTGTCGTTCATATGTAGTAGTTTTTTTATTGAAAGTTTTTTGAAAGTTTCTCGTTGTTTATTGTTACATCCTCTATCAGGTTAATGTCTTTCGAGCAAAAAGTTTTTTTTTTCTTCATCATCTTTTCCCCCTCCCCCCCTCTTTTGCTCGACTTTGAGCAAAAAGGTTAAATGCTGCTGTTGTTCAAGTCAAACAATGACTTGTCGTTTCAGAGTAAAAAGTTTGTTACTGTGGTGTCGTCCCTGCTACGGGGAATTGGTTGGACCACGAAAACGATATGTCGTTTAGTTGTACAGTCTTGTGCCCGATAGAATATTGCTGTCGTTTAGACAGAAATTAACCCACGTTTATAAAAACATTGTGGTCGTTTATGGAAACAAACATGCGGTTGAAGCCTGTTTATGGAAAAGTAGGTCAATTGAAAATTGAGAAGTCTTTCAAAAGAACTAATTAAGAAAGAAACAACGAAACAAACACGAGTAACATGTTCTCAACAAAGAAGTTCAAAGTATTCACTAATGGTTACATAGAAATGAATTTGTTATTACCGTGTAATTCCCATTCCCTAACTCACTGACAGTCAGTGTTTTGCCTTATTTAACGCAGGGCATCCTGAGAACGGGCTGACCTACTTCTGGATTACAGACTCGTGCCCATTTCAGCAGGTGAAGTACAGAGCACCATTTGAGGTTCTTAGCCTCGCTGGTTCTATTGCAGCTACTCTTCAAATATAAAAAGAACATTTTGTAGAGAGGGAAAACTGGATATGAGACTTTCGTTTTCTTTCTCCACCTCCCATAACCATCATTAACTTATGTTCAATTGGCAACAAGGCCACCAGCTGTAGAGAACTCATGACAATTGTGCGGCGATTTTAGATTTTTTTTTTTTTTGGGTGGTAATTTTTTGTAAGTTATGCATCAGTGAAATAAAGTCGCATATTTATTTTTCCCGATTCTTAATTAGAAGACCGTATCCTGAGAGCAGGAATAGCCTTTGTAATCTGAGACAGAAACAACAGCTGATAACATGATAAAAACAACAAGACAGAAACAGAGATGTAAAGAATATTTTATCCCATCAGTTATCAATCTGAGATTATTAAAATATCAAAATTCCACAGTAGGGTATATCACGAGGGATGGATGCTTATTATCACATTAACCAAAACCATGTGATGTGACGACTCAAAGGAATAAAAGAATTTATCAACTCGACCACTTGACCAACTCTTATATTACAAAGAGGAAGAAAACGACCAAAAATAACAAAAACAATAGAGAGAAAGGTACCAACCTTCAATTGTTTCTCCTTCCCTGCTCCTATATCATAACGTTCTTCATTTGTATGAGCCAAACTTAACAACATAGTATTCAAACACAGGCATTACCTGCACCTACTTTTATCTAACTTTGTTTGAGTTCTTTATGTAATTTAAGAGCCTTTTTAGAGCCTTGCCACTGTCGATGGCCTCTCTGGCTCTATCCAGGGCAACTAATACGTCTTCTGCACCATCACATCCCAGCAAGTGATCCACCATTCCCGCATTTAAGACGATTCGGTCATAAGCTGGTCCTTTTTGACCATGAAGAGCTGCTAAACCCAACTCTATGTTCTTCGTAACCTGTACTTGCAAAAACACATTATAATTTGTCAAAAATCCAATGCTGCCATTCAAACACAAATTTTGATGCCAAGCAAAGAGAATCTCGAAAAGGTCTTAAAAACTCTACCGATCTATCAGTTCTTGGTGTATCACTGGGCTCAAAACCATAATCCACGGCATTAATCTCAAGACTAAAACTTTGTCGTGAGACCCCTGCAATACAAAAGCCCAGGTTTCAATCTGTGAGGCAAAAATAATGCTGCAATAATCTCAATCAATTGTCTGACTTATGGATGCTAACAACACTCTCGGGATACAAAAACTTATGAAAGGAATCAGCGAAAATAAAGAAACTGAACAGTCTAAACGCACAAACCATCAGTTTCAGAAGAAGATGCTGTGCTCAAAGCACGGAATCCAGAACAGTAGTTTACAGGAAGTCCTTTTGACAGAGATACTGATCGCAATCTTGTTGTCATCGACAAGGCCCCTTCCTCACCCTATGGTAACAGCACAGTCAGATTTTTAAAGTCGTTTAAATTGCTTGGTTGGCATCAAGGTTTTAAAAGGCGGAATCGGGCCTCGAGGAGTTTTGCCTTTACGAGGCGAGGCGTAAGCCTCAAAAGATGCCTATATAAAAATTGAAAAAAAAAATAGTAACAAAAACTAAATCCATACTTAATAAATATTAAAAACAAGAAAGTTAACCAAACATCCACATAAAGAAAAGTCTATTCCACTACTAGAAGCGTAAAAAAGACTAAATAATTATCAAATCCTAATACCATGAGGCTCATAATGCACGTGAAGGAGAGGTGAGATGCGAAGAAGAAGAAGAAGAAGACCAAGAAGGAGAGATCGGCTGTGCTGGCTGGTCTGCTTCTTTTCTTAAGGTTTTTTCTTACTCATTTTGGACCTGACTACTTTGGGCCTTTTAAAACTGTTGGACCCCCAGAATCCCCATTCCAATGAGGCGGACGCCTCAATAACCACCTGCGGTGCCGCTCAAAGGCATCCGCCTCAAGTGGCTGAGGCGCACGCCTCAACTCCTACCCTGTAAGGCGTAGGAGTTGAGGCACTTTTTGAGCACCTCGCCATGAGGCACGCCTCAAAGGCGTGCGCCTCAAGCGCTTTTTAAAACCTTGGTTGGCATGTTAAAGTTTTACGATAGGTTTTAACGGAAAACATTCTTTATATGCAAAAATACAAAACACTGGAATTTGAAAGGTCTCCTGTTTACATTAGAAAACAAACTGACCTTTACCACCAATCCTGCATGTACGCCTCTTCTTTTCATAAGCATTAACAGTGGCTCCTCATAGCCTTCATGATAAAATCCAGCAACAATCGCTTCCTTTCCTCGGGCCTGTGGAGAAAGAAATCACAGATGGACTCTCTGTTAGTTCTAATACTTGTTGACCTTCTTCACTGTCTTATGAATTTACGTACTAGTATGCCATTTAAATGTTTCACTTTCGAGTAAAAAATATCAAGGGTTAAATGTATACAAATCTTCAATTGATATAGCATGTAACTCACCCTCACAAGTTGCTGAACCTTTTCTGTTGTAGCCAATGGGGGGCGTTTTTTAATATGTTCCCTCAACTTGATCAATGAATATCTGCGGGGTTTATAGTTTATTCAGATAAAAGTAAGATAACACACATCACGTCCACGTTACTGAAACAGATTTCAACAGACAATCATAACTTTTGTAAGATCTTTTGCACTCTAATACACACAAAAAAAGAATGTCAGACAAGCAGGATTAACCTAAGGATTAACCTCAAATAATCCAAACCAAAATCTTGAAGCAATTATAACAGCTATTCAAACAACCTAACGCATATCAAATGGGACTATCTTACAAACTTGTCAGCAGATTTTAATTCTATAGTGTCTTCATATTTATCATTTAAAATTAAGAATCAATGAAAATTTTCATATAAAAAGAAGAGGGGAAAACAAAGTTATCCCCGCACACAAATAGTGCAAAAAGGAAGCTCGAAATAAAGATATTTGGCTAGATATTCATACAGAGACGGGCGAGCTTCTCTTTGACTTACGTGGGCAAAACCAACCTCTTCATCCTGAAACAATAAGTTTGAGTATTTAAGGAAACAGCAAAATCCTAAATAAACAATAAATCAAAATAAAGGCATAGCAAAGAAACATGTGAAACCACATTGACCTCAATGAGTTCTTTGGCCTGCAAAGGAGATAAGCTCGTATTAGCTCCCATAAACTTAAGCATTTGTTCTTCAGTAATTCCTCCCTGTGAAATAAACAAGAATTTTTTGATTGTATAATGAAACGCATAGGTGTATCCGCAAACTATTAAAAAAAATTGTGAATATTGCAAAGCACTAGAAAAAGCCCATTGCAAACCAGAAAGCTGACCTTAGGTGGCATCCATTCCACACCATGAAGCAATGAAGATTCTCCATAACAGGATCTAACAGCAGCAACAAACAATGTACTCCTAAAGAAACGCGTATTTCCATCATAAGGTTCTCCATAATGAGTCAATGATATAACATCAGCAACAGGAGGAGGACCTATATAAGTAAACAAAATTAATCACAGTAATATACCCAATTCCATAAAACACAGAAACTCATAAAGACCAACACAAAATATACCAAGTTCATCATCAAATGCAAGGCAGTATGCTTTTAACTCGCGGTCTGTTTCCCTGTTCATACGCTGACCTATTAAAAATGCAGAAAGCAACGATTCACTTACTCCAGTGACAACCCCATCTCCTATTTTCAAAGGAAGAACGTCCCTCAAAACACCTTGGACTTCCTCAAAGCCAAGGTGACCCCCAGCCAATACTTCCCTCAGAGCACCAACCAATCTCATCTCGCTGCTACAATTGCCGACAAATTGGGGCCCAACCGAACTTCCCACCCCCATTATTGACCCTTCGGGGTCAGCTATGAAGATCACATCCGGTGGAAGCGCCCGAGCCAGTAATGGCCAAAACGTGTTCATTGCTCGCGTTTCCCCTTCGCTCCATTGCGTTGCTTCAGGGAATGCATTCGCTCGAATCGTCATGGCGGCGAAGAACGCACCGAGCTGTGCCTTGGAAACTTCCTCTTCATCCTTCAAATCTCCCCGAGCTGAAAACAAAATGAAGAAAGAAGATGAATCAGAAAGAAAAATGTGAAATTCTCTCCATCCAAACAAATTTACGAAGAAACATATTTACCGGATCTCAAAATCGTGTCAAGAACCTTGAAAGCCTGTTCTTCGCTGAGCGGTCTGGTCTGAGTCGGTCCGGTGCAAACCCTAGCCTGAGCATCGAGCACCGTCTGGTTCGGCTTCGGCAAGCTCGAGCTCCGATAAGAAGACGACATCGCCGGGTTCCGAATATCCGATTCCGAAAGCCCTAACTGGTCGATCATCGCCGAGTCAAGCACAGCCCTCACCGTCAGACATTTCGTTCTTCCAATCCGACGGTGGCGACGCGTCGGCGGAAGCTTGAACACCGTTTGGACGCGCGAGCGATTCGAATTCCGGGATTTGTCGGCGCAAATCGAAGAGATGGAAGCGAGAGAAAGCTCTGGACTGAGAAGTGCATTCATGGCGGTCTTCGCGGCGTCGCTTCGGGAATCGCAAATCTCCTGCGGCGCGAACCGCAATACCCGCTTTCTTTGCACGCTAAATCCAATTCAAAGACCCCAACAAGATTTCTTTCAAATCAGTCACCTGTTTTTTGTAGTAATTAAATAAGTTTCAGGATAATTTTATAAACTCCTCAAACTTTGGTCAATTTCTCATTTTACTCCCCAAAGGCCCAAACTTCAAAATGCCAAGTTGATTTCTCCCAGACATATCCATCAAATGAATAAGGAAGGAATTGTGGTTTTGGTTTTGGAATTGGACGCAACTAATTTGAATTTTACAATTGTTTTATTGTTTAGGAAAATTTTAACTAGTATTTTAACTTGAGAAGGTAAAATGAAAATTTATCTAAAGTTCAAAAAATTTAACTCATAACGAACTCATTTACAAAAATCAATCATGATAATATGAATGAAAAACTTGATCAGAAGTAGAACCAATCATCAAGTATGTATACATCAGGATTTTAAGAGTTCATTTAGTTCGCTGATTTGAGTTTTTAATTTGAGTTGAGATGTGATTTTATGTAAGAGCTTTATATTGTAGCAAAAATTTAGATGTGACTGTGACTGTTTTTAAGAGCTTTTTACTGTAGTAAAATTTAAATTCTAAACTTAAATCGGTGAAATGAACGGGGCCTAATTCTTAGCTCATTTGAAAAATGCAAGGTTTGACAATCAAATGTTTTCAACTTTTTTTTAGTAATTTATTTAATTGTCAAAATAGTAACAATTAATTTAAAAGTCAATTGTTATTGTTATCTCATTTTAGCTCTAAGGGGACCTACGCATATAAAGAATTGTAACTATTCTGTCTAAATCTTAACTTTTATTAAGGATTAACCATAAAAATAACTCTTATGAAGGATTGCTAAAATGCTAATTGGATTATTGGAGCCAATTGTTAATATTTTGTCATTTAGAGACTAAAAGAAAATTTAAAGGATCAAATATATTTTTTTTCCCGGCTAAAAAGCCTATATAAATATGGACAAGCCTCCTAAAAGAAGCTCATTCCCGAATTTGTCCCCACCATTTTCGAATGCCCTGATCAGTCCACAGAGCGAAAGAAAAGACAGAAATGGCGGGATCTCTGGCTGTTGCAGTGATACCAAGCCATCACGACGAGGAGCTGGTGACCGCCATTAGAGAGCAATGGGAGGTCCAGTACTCCCGCTTCTTTGGCTATCCTCCGCTGGCATCGCCGTCTCCCGATCTCGTCCCTCTCCCTCCGTACTTGCGGAACCGTCCCCCGCTCGGCACCTGGCTCACCTCCTCGTCTCCCGCCGTGCTGCGACTGGTCGTCCTCCGCTCCAGCTCCGACGTCGTCCTCACTGTCTTCTGCGGCGGCAAAATGCAGGTCACGACTCCGTTTGCTCTTGTCGTTTCTGGTTTTCTTCTTTCGATTTCTGTTCTGGATTTTACTTCTTCTGCTTGCTTGGATGAGCTGAGGTCTTCGATTGTGGATTCCGTTTGGATTATGAGAAATTCGAGGGAAATCTAGATTTAGTTTTGAAGTAATTTAAACCTCTGTTGCTTTGATCTGCATCATTTTTACGCTGGACAAACAGATGAGCGGAATTCACCTGAATATAGATGGTACGGCACATTAGTTTGTAGAACATTACACAGCATTTTCATTGTTGCATTATAGAACATTTTGTTGCGTCCAATTTTGTATCATTGAAGATTTTGGAGTTAGAGAGTTCTTAAATGATTTTTCTGGATAATAAACTTTGGGATTTTGGACAATCAGTTATTATATATGTTAATTTCCTTGAATTATTATTCTTCGAGATTAGGTTTCGTGCGGATCCTTAGGTTCAGATCGAAGGAACTCTCCTTTTACGCAATTCAACATTTGCTGTTTAGTAGAAACTTAAGCCTCGGTTTTAGAGGAAGATCACCACTGGTTTTGAAACCCTACGTATGATTTCATCGTGTTGCAGGAAGAGCATTACGTTTCAAAGTTGCACATCTCGTGGCCTCAAGTCTCGTGCGTCTCTGGATTTCCTGCCAGGGGAACCAGATCAGTATTTGTTAGCTACCGAAATTCTGCAGCCGAAGTAAGCTACTCTGTGTTCTTTTGGTTTTTAGTCTTTGCATCCCAGGGCTTAAAAAAGTTAGTAACTCTTCTCTTTTCTTGGGGTCTTTTTGAGCAGATAGAGAAGTTTGGTTTGCGGTTTTCAACACTTTCTGAAACAGAGGCATTTATAAGCACTTTGAAGGTGACTCCATTACCCCTAGAGTTGTAACCTGGGAAGCTGTAGTTTCAAGTTCTGTCAGTAAATAGTCAATCATCTTTTTCAAAAGCTTTATGTCTTGCAATGGTTGTGTTTTGTTTGGATTTGTTTTTTCAGGACATATTGAAGATTGAAAGTGAAACTGAACCTCTCAGCAGTGGGTTTGGATCTGCAATTTCATCACAGTCGGAGTTCATGTCTTCTAATAGATCCCTCTACCGGTAAAAAACAACCTGCTATAGTTCAGTCTAACTCATTCCTTCTCTTAGGAGGAGATATAAACTTTAAGGAAAAATTTTAAATTTTTAAGCGATATCCTGATAAAGTCTTTTTGTGTTTGCAGAGCTTCTCAGGACTCGAGTTTCTTGACTCCTGCTCCTGTTCTGGATTTTACTCCCGACCTGCCAGTAATCTCAAACAACAAAACAGGGCAACAGACTTTTATCCAGGAAACAGTACCAACTCACAAGTTCGAAAGCAACTTTGCGGCTTTTCCACCCAGCTTCACCTCATTGCTGACCGATTATTGCCCCATCGTTGAACAAGGTAAACAAATTTCCTCAGTTACAGACCTGAAAATGTTTTATGATCCCATATGATGATTTATTATCTTTTATTTAATGATGTTAGATGCAGCAGAGCCAACTGAATTCGAGGAAGTCCATCTCAAATCACAAATTGCGGTATCTCTTTCTTCCATTTATTTGGTCTTGTGGTATTAAAGAATGATCTAGGCCATCCGAAAGTATTATCTTCCGTGCCTGTTATTATATTGCACTTTTGAAGATGTACATACATTCACTACTCAGCCTGATTAATACCATGCGAAACTATAGATTTATTAATACTGATTTTCGATGTATTGCAGAAATTCATGGAAGATTCTTCCTTCCAGGGTATGTCATACACAACCAATGTTTGATTTTGGCTGTTTAAAGTACACCAACTTTTTCTTGCATAATTGTTTGTTATGCCTGATGTGTCATGCGCGGTCCTTCTTTTCTACCTTTTCTTATGAAAAAAGGCGCTTAGCAAACTGTGGAACCATTTTTGTATAATTTATTGGTGTCCAAAGACAGTGTTACTCAAAATGGATGTCTGTTTTGGTCTCATAGAGATTTACTTGTTTCTGAAATTTTAATGCTAATTATTAATCGCTTCTGTTCTTAAAACTTCGTTCATTTACTATTATTTGAAACTCGGTCTTTTCTGTTGTTGCCAGATATGCTGATCAAAGTGGAGAAAGTTATCAATGACATGGATGGTGGTCTAACGTTGTAATTGTTGGTTGCTTTGCGTAGTAACTGCAAGCAGTTAAGCATTTGTTTTTAGCTTCCGTGGATTAAAGCTGGCATTTCATATTCGTTTTGTCATTTTTTTCCAGTCTAACTGTACAGTACTCATGTTTCTGATTTTTGGAATTCACATTAGCTAAATAACGTCTTAGCTCTGTAGCTTTCTCCATGGAACTTGTGCTCGGACCAATGTTTCTTTGATCAGAGATATTGTAAATGTACAGAAATTAAAATTAAAACCAATCAACAAATCATGTACTAGACATACTAATAGATTGATGGCAATGAGAAACTCGGCATGGGATAAAACCCAGGGAGTTTGAAAACAAGATATCCTTAGTTGAATATCCGACAGTTTCTTCTTATCTCGCCTTCATTTCCAGTGAGGACATCCACATTTCCCATCTTAATCATGGCACGGACAAACTTCCGGCTCCATACTTCCGGATTAAAAGCCATGTCACGCACAATCCGCCGTGTCCGCCGATCAGAAACCAATACCTGATCCGATTGGAGCAACCCTCTCCCTCTCAACAAATTCTTATAGAATGTATTGTCGAGTCTGAATGGTGAGAACGGATCAAACTGCACAATTACCTTATCTCTCTCTTCCCAAGTCCCTAAGTTTGGCGACGGGCACTTTGTTTTCAGATAAGCAGCAAAGGATGTGACCATTGGAGGGACTTTTGTATCAGTTAAATTGAGATATATTCTGTAATCAAACATCTTGCAGTGTATATTGCCGATTGAGTGTGCACCGGCTAAAACAACCAAGTCTTTTAGGGTCAAGCCTTTGCGAGCGTATACTTCTATCATCGCGTCGACAGACATCGTGGGAAAGGGGATATTTCCAATGATATTAGAAGCACGGGAAGTGAATCCATCGCGGCGACCAGCTTGGACGGGGTAGTAGGGAAGTCCCGATAGGAAAACGGATTCTCTACTCGCATATGCCAATATGTCTGCGCAAGACACCGTCTGCGGGCATTCCCGCTCTATTTGGGCCTTAATCTCATCGATGACATAGTAAGCTTTAACATTTTTGCCATTGGCAGGTGAAATCTTCTCAACAGGCTCACCGGTGGGTGTGGAATCCAACAGAATAGACGCATCACAACCCTGTAATAGTTTACATAAGTTAAATGACCTCAAAATTTTGAAGCTGGAAATAGATAACGCATTGACAACTTACCGTGATGAAACAATCATGGAAAAAGAGCCTGATTAAGCCAGCTGCAACGTTTGGATCACTAGCAAAGGCCCTGGCTACAGCCTTAGCTACGACAAATTCGATTTGAGGGCACTTATCTCTGTAGTATTTTACATGCAAATGGTGGCTGCCATTTGTGTGGTGGCCACCGCCTGCGAAAGCCCCCAAAGGAAGGACGATCATTGAGAAGGCGAAGATCGTCGTTAGGACTACATGACACTTTCTCATCTTCACGTTCAAAGATTTGTCAAAGTGAATGGCAATGGCAAAGACTAGACTTGACATAAGATTTGCCTCCGAAACAAACTTTCTCCATAAACCGTGTTGGATTAATTTTCTTTCCTCCTATTTTTTAGCAATGACGACTCAAGGGTAAGGACATTGTGGCAACTGCAAGGTCCTCCTTTGGCAAAGGACCCCCCTTGAGTCAAGGGCCGTTATTAGAATCATTAATTAATCACCTTTACACCTCAAGGTTCCTTTGTTTAGAAACTCTTAACTGATCACCTTTACACCTCAAAATATTGAATACGAATTAGTTTTTTTTTTCCCCCCTAAAAAAATCCTATTACTCAGGCCTTAATTTATTTTTGTAAAATTTATAAAACGAGAATCTTTTAGTTGAGAAACAAGAACACGAGAAAGAAAAAAAAAAAAAAAAAAAAAAAAAAAAAAAAAAACTTAACTTTGTTATAACAACCAAACATATGCACAACCTATTTGTAGATAATGAATTTTTCCCTGTGATGCATAACCTATTTTTGTTAGTACTTTAGCTACATATACTAACTGTGAGTATGCTTTATTGAGACTAGTTTTCTGCAATGGTGTAGATTAAACCACATGGCTTATGCCTTCTCATACACCTCATACTTTTTTTTTTTTCACCTCATACCTTTGTACACACACTAATCATAAGATATCTAATGCTAATTGAAACCTCTTTTTTCACTCAAATTACTTCAATCATATGTTCTTCATACTCATGAGTAATAACAAAACAATTGTAAGAATTTGAAGTTTCTGATTTCTTATTTTTTTTTCTAAAGTTTAAAAATTTGATGTTGAATAACTTCCACTACAATTCTAATTATCATATGTTTTTTAATTGACTATTATTCGAATTTTTGAAATTATGACAAAGTCTAATTGAAAACACTACAATATGATATAGATATAAAGAAATTAGTACCATGTATTCTATTTCCTAGCTTCAAAACAAAAATTATGTTGCCTAACTCTTTAGGAAAAATTAATTATTAAACATCTAAGAAATTATATATGGTATTTTTATAATTATATTTGATTTGGATTTAGACACTGGGGCATGTGATCACATTCTTCAATAACCGTTGTGTTACTATGAAGAGCTTACTTTTTACCGTACAATTCAAACCTAAACCTCTTTTCTTAATCACTTTTTTTTTTTTCGTTGTACATTTGGAATTGAAAAATGTAAAGCACGAAAGTGCCGTAGGCTCAATTCCATGCTATATATACAAGGATAGATATTTTATTAAGAAAAATAAGGTTCAAAATCGTGACAACATCATTACACCCACTTTTTTTTTTTTTTTGGTCAATAATATAGCATGAAGAACACTCCATCGATGGAGTACCCCACCATATAGAGTTACCCATATATAATTATTACCAAAAGAAAAAAAAATGTTGTTAAATAAGCCTGCTACGTCATTGCACCCGTAAATTAAATTATATGCTACTTAAAGTTCAATTATTCATGTATACCATTTTGATGCGAAGACTAGGCTTAACTTTCTTTATAAAGGTAATTATATTTCAATTCCAACTCTCTAAAAGTGGTATAATTCTATTTCACCCTGAGCAAGTGGTCCAAAACTTCTCACAAAGTGGAAGAGCTCTGAAAGCTTAGCCGGCTTCATCCAAAAGGAACATCTTTCTTGTTGTCCTGCTCCAAACTCCTAACTCCTAAAATATGGTTTCTCTAGCCTGCAAAGAATATCGATAAGTACAACAAGGAAGCTAGCACTTGTATTTGACTTCCATCATTCATTCAAGTTAAATTTAATCATGTTTCGTTAGCTCTTTGTCTCTCTCTAAGGACAATTTCTTTACCTTCTGCAGACTATATTATAGGTAGCTAATAGTCAATTTCAGCATATAATCAACTCAACTTTGAAAAGCAAAAAAAAGAATTAAACAAGAAGTCAAATTGCAACATGTTATGTATGTATGCAATAATCTATTATTTTTTCCAACTCTATTATTTATGTCACTACATAAAATTTTAATGCCACTATGAAAAATAACTTTTATGATACAAAGTGATAACCTACCGGTTACGAAAAGATAACATGTAAGTTAATAATGGTATAAGATAAATTTAATAACAGCAGCGGCAGAAATAAAATAATATTACTTTATTAATGGCATTTTTTAAAATTTACCATATCTTTCCTACCAAGGAGAGAGCAACTTCCATCTTGTTCATGGAATGAATCAAAGGATAGATCAATTTAGCCCTTCATAGGCTTGTAAAGACCTTTTTTTTTCGGGTTTTAATGCTTAATTTTTGACTTAACAGCTAATATATATACACTGGCCATAAAGGATATATATCCTGTTATAATACAAAGAGACACATTTCTGAAAGAAAGTAGGAATAACCAACCATGCTTTGCTAACGGCAAAAGCAAGGTCGTTAATATTATAATGTTTAGTCCCTAATTGGTGAGAATAATTAAGGAATAAGGATGGCTTAATAAGATTTACTAGCGTTACATATTTTGATAAAGTGAATAAAACTAGCATTTGTTTGACTTATGTGATATGACAGTCCATAAAAAGTCGTCAAAATAATAAAAGCGAAAAATCACATGCACAAAGTTAAAAAGTTGTCAAATTTGATTTAGATTGTAAAATTTGATAGAAATTTAATGAATCAGACTGCACAAATAAGGTGCAAATTTGACCTATTTATGGCCAATAATATATTGTTTATGAACCTTAACTGGATTCTGCACTTGGCTTTACATTGTTGTCTGATAAGGCGATCTGGTAATTCCTGATACCATGCAAAGGCCATTTGATAAGCCGAAAGAAGAAAAAGTTTTGTCAAGGATGAGTGAAATTGTAATCATCGATGAGATATTTATTAATGAAATCCTATCTGGAAATAGATAGATTTTTATATACTCAAAATTAAGACCTTGTTATTCTATTTGTCCAACGCTATAGGCTTGTCTAAGCATTTCCCCATTTAAAATGTGAATTCAAACCAATTAGCTGCTTTTTGTTTGTCTTGAAAAACAAACAAAACTAGTGATGACAGAGATAACAAAGAATGGTTTGTAACTCACAACATTTCATTACTTCTCTCTGTACTTTGCGGAGAAAACTCCTATGCCCACAACTATGGCATTTCATCATTTCCTTCCCTATCTTCTCCTTCTTCTCTTAACAACTCTATTTTCTGGAGTTTTTGGATACCATGTTTTCATCAAAAGGTCTCTTATGTACCCTTTTAACTGCTCTCTACAATTCAGGACATGTAATGCTTCATTATACCACACCAATGATGGTTTCACAAAAGAACAACTTGCTTCTTTTTACAAAGTCAATACATCCCAAATCAAGTCTATAATGCATGCAAACAAGGAAGATTTCCTCATTAATGTACCTTGTTCTTGCTCATCCATACATGGAATCATCGGATATTTCTTCGACGTGCTCTACGCGGTGCAGCTAAACGACACTTTTCTGGATGTTTCAGCCAAGTTTTATAATGGGCAAGCTTGGAATTTTGAAGAGGAACTGCAATACTTTCAGGCGGGTACAAACTTTACCATGCATCTTCTTTGTGGGTGTTCCGAAAGTGACTCCCAAATTATTGTGACCTACACAGTTCAGGACCATGACACGCTATCAGATATTGCAACTCTCTTGTCAGCCAGATTGAGTAACTTGGTTAGATTGAATGGAAATTTGGCTGACAATCCAGCATACATAGAGCCAGGTTGGGTGTTGTATGTGCCTACGGAGAAGAATGGAATTAAATCATCAAAAAATGGTGAGCTTTTTTTGACAATTGCAATCATGGGCTTATAATAAAAAACAAAAGAATATTTGTTATTTGTAATGAAGAATTCTCTATAGGAGTGGAGTTAACTATGTTGTCTATTTTTCCTTTTTGTGTTTTTGTGTTTCTGTTTTTACCGTAAGGTAAGAAACACAAGTGGGAAATTGTTCTTGGGATATTGATAAGCGTAACGGTGCTTTCAAACGGCACCCTGGTCGTCATCCTTCTCAGAAGAAAAAGATCCCATAAAAAGAAAGAGGAAGATCCAAAAGCAATGTCCAAGATTCTGAGTGCCAAAAAATCCTATTCCTTGCGCAAGAATTTCGTTTGCACAGAAACCATGGAAGGTTAGATGAGAAAAAGAAGCCTATTGTTTATGATTCTTACCATATTGGCTATGCCTTGTATCACTTATAACAGAAACTGCTCATGTAGTTAATCTAAATCTTGTGATTTTACAGATGTTACAGGTTTTGATTCAGAAAGGCCTGTGGTTTATGGTCTTGAGCAGATTGCAGAGGCAACAAGTGACTTTGATGAGACTAAGAAAATCGGAGAGGGCGGATATGGGAGTGTGTACTATGGAGTACTTGGAGAGCAGGTATGGAAAAGTCTCCTCAATTTTCTTTCCCATTTCTAGCTGAAACTAACTGATTTTTTCATAAGATAACTCATTATAATCAAACTTTTTAGGAGGTTGCCATAAAGAAGATGAGATCGAATAAATCGAAAGAGTTTTTTGCGGAGTTGAAGGTCTTGTGCAAGATCCATCACATAAATGTGGTGAGTAAATTAACTGACCTCTAATGTGGGCAAAAGAAAAGCATTGAGTGGATTTACATGTGAAATCGGTCTTTTAGGTGGAGCTTTTGGGGTATGCTTGTGGAGATGACCACCTCTACTTGGTTTACGAGTATATTCAGAATGGTACACTTAGCGATCATCTTCATGATCCATTACTACAAGGTATTTCAAGCAACTAGTGACAGGATTCTAAGTTCGGGTGAGGAATTTTCGGGGCTCAAATACATAAAAACTTATAAAATATAGTTATGGTTCCTTTTCCCCGTTCAAATGAAGCCAGATTCTATCGTAACTCACTTGATCATTGCATTTGTGGATGACCATGGTCTTTAACTTTGATCATAGTGAGTGAAACTACATTGCTTATTTGGTCCAAGTATGCCGCAACTTTATACTTTAAATTCACCTCAGGGAGAGAAGATCAAATTGCAGATTAATGAAACAAAATATGCCAAATGCACCTTTATCAAACGGGAAAAGGGCCCTGGAGGATTGACAAGGCAAACTGCTAGTTTTCGGATACGAGATATCCATCCTAGTCACTATGGACGCATTTGTCCTATAGATACGTCCGAAGGAATCAATGTTGGACTTATTGGATCCTTAGCAATTCATGCGAGGATTTCGCATTTGAGGATCGACGAATCAAATGATATTTTTATTCCAATTTTTGCCTCTTCTTCTCCCTCTGAATCAAACTTTTTCTTGCCATAATAATTCAATTCCTATTAGTTTCAAGGTTTTATCAGGATTTTAACTTCCCTTGAGATAATGATCATTAACTTGACAGAAAGTTGGTACTGAAATCAGGTCACCAGCCACTGTCCTGGACTGCAAGAACACAAATTGCACTGGGCACGGCAAAGGGCATTGAATACATTCATGACCACACAAAAGCACGGTATGTACACCGCGACATAAAGACGAGTAACATCCTTCTTGATGAGGGGCTCAAGGCTAAGGTACCTAAAACATGATCAGATCTTTACTGCGGTGAAATGCTTAAACTCTAATTTTCTGGATAGTAGGTTTTGTAGTTCTAATTTTATTTCTGAATACATGTTTAGCTCATACTTTTAAGCATTGCCTTGGCCTATCCCTCTCTACAGGTAGCGGATTTCGGTTTAGCAAAGCTTGTTGGACGAGCCAACGAAGGTGATTTCATTGCAACACGATTGGTTGGAACACCGGGCTATCTTCCTCCAGAGTGAGTTTTATGCGCTTAGCGGTCGAGGTTTCTGCCATGCAAGCAAAAGTACTTCGATCATACGTTTTAGTAGATTGTTTTTCTGACACCATACATCTTTCAATAGATCGGTGAAGGAGCTCCAGGTGACCCCGAAAACCGATGTATTTGCATTCGGAGTAGTACTATCAGAGCTGATTACAGGGAAACGTGCACTTATCCGTGACAACCGAGAGCCTAACAAGATGAAATCTTTGATCACAATTGTAAGTTAAACTTGGAACTCGATACATATCTACTGAAATCTTTTCTCCCAGCTTGACAACACACAATGACGCAAACCTTCGCACAACCGAAGATCTTAGTGAATCATATATATAAGCTTGTTCGTTGGCATTTTTTGAGTTAAAATGATTTGAGTTCAAAACTTGATTTGAATTAATGTGTATTTAAGTATGGTTTGAGTTGAGACTTTAATTTGAGTATGTGTTTGGATGGACACATTTTGAGTTATGGTTTGAATTGAGAATCTATTTGAGTTTGTGTTTGGGTGGATCAAAACTTAAATTTGTTGATAGGGTATATGGGTAGGGTTTTATTCGTCTCTTCGTTGTGAACGCATAGAAAAAAAAATCATTTTAATCGGAATTAAAACGAAAAAGTTATGACGTTTTTAAAAATAAAAAAAATATTGTTCATTAACTTGAGTTTGAGTTGAATGGAGAACTTAAGTTGAAGGGGGAAACTTGAACTCAGATTTTAGCCTCAAATTCAAGTTCAAACTTATGACATGTTTAATTCTCTGATTTGAGTTTTTAATTCGAATTAAGATGTGATTTTATGTGAGAGCTTTTTACTGTAGCAAAAAAATTAAATGTGATTGTTTTTAAAAGTTTTTCAGTATAGCAAAACTCGAATTTTTAAACTCAAATCGGTGAAATGAATAGCCTTAAATTTTACAAAAGAACGTAAAATAAAATTGTAACTTGAGTTCAAACTTTTTTTTAAGTTAAACTCTAAACGAATAACCCCTAATGGTGTTTAGACATGCTTTTGATGTTGCCTATCAAACAAATAATTGAAATAAAATAGACTTTTTTCTCCCGCATAAAATTGGCTGTTACACGGTTGTACTTGTATACGTACCTAAACAGATTTAAAAAAAAAAAAAAAAAAAGGGCATACAAGCTCTTTTTTTCTTAATCTGCCCCCAACAATGAACATAATGGGGAGATCTATTTTCATCGCATCATCAGATTAAGAGTATATTCCAAGTTGAAGACCCAGAGTCAGCTTTAGAAGCTGAAATAGATGGAAATCTACGAGGCAGCTACCCCATTGGAGACGTCTTCAAGGTACGCCAACTTATAGGATGTTTGGTAGAGGGATTCATTCCTTGATTCGAATCATGATTCGTGATTCGCTACAGTATTTTCTCTCACAAAAAATTCACGTAAATCGAAAATGATTCGAATCACATGGTTTGAATCCTCCAACTAAACGTAATATGACAAATCTATCTACAATCTAATGGTAATTTCACTCATCATTGTAGTCAGTGGCTTGAAGGAAACTTTTATTAAATGGATCACAGTTTGGATTTTCTTGTAAAGGGGGACATAACTTAAATTTAAAAACATTTTCACATATATAACTAAAAATTTTAAAATCTGAGTCTGCATGTGGCTCTACCACAGTTGTACTTCCAAATATTCTAAATACAAGGTTTTATGGACCCCATTTCCGCCACTAACAATCCAGCACTGCCCCAACTCAAACTCTTCAAGTGGGATTTTTTTGTTTAAACATTTTACATTAACTTATGATTACAAATAACTTTTTTTTCCTTTTCCTCTCAGATGGCAGAAATTGCAGAGTCTTGCCTGAGTGAAGATGCAGTGGACAGACCAGAGATGAGTGAGGTTGTTGTGATGTTGTCTCAAGTTGCAATGTCCTCTATTGAGTGGGAAGCATCTCTTGGAGGAAGCAGCCAGGTCTTCAGTGGGGTATTCAATGGAAGATGAAAAGAAAAAAAAAAAAAATCAAATCAAATATCTGTCATGTTATTATTTATGTAAGTGACTGAAATAGCTTAGCTGGTACTGTTGTAACTTGCTGATGCTTCTGGGATTATATTGACAAGCCTGGAAAGGATGGAAGGAGAACATGTGTGTATAGTGGTTGGTATCATTAATTTGTGAATTTAACACCTTGTACTCATCTTAAAAAATTAAAAAAAAATTAAAAAAATCAAGGTTGAAGCAATGTAATTTAACCAGATTTGTCTAATAAAGGAATTGAAATGTTTAGCAAATAACAGAAAAATATAGCAAAAAAATAAATAAAAATAAAATGGTGTTCAAGTTCTTGCAACTTCCAAACTGGTTTACTTTTGTGACTTTTTGTTCTCAAGTAGTTCTCCTTCATAGACTGTACAGATTAACAGATCAAAATTACCTATTGGTGCTTTCCCATTTTCTAAAACTATTGTTTTAAGGGTCTTCTAGTTTTATTAAGTTGTCGTTTTCTACATCTTGTTCTTTGTTTAGCTTGTTGTCGTTTTTCAAGGACATTGAAGCCTTTCACCTTGTTGTTTTTAATGTCGTTTTGTATAAGATTCCCTTTTTTATTCCTTTGTAAATGATGTCGTTTTTATCAGCTTTGTCGGTCTGCTGTTGTCGTTTCCATGATGCACTCGTGTTTTAAGTTCTCGTGGCTTTTATGTTATTGCCCTTTATGGATTGTTGTCGTTTCTCGAATTCATTGTCGTTTTTAGCCAATATCGTTTGTAACGGTAGTTGTCATGTCAATGGGATATTGTCGTTTTCATGATGCAGTCGTTTTTTTTAGTTGATGTGGTTTTTCTAGATTATTGTTGTTTTTATAAGAAGTTGTCGTTTTTACTTGTTGTCATTAATTTTTTGTCTTTTGTTAGAGGTTTTTAAAAACCAAGTAAATGAAAAAGCAAATATGGCCTTGGATCGCAACAACGGTTAATCAAATTGTAATTTATTATTCAATTTATTAATTCTTTAAAATGGAAAGGTCCAAAAAAGGAAAACTTAAAATTTTCTTTAACGGCATCCGTTACTCTATCATCGTTGCTGACACAATGACTCAATCGGAGAGAGAGAGCTCGGATCATTGAAAGGCTTTTGCGGCGATAAATGTTGCAAATCTGGTTGTCGTTTGTACGCTGTGGTGGTTTTATGAAAAAAGACCAGACGAAAAATATTCACCGTCAAGGTTCATTGCTTTATTATCGAGATCGAAGAGATATCTCATGTAAGGCTACATTTTTGTCGTTTCATGAATCATGTCTATGTTGTCGTTTCTGAAAGGATAGTTTTTCAAGGGCGTTCTATTTAGTTGTCGTTTCTGGATTATGTCATTTTCAAACTGTGGTTTTAGCATGATGTCGTTTTGCGATAACATAGTAATCTTTTCTGATTCTGGCCATTGTCGTTTTAAAATTCAATGACGTTTTTCAGTCGTTGTCGTAGTATCATGGTCGTTATATAATTTATACAGAACATTGTCGTTTTTATCTTTTTGTTCTTTTGAACTGTTGTCGTTTCAGGACGTAATTTTCACTTACAATTCTTAAAATGAGAAACTAAAATAGAGAAATAAACCAACGCCAACGGAAAACTACTTAGACGGCGTCGTAGCAGTTTGGGAGCAAACATTCTTTACACATTTTTCCACTTCCACATTTCACCGTCTGAGTTTCGTTGCTCCATTATCGTTTCCGATCTGCGACTCAGAGGTCGGAGAGAGAGAGAGACTGAGAGAGCTAAGATCACGGAACATCTTTTCCGGCGATGTGTGTCGTGGAGGAACTTCTAGATGGTTGACGAAGCCCTCAGTTTCCTCCATTTTCGTCTACTTCTCCTGATTGTGGGTTCTTGTTTCTCTCAGATCCCATTGATCTCTGCAAGGTTGATCTGATTTGGCGGAAACCGCAGGAAGAAGTCCGATGGCCGGAGCTGTCTCGGCGCTGTTCCTTCTCGACATCAAAGGCCGCGTTTTGATCTGGCGCGACTATCGCGGCGACGTCTCGGCCGTTCAAGCCGAGAAATTCTTCACCAAGCTCATTGAGAAAGAGGTTCCTTTACCTAATTCGTTCTCTTAATTTTCAAAAGTTGCTATTTTTTTTCGCTATAATTATCTCGGAATTAGTTGAGTAGATCCGGTTGAGTGATTGGTTGCCGAGAAAACGAGTGAAGAGAGAAAAAGGAAAAGACAAGAAATTTACTAATGTTTGTGCTTAAAGGAAAACAAACTTAGGAACTAACAATTGAGTTAGGTTTAGTAGAGATTTGTGCTTGCTCAATTCCAATTAGTTATCGGTTAAGCTTTATTTGCGAGTATAGATTTGATCTGTTCAATGCTTGTGGTTTCTGAATTGTGATTCAGGGAGATCCAGAGTCTCATGATCCAGTTCTTTATGACAATGGCGTCTCCTACTTGTTCATACAGCACAACAACGTTTTCTTCATGGCGGCAGCCAGGCAAAATTGCAATGCCGCCAGCATTCTGTTCTTTCTTCACCGCGTAGTTGATGTAAGGGCTATTGGTAATTAGAATTTCAGAGTATAACATCAAATTATCATGTGTGTCATACTGAATTGGAACCTGATATTGCAATTTTGTGCAGGTGTTTAAGCATTATTTTGAAGAATTAGAAGAGGAATCACTTAGGGATAACTTTGTGGTTGTGGTAAGGGGATATATGGGGCATTGATTTTGGTTTATTTATTGTCGTTGAATCAATTCTTAATTGATAGATCGTGAAGTTTCTGTTAGGTTCGCTATTGAGCTGATGCCATGTTGTCTATGCAGTATGAGTTGCTTGATGAAATTATGGACTTTGGTTACCCTCAATTCACTGAAGCAAAGATCCTCAGTGAATTTATCAAGACAGATGCGTATAGAATGGAGGTTACACAGAGGCCTCCAATGGCTGTCACGAATGCTGTGTCTTGGCGAAGTGAAGGAATACGTTACAAGAAAAATGAAGTGAGACTTTCTTCTTTCTTTTAGGAAAATAGTGATTTGTGTGTTACCCTATGGAGTCACTGATAAGAGTCCTTGTTTAACAGGTTTTCTTGGATGTGGTTGAGAGCGTTAATATCCTTGTTAACAGCAATGGACAAATTGTGAGGTCTGATGTTGTTGGGGCATTGAAGATGAGAACTTATTTGAGGTGAGTTGGCATTTTTTGGGATTTGTTTGTCTTCCTCTAGTAAGGGATGTGTGTTATTATTATGCTTTTCCTTGTCTAGCCTTTGACTTATTAGTTATTTCATCTGTGCGGGCTCTGCTGCAGTTTCATGAGTTAATGCATGCAAGAGCCATATGTCCTCTTAAGGAGTCCAATAAATCCAGCCTTAGAAACCATACACCCGCACCATTTTATTTTGGGTTATTTACCTTTTTGTACCCTATGTTTCATGTTTATTTAAAAAGTATACTTTCAATATTTAATCTCATCGGATGTATACCTTCAAATCACATTTAATACATAAATCCATACATTTTCTTGGTCAACGCCCAATTTTAATTTCAGAATTACCCAAAAGACCCTTAAAAAGGAGAAAATAATTAAAAATTGAACAAACAACAAAAACCTGTAATAGTTTTTTTTCTGTAAAAAAAAAAAAGAAAAACTCAAAAGAAAATCCCCTAGCCAAAATGCGCACCAGATTTCGTCACCAACAAAATTTCAAAATCAAACCTGTAATAGTTTCAATTCTCTATACCCATAACCTGTGTAATCCCCAAAATTCAATTGCAGGGTTACAAACCGATATCAACCAAACTGTGTGCTGACCCAAAATTAGGTAAAATATATATATATATATATATATATTGAGCTTTGCAATCTAAAACACATAAACTTGTAATCATTTGTTGATTTCATCTACAAAAAGTGCAACTCACCTTCTTCTTATGATTGAAACCCATTTTCACTCTTTCTCCAACCCACTTTTACAAATCACCATTTTAATAAAAAGTGGCCAAACCAAAAAAAAAAAAAAAAAAAAAAAAAAAAAACTATGAACACAATCAGCAAAATGCGAAATATAAGAACCCAACAACATTTACCATAGAAGCTTCAAAACCCATGTCCAGAATCAAAAGACAAATATTGATATGTGTCCGTAGAGTACTATTTGAAACCCAAAAGTTTTGTATCAGGGAGAGATAGAAAAGAAAACAAAAGGCAAATGTGAGATATGATGAAAATGGTGAATAATAAAGAGTACTAGGTCCAACAGATCTCCGATCTCCGGCAATGACTGGCTTGAGGACGGTTGAGGATTTTTTTTTTTTTTTTTGCTGCGTTAAAAAATTGACTTAAAAAGACTGAGGATTTAAGTGGTTGGGAGTGAAAAGAAATGGGAACGGGGAAGGACTATGGAGTGAGGGAATTTTCTTTTGGGTTCTTTTTTCTTTTTTATTCTTTTAACTTATTAGGGGTTTTTGTTGTCTTTTATTTTCATTATTTTTCTCTTAAGGGCATTTTGGGTATTTTGAGGTCAAAATTGAGCGTTGATTAAGAAATGGTATATATTTGTGTGTTTAATGTAATTTGATGAGATTTAAAACCAATGATATACTTTTTAAGTAAACCCAAAACACAGGGTATAGAATTGTAAATATCCCTTTTATTTTTTCAGCTAGGACTCTATTATCTACTTGAGTCAACACAATAATGACTCCATAATGCATTTCTTCTTGCCACAATCTGTCTTATATTATGGGTGTATTACTGAACTGGACCTTGTTGAAATTCATTGCAGTGGGATGCCTGAATGTAAACTTGGCCTAAACGATCGAGTGTTGTTAGAGGCACAAGGCCGAGCAACAAAAGGGAAGGCCATTGATTTGGAGGACATCAAGTTTCATCAGTATGCAACTTACCTAGAATTGTGTTGTCACTCATACAAGCATTTTAGATTGAAAATTTCTGATTTCTGTGTCAGTTCTCATACTCAAATTCTGGTTTAGGTGTGTGCGTTTGGCTCGGTTTGAAAATGACCGCACAATATCCTTTATACCTCCTGATGGTGCTTTTGATCTCATGACTTATAGACTCAGCACTCAGGTTCAACTTGTGCCTCACAATTCTTTTTTCCTACTTCATCCTTGTGAGTTGCTTAGTTATGCTAAATATTTCAAATTTCAGGTAAAGCCCTTGGTTTGGGTGGAAGCTCAAGTTGAAAGGCATTCAAAGAGTCGTGTTGAGATTTTGGTAAAAGCAAGGAGCCAGTTCAAGGAGCGTAGGTACTGAGATCTATATATAAAATTCTAATTACATTATGTGGTATGGCAAGGACTTAGGATCTGGTTACTGTTTAATCATTTCTCTAGTTAGTCTCTTTTTCTGAGTTTTGTATCACTTAATAAACTTTAAATTATCTTAGTAATTATTCAAGTCCGATTTTACAGCACTGCTACAAACGTTGAGATTGAGGTGCCTGTGCCATATGATGCTACAAATCCTGACGTTAGAACATCAATGGGATCTGCAGCGTATGCTCCTGAGAATGATGCATTGGTTTGGAAAATAAGATCTTTTCCTGGTGGCAAGGTACAAGTTGATAATATCTTTACGTCTTTAGTAATGTCCGAAATTATGTTGTGCCTACACATGCTGAGTAATATGTACGCTTCCTCTGAAGAATAATGTTTAAAATAATGTTTAGGAGTATATGTTGAGAGCGGAGTTTTGCCTCCCCAGTATCACAGCAGAAGAAGGTGCTCCTGAGAGGAAGGCTCCTATACGAGTGAAGTTTGAGATACCATATTTTACAGTTTCTGGAATACAGGTATGCATTACTAAACATCCGTTTTTCTGTGATATAAAAATCTTATTGGTACACTTTTGTCAATATACCAATGATGCATATTGACAGATATTTTAACTTCATTAGCTTAATGGGCTCTGGTGTGTATGTGAATGAGCAAGGAGGAATCTTTTTTCATGGTTCGGATGGTTGAAAACTTTTCTGGAATTCGCTTGTTCGTAAATTAACCTAATCTGAAAAACCGATTGTAAATTAACTGAATCTGAAAGACTTATCTTGCCTCCGACTTTCTCTTTGCTCAATGACATTTATATGATATAGATGTATTTTGAAGGGGCAGAATTAACGTGATGGCAACTACATTCCAAATAATTAAACAAAAAAAAAAAAATGGTGGAATTATTGAGTCAACAGTTATGTAAAGCACCGGGTTTTGCAGGTTCGCTACTTGAAGATCATTGAGAAAAGTGGATACCAAGCTCTTCCATGGGTGAGATACATAACAATGGCTGGCGAGTATGAACTTCGACTAATATGAATGCAACTCCAACTTGGTGTATCCAACCCACCCCATTTTATGCCTACCTTTTGATCCACTAAAGACCGAAACATGGTGGATAAGTTAAAGATCGTCGAGAAAGTCAATTTGTTTTAGACCGGTCCCTTAATGAGAAAAATATTTGTGTTCTGGCCTTATTTTGTCTGTTATTATTTTTTACTTCTATCCTTAGGTGTTGTAAGCTTCTTATTTGCTGAAAACTAAAATCAATCTTTGTATTGAGTCACCAATTAACCGTTCTTTATTGAGTTTTCTGAAAAATTTTACAAGTCTTTACGTTTAGGCCAGAGAAGTTGACTTTTCTTGGCCTATTTATGTATATTTTCACTGTACATTCTTACAATCATAACGGTTTTATCTCTTCTTTTCTTCCTCTTTTATTTACCGAAGCTCCTTATTTTTTTCTGCCAAAAATTCGCCAAAAGTACTTAAAAAATATGTTTCTCCTGTGCATGCATCAACATGGAAATAGCATAATGAAAGTAGCATCATGCCAAACGATTTGCGCAAACTTACCCCTGATAAACTGTTATTCAGTTTTGCATTTTATGGTAACGTTAGCTGGATTAGAAATCTGTACTTTGAGTAACTTCGCAACTTTCAGATTACTCTCATGCGATGATGAAACTATTAAAGAATAGGTTTTGCACAAAGGAGAGAAGGAATTTTGACACCAAATGACTAGCAAAACCGCCAGCGGAATGACGGTTGATAACCTTACAATCCCGGTGTTTTCATTCAATTTACTAAACAACATAAAAGTTCACAGCAAATTCATACTAGAACACAGCTTTTTCACTGTGATATTCATATGGCTCATACAATTAATGCCCGTTTTTTTATGTCTTTGACACTCAGCAACCTCTGCAGGAATTGCTCAAACGCCTCTTCCCGGCTCAGCATAGTAACTCTGACATAACTTGGATCGACTCCAAAGCGTCTCCCACCTCTGCCCGCTATCTTACAATGTTCTCTTAAGAACTTCTCGCAGTCTTCTATACTCTCATTGCTCTTCAACCACGCATATGCTGCTCGAAAAACGGAGTTGCAAGATATTCAGTATAGGTGCTACTCATGCTTTCATCAATAGAAGCCAATATTAAGAGTTGGTAGAATAACCATTGGTAAAGTTATAATACAAATGTGGGATATGTTAAAGAGTCTAGTACCAGGGTATGACTCGGTGAATTCTCCATGGAAAAGGCAGTATTCTTTTGGGTACTTGGGCAGACTGAAAACCTCACTGACCTCCGCAACAACTTCTCTTAACCTCTTCCATCTCTTGGCCATGAGCTGATGAGCAAATTCGAAGAAGTTTTCAGAGTTTCCTGACTTCAAATCTTGGTAGCTGTCGCAAATCGCCCCCATGATCTTTGCAGCTCGGATTTGGGAGTCTTTCGATACACCGATCGAGCTTAGTTCTATGAACTTTGTCATCTTTCTAGCAACCTCCTCATCCTTGACAAGCGCCCAACTGCCAAAACAAACCAAAAAATAAAAAATGAACATCTCAATAAAACCACCAATTTGACTGATTGATAAGATTTAGTACGTAATGTAACCAAATTAGATTGTTTTTTAAGATCAGAAGCTAACCCAATGCGGGAACCAGCATGTCCTGTGCTCTTGGAAAATGTGAAGTACATGATGTCATAATCAGCAGGGCGAGTTATGGGGGTGTATTGTGGCCAATAGTAGGCAAGGTCATACAGAACCTTGCCTTCGCCAGTACCACTTCTATTCACGACGGCTTCACGAATATTACCATCTGGGTTATTTGGCGAAGTGACCACTTCTATATAAGGTCCATCCTTATCATACGCATATGCATCACCACCCCATTTGTATAGCCCCGAACACAGAAGATCTGTCTCGGCCTGATATTGCTGCATATTAATCCCAAAAATTTAACACGAATTAATCATGTAATTAAGCTCTAATATCATGAAAATTAATAATAAGCCTAGATATATGCATTGTTATAGTTGACTGATGTAGAGATTTTGAGTGTAATAGAAAAAGATAAGACTTAGATTTCCTGTTCAACATATTATGTCAAGCAATTTCGAAGAAAATTAAGAGGCTTTTTAACTAACTTTTTCATTTGTTAATATTTGAGTTCATAAACGGTGTAACGTAGACACAAAATTGGAATACAGTTATTTGAAAAAGATGAAATCGGATATTCAATGTTCATACATTTATTTTATAAAATTTAAACTAATGTTCAAACTTTTTTATTATATTATTTTTCATAACAAAATTTAAATTTATATTCAAATCTAGCCTAACTTACTTCTCTTAATTTGGTCGACCAAACTGATCTTAATTATGTGGTATATTATCAAATGGAACTATAACACACGTGCCCATGTTATCATGTTTTTATCTCAAGCAATGTCCGAAACATGTTACTAGCAAAGTGTAAGTGCTCGTGTCTAATGCATCATGTCTGTCTCTCTGTCCCAGCACCCCATGCAGACACATGCACGTGTCTACGATACTCTTTCTTTTCAACAGCTTCGGATTGTTTCAGTTTTTGGCGCAGACATAGAGACTAATTCGTTATTTTACCGACTCTAGAGCAAAAAGGGCTGTGCTTTCGTGTGCTTGTTTTGGCCAACAGTTCTGGCTTAGCATGTGGGTTGAAATGATTGGAAGACCAACTGAAAAATCAACTTCTTTTCCAGCCAGAAGAAAAATTATAAATATGATAAATAAAACAAAAAACAAAAAATAAGGTCCGCTAAAGCCGGGCCATGAACAGGTATACGTATAACCATGGGTCAGCTCTAAGTACGCTTTGTTTCAAAATGGAGAAGCAAGATTACAAGTTCTTGTTTTTGTTGACTTTTACTTTCCAAATATGATATGAATATCAGATCCAACAATTAATACACCTTAATTTTGCCATATGCCTTAAACAAAATTGTTATATTTTTATAAAGTAAAAAAATGGTATATTTGAATTTACATCTTAACAAAAAATAAAAATAAAAATAAAAAATTCAGACTTGGAATATTTTAGGGTTGTTCTTTTGTAACAAAACTCAAAAAAAGTTTAAACTCGAGTTACAACTTTATTCAAATTCACGTTCTTTTAAGTTCAAACTTTATTTAACTTTACTCAACTTTATTCAAGTTACAACTTCAACTCAAGTTATAACTCAAATTCAACTTAAAATTACAATTAAATCACACTCTAAAAGAACAATCCCTTTATGTCTTGACTCATTAGTTTTACAACTTTCCCTTAAAAATCTTTCAAATTTGAAAAACTAAAAACACAATAAAGACCAAAAAAAGACTGTATAACTAATTACATTAGCAAAACAACTAGACTAAAAAGAAACTGCAAATATTGACTCTCAATAATAACTATACATTGACTTAGTTGACGTTATATTTCCTCCACCATATTATTTATTAAAAAAGAAAGACTTACCGAGTAGTAAGGGGCGGCAGAGACGACGGGGACGGGCCCGGCCCCGCTACCGGGGGCAGTGAGAGCGTAGAGCACCGCCTGGTAAAGTTGCGTGGAGCCCGTCCCGATGACGACATAGCGATCTTCCACCGCGGCATTGCCGGCCACGCGGTGGAACCTCGTGATTGCTCCCTCAAGCTCCGGCTCCAAAAACCAGCACAGCCTCCTCGTGTCGCTCATGTAGCTCATGAGGTCGTTTCCCTTGATCACCAACGTGCATTTCTCCCCCATCTTCCCCCAAAACGACTCGTACACCGTCGGATCACCACTGCTCATACACATACAAAACCGACAACGTTAATCAAAGTCAAAATCATCATGATCATTTTCATATTAGAAGTTCAAAAAAAAAAAAGCTTACTGGTCGAGATTAATGAGGTTATCTTCCTTGGTGACATTGTCTGAAGACAAGGAACATTTGTTAAGGGTTGGCTTGGCAGAGAGTTTCTCAGTGCCACACATCTCTCTCTCTCTCTTTTGTTTCTTCTTTCTTTTTTATGTCTAAATAACTTTTGTTGGGTCTTAACCAGTGTTGGTTCTGATGTAAGAATTTGGTCGTTAATATAGTGGAGGAAAGGTTCATGTATCGAACCTTAATTCTTTATTATGTGTTATCTTTTTTTTTTTTCCCCTAATGAGATATCTATTGTGTTGATCCTTTTGTCCTATTTTTGAGGGAAATGTAGATTCTTTTTGTGACTCTTGAATATCCGAAATCTTGTCTAAATGTGAGGGTAGAAAATCTAGGCATGACAAATATGCATCTGGATTTACCATATTTTTGTTGCAGATTTGCATTATTCATAATTGCTTTGACATATCTAATATTACGGCCCAAATATGTAGGAAAAGGTAAGGGAAAAATAGTAACGTCTTGATTTCCGGTTTTGCCACAATTAATATGGGATTGAAAAGAGCACTTTGAAATGTCAAACCAGGTTTTACAAATGGAGAAATGGTATTATTAAATTGGTAGGACCGGAATAGAAGAAAAGTCGGTAGATTAGATTTCATTCTGAATTTTTCATTTTCATTTTTCTGTTTTTGTGTACTAATTTATTAGGGGTTACAAAAGAATAAATAGAAGATCCAACATTGTGATAATATTGCATTTATCATCATGCATCCAGATTCATTGTTTCCTTTTCTTTTCCTTTTTAAGGATAACCGACGTGATTGTACAAGTGGTGCTTTTTTGTTTTTCTGAAGGCCGGTCAAAGGCTCAAAATTTGATAAAATAACTAGAAAATACCTTTTAAGAGTTTTCAATGTTCTTTCAGAAAATAAATTTCGATTTTAAGGTTTCTCATTTGACAAAAATTAAATAACGGAAACAATTACACATATTTTTCTATCAAGAATATAACCATTTCATATCCCTCGACGTTGTTTTCAAAATATTTGGAGTCTGAAAAGGAACTAATGAGCACTAATTATTTCCGTTGAAGTGTTCAGTCAATTCGGTAATAAATTTACTATGATGATAAGGTCAATTTAAATTTAAGGGGAATTTTTGTTTTTTGCCTTACATACGATAGCCTATCTTTTTTTTTAATAAAAAATTTCATTAATAAATTAACAAATTACACAAATAGTCGCAAATGACCATAACCTATAAAGGAATTCAGCCCCGAACATTGACTAGATCCACCAATGAAGACATATGAGGCACAAGAGTGAATACGAATTGAGACCCAATAAGGGAAGATCCGCTCAGCACAAGCAAAATCAAGCTCGACCAAAGCTCATTAACAAGAACCTCTACAGTTGATGGATAAAACCAATCGACTGAGACCAAACCCTAATACAGAAGACACAAGCGACACGACCTAAAAATAAATTTATGTGTAAACAAACACCCACACTGTCGATAACTAACTCAGATACGTGGACATAAACAAAATCGGAATGTAGGAAAATCACATCCGTTATTACAAAATATAAACTTGACAAAAAAATGCCTTTATTAAAATTAACAAAAAAACTATGAAACTTATGAATAGTCTCAACCATACAGGAATAGGTGCCGACAACAAGTCAACAGCCATTGTACGGAAGCCAAAGAAACGGGATCTTAGCATAGCCATTGCGATAGAAATGCAACCACCACTGACGAAACTGAATGCAAAAACAACTCGAACGATGCCCTTGTGCCACATATCTACCAACAACCTTATGTTCCTCACCAAATCTACGCCTTCATCGTCAATGGACCGCACCCATCAACCACTGACCACACCTACATGACCTCAGCCATCGTCTTGAGGACCAAGAGTCTGGCGGCCAACCAGTGACGCTACCAGACTCCGGCCCTAAGAAGAGATTCCAAACTCAAAATCTTACCCGCCTCACGAGAGAGAGAAAGAGATAGGAGAAAAAAAAAATCGATAGCCTATCCTTAAATGAGTATCTGTGCAACTATAATACCTTGGCCAACAAATATTGCTGTTAAGTATTTGATCTCTCTCTCTCTCTCTCTAGATTTCTCTCTTTTATAAGATTTCTTGTTTTTTTCTAAAATGAAAAGGCTCTTATATATATATATATATATATATCCAACGTGAAAAACCAGGCACGTAAGATTTTAAGGTGAGCTTGGTTAGGTGTTCTCCCAACTCTTTGCTTCGTATTGAATCAATGTTGCTTATTACTTTGGTCTTCAAATTAACGAAATAATATACCGTAATCAAAGAAATGTGAGAAGGTTAAAACAGAAAATGATGACATTCTTTTGCCTCTAGAGATAGAGAGAGAGAGATCAAAAGATGCCAATATCTTCATTCAACCATAATTATTTTTGCATATCCAACACCTCATTCATCTTCATGTTTTTGGTCGGCTGACTTTTTCTCATATTCAAATATCTCAATACCTTACAATCTTTTACAATTTTGCAGTTCGATCGTTTATTATTTGTTTTTTTTTTTAATACGTAGACACGTGAATGAAACTAGTTGTGTTGTTTGCTCTAAATTACATCATGAAGCTTTGACTTAATTAAAGAAATAATAGTTTTGCGCCGACACATGCTTTATGTTGCAGAGAATATAACAAAAGAAAATATGTCTAGTTATGGTGTTTTACTCTCTGTCTACATGAATCACATGATCTCGCAATTTTCATGTGCCACCAAATGATATCATGCATGTGCTAATTGATTATTTCACATGTGACCACAAACTTAAGAATCCCCATATATATGTATATATATATATATATATATCCTTGCCCATAGAAATGAATCAAAGCTCAGATTAACCCGATAATCTTCTTTTACCACTTTCATTTCAATATATTCACATTGGGACTGGAATAAATTAAGAGATATAAGTTTAAAAAGAAACACAACTATCATATATTGATATCTATTCTTTAATCGCAACCCAAAAAAAAAAAAAACAAAAAACAAAAAACAAAACAGAACAAAAGGATATATATTTTAAGAAAAAACACTATTATTATATCAGCATTGCCATGTGATAATATCGAGTTTCCCTTCTTCCAAATGGTTAACTTACAAATTCTCATATCTAGTACTTTGGAATCTGAAAAGTTAGCATTTGCCAAATCATGTCCACATTAATAAAGTAAACATTCAATAGGTCCATTAGAAAAATAAGTATTTTTCTTAGAGCTGAATAGAAAAATTAACCCTAAAAACCAATCCTCTTTTCTTTTTTATCTCCATTTTGACATGATTTCTCTCTCGCGAATCCCCCCATTAGTCCTTTCGTCCGCGTTGATACCTTTAGCATGGTAGGATATAAATCGTCGCTGGTTGTCGGAATTTTTAGTATCATGGCGGGATACCCATAAGTATTATGATAGAATACCCAGAATCATCAGTGGCTGCTACTGATATTTTAGTATGATAGCATTAGGGGTATATTGGATATACGAAGTATGGTGGATAACATCCTCTGCAAAAACCTTTTTTTTTTTTTTTTTTTGCCATCTCTGTAAAGAGTCCAAACTTTTGTCCTCAGTCTAGAGATTTGAAAGGAAAATAAAAAATAAAAAATAAAAAGAGAGAGAGAGAGAGAGAAGAAGAAGAAGAAGAAGTTTAGGCAACATGTCCTTTAATCCCTTTCCTTTGTGCTTCTTAACTCCTCTCTCTTTGAATTTGATTTTAAAAGGAAAAATGAGGGGCGTGAATCTAAAATTGTTGTTTTTTTTTTTAAAAAAAACATAAATCTTTAGGCTCTTCATTGAAAGAGCATTTATCTAATAAGAAATAGTAAAAAATAAGTCAATATGAAAAGCTTAAGAAAGTATATAGGCCAATTTTTAGTTATAAAAATTAATAGGCCACAACTTGTCAAGTTATGGTTTATAACCAGATAAGTTATGGATAAATTTATCAAGTTATGGTTTATAACCAGATAAGTTATGGATAAATTTATCAAGTTATGGTTTATAACCAGATAAGTTATGGACAATTATAGACAATAACTTGTCAAATTATAGTTCATAACCAGACAAATTATGAACGAAAACAGTAATTTGGTCTATTTATTAACTTATGTAAACTATTGGCCTATTAATTTTAATTCATCTCAAATCTTGGTTTATTATCCTCTTTCTCCCTTATTCAATTCCCCTAAAGATAATTCCATCAAAAACAAAGTTAGACAAAGTTTTATCATCTTTGAAAAGTCTACACACTTGGTAGTTAGTACCGTGTTTCCCTTGGTGATTATTCTACCAAAAACAAAGGGCACATCTACATTCAACATATCTTTCATTGTTAAGAGTACCACTAGTGCAGAACTAGACGTTAGATTAATGCTGGTAACTTGGTATGATACAGTCAATATCAACTCCTGTGTCACTTTATTCCCGTCTCTTTTCATGTAAATACAGTAATATTATGACACTTCAATTATAAAGTTATGACGTGGCATATCATTATTGAGAGGACATAGAAAGGGACAAGAAAAACCCAATCGCAATACTACCTAAGAGTATTTTGGATATTACGGGTTCTATGCAGTGACATTAATTGTCAAAGTTTCTTTCTAGAGACCAATTGTGAAAGTTACCTAAAAGCCCTTCATTTAGCCAATATTTGTTTTTTTGAGAGATGCTGGCATTTTTTTTTTTTTTTTTTCAAATTTTCCTTGTATGTTAGTTTTTTAACATTATAATGTTCCACGTACTCTTAGGTAGTCGGTCTCAACCGTCAAGCCATAGGATCGACAGCAAGCTCACCAACGTAGTAGAGGTGTGATAATACATATACGACATCTGAATATATGATATAGATTGGATAGAAATATTCCATGTTTCATATGTTAAATTGGTTGTATAACTATCGATTAATTTCTCTTATAATTACACAGTTTCTTATCAAGTATTATTATTTAATCCAATGCTATATTAGATTTCGAGATGTTACATCCAATCCAAAATATGTACAAAATGTAATTCTTTAATCTATATTAATACTACATAGGACTATATATTCTAGGGTGTAAATCTCTTATTAAATGAAAGCTCGTTGGTAAATGTTATAATCATCACCATAATTGATATCCATCCTTTTTTCATCTATTGACAATTGCCGAAAATAATGGCAAGTGATGACAAGTACAAAAAGCCAAACCCCTATAGATTAAAAATCACTAAGATATAAACTAGTAAAAGAAGAAAACGCAAAAGAAAAAGAACAGAAAAGATGATCCGGCTCCACGTTGTACGCATTCGAGCTATTTGGATTCAATCTTGTTTAACGCTGTGTTTGATAAGAGAAAAGAAAAATATGAAGAAAGAAGCATTACTAACCAGATACGTACTCAGCTCCACGGGTTAGCAATCTGAATCATCAGCTCATATTACTCTACTGAAAATCGTTTCTTTAAATGTAAAGGTACCGTTTTAATAATATTCAAAATAAAGGGTACAGTGAAATGTTTTTTTTGTTATAACAGACGGTGTCAAAATGATTTTATTCTTTTATTGTTTGATAAGCCTAAAATTCCATCAACTGGTGGTTGATGACACGACGGCAAGAGGACGAACTATTAGAGGTATCTCTCTCATCAACCATAAGACTGCAATTATACCTACCTCTTAAGCCTGCCGAATATGATTTGGTTCTGGTGTAATTTAGGCTCCCTGGTTGTTGATAGAGGAAACAAAGATCATCCATTAATCAAAACCGGAACAACAATATTGCATAAAATATATCATGTACTACTAGTCAATAAAAGAAATAAATAAAACAAAATTAGCTCTAATAATCATTAAATGATCATTCATTATTAGAAAACTTTGACTAAACTATGCTATAAATCCAACAACTGTTGTTCATATGGTAGCGGGGCTGGGTTAAAATTGAAATGGCCAAACCAAGCAAATCGAGTTATTTGCAGACTTTTTGATGAGTGAGTTGTACTCGCTCATTTAGTATCGTTTTACACTTAATATCTAGTTAATTTTTGAGGTTTTTGTTAGTTTTTATGTGTGTTTTCGTTATTTGTTTGAAGGATAGGTGAAAGTCTATGATTTGGAAGGTTTTAGACAAATTTTGGTGGAAAAAAACAACAAACATAGCGCTTAGGCGCCAATCTGTAGCGCCTTGGCGCTGAGTTTTACGGATCAGTGCAGTGGGGCAGAATGGGCAGCGCTTTGGCGCCCATGACAGCGTCGCAACGCCCAGGATTTTTACGCAGTAGCGCCGCAGCGCTAGGAACTCAGCGCCGCGGCGCTACAACGCAAGAAAAGACGCGTTTTGAAGGCCAATCGCGAGAAAACTTACCCGTTTTGACCCTAATGCTCCGAAACATATAAATAGATGATTCTAGGGCAATTAGAAAGAACTTTTGGACTGTGGAGAGACGGCTGGCTTTTGAGAGAAGATTCAAGAGAAGAAAAGGAGAATTGGCTACGGAGAAGAAGAACGGCTCAAATCCGGAGACGGAGACGCTTCAATTCAACTCCAAACTAGTTATTTTCTTTCCTTTCCAATGATTAAGACTTTGGTTAGGAATTTATTTTGTTTAGAAATGAACTAATTCCTTTTTCTAGGGCTACGATGTAGCCAGATTATGAATGTTCATATTCTCAATCTTATTTTTAAGTAATTGATGTTTAATCCATATATGCTGAGTATTTCAATTTATTCTTAATGCTTGTGATTGTTTGGCCAACTATTACATGATTTTGTATCTATGATGCTTGTGCAGTCCTTTTGAATTTCTTGCACTTAATGATTTTCAACAGGTTTAGAAGTCTGACAGAGATGTAGATTTTGCTTGTTGGATTAATATTATCGTTGCTTGAGAAAGAATAATAATTGCTTTAGAGAAATTACTGTCAGTATAGGATTGAATATTAATTTTCTTGAATTATGGGAATTTGAACAGGATTAATTTTGGTGAAATCGGAAACCCTAGAGTCTTAATCTATTGAATTTTATTCTATTGTTTAGCGTTGTTTGATTTATTTAATTGTTTTAGTTTACTTTACTTAATTTTATAAACTCACTTTTCAATTATTCAAATAAAATTAGGGTTAATATAATTTCGGTAATTAGTAAACAACAATCCTCGTGGGACGATATTTTTATTCACTATTATATTACTTGATTGTAATAGCGTATACTTGCGTTACGATTTTTCACGACACCTTCATCTTCATCTCTTTCTCTTCGTCATCCTTTTTGGAAATTCAGGTTAGTTATATGGCGTAATTTTGTAATATTAGTATACATGCTTTAAAGTACCAAAAAATATATATATAATGTTAAAACTTAACTTTGTAGAAGATGGTGTAACGTTTTTTTTTTTTTTTTTTTTTTTGTACATGCAGTAATCTGTTCGTTTTATCATAGTTATAAAATAATTGTTTTGTAATTATATTGATCTTACATTTATAACTCCTAAAATGAAAAGAGTTTTAAATATTAAATTTGTTATACAATTATTGCACGATGTGATTGATATAGCTTTTAGGAAGGGTTAGTAATTGACTGACTTGGTAGCTCTACCCTAAAAATAAAATCCTTAATATATTTTAAGAAACTGTAGGTGATCTATATTCTGTAATAAATTCATCTGGAAAGGCCGAGAAAAAGAAAAAAAAAATGCAATCCATCTATTATCTATTCCATTACTATATTATAAGTGAGAGTTCTTTTTAGTGCTATTCAAAAATTTAATTCAATTATTTTGTCTTTTGGTGCTTTATGGCTTTTTTTCTTCTTGTTTTTAACTTTCTTTTACCTTTTTCTTAAAATGTTGTGGGAGAGTGGAGACTATTATGTATTGGGTGGTTTAGTTTTTTTCCCCTTAAAATCTTCTCAAAGACGATCAAGTATTTAGTAAACTGTTTTAATTTTTTTAAAAAGTTTATTTCTTATATTTTAAATGTGCTTCATTAGAGTATACTTTCAGTTAATTTCTTCCTATATAAATAATTTTGTTTCGATATAATTCTATAAAATATTATTTTTGTCAAAATGTGATCTTTAAAAATATACATTTTTTAATGATGCTACTTAAATAATTTTTTTATTTTTCAAAATTTTTTTTTCTCAAATGCAAATCCATTTTCTTATTGTTTCTTCTATTATTTTCTCTTTTAAAATTTCTTTCCCCTAAAATCTTATATCTTTTCTCACGGTTTTCTAAATATTATCTTTTCAAGTAATGTTTTCATGAATATCTTTTTATGAGAACTCTTATTCTAGATTCAAGTACGAATTTAGAAAATCTCTGTGATATTAATTTCATGAGAAAATAGTTTAAAAAAATTCATATTTTTAGACTTTTTTTCTTATTAATTCTGTTACGTATTTTATTTAACTCTTTAGAGAATTATAAAACTAAAACATGAAATTAAACCATTTAAAAACTAAATATATATACATGTATCAAAAGAAAAAGGAAAAAAAAAAAAAAAAAACCATATGGAAAGCACATGGTTTCACTAGTAAATGATTAAGGGAAGGAAGGAAAGGAAGGAAGAAAGTAAGAACCCTGTATTACCAAGAAGAAAAAAAAAAGTAAGAATCCAATATACAAAAATATAAATCGAGAATTCTAGACATCAAAAAAAAAAAGTGCAAACAAAGAGAATTTTAGGCAGTGCAGCAATTTTTTTTTTTTAAAAAAAAAAAAAGAGAAATTGAGATAATAAAATATCAAAAAAAAAAATTGTACATTTTAAATAATATTTATTTTTTACACTACTTACTTCCAAGTTGAGCTTTTTTTTTCCCTATTGAATATTGAAATATTTGATTATTTAACCATTAATAATTGAAGGGACTCTATAAGTTTAAAAGAAGAAAATGCCAAAAAAAAAAACCAAAAAAAAAAAAAAAAAAAAAAAAAAGTGAGAGGAAGAATAAGAAGAATGATGCTCCACATTTACACCATGATTGAATAACGTGATGCTCTTTAATTGCTTTCTTTTCAGTTCTCCATAGCAGATGCTAAAACTATTGGTGGGTTTGGTTTGGTAAGGTTGGTCGGGTTTTCCTAAATACATGCTTTCTACAGCGTTCAAAAATGCTGTCGTATACAAGATCAAACTGGACTCCTGCTCTTTCCCGGTTCACAATGAAGAGTATGTGATCGCCTTCCACGATCTTGTAGTACCTGCACACAATCCAAGTTCCATATCTTGATTTTGCTTAATCATAGAATATCTGTTTATTGATGACATAAACCAAATGACCAAATGATCTTGCATTATTCAAGCCAACTTTATCATGGACTTCTAGGAGAGTATAAAATGAAAGGACATTTCTCAGAGGATAAAGATAAATTAAGTGGAAAATAAGCATTACTAACCAGATACCCGGCTCCAAGGGCTGGCAATCTGAATCATTAGCCACAAAGCGATTAGGATGTTCAATGGGAAGACGAGGGTGAGTCATGGATATGGTGTTAAGGGCTCCATCATTGTCCTGCCAATCCTCATCCCTGCATATGCATTCGCGCAATAAATGAAACTGAAAAAAAAATATATACATATTTTTTGCGGAGCACAAAGTATGCTTTGAAGTTCTAGACTAGATATTCAATAAGCCAAGTCAAACTTGGTCATAGCATAAATGCATACACAAAAACTAAAGGTGAAAACTAGATTCGGGATGTGCACGCAACTCAATTGTCAGCCACCAGATACTAGGAAGAAAACGATCTCAACCGTTAAAAATAAAATTTGTCAAGTAAACGCCTAGCTCATTTGTTCTCATCATCCAGTGGATGAAATTAGGCTGCATGGTGCATCCTGAAAAAGGATGTACTCAAACTAAAGAGTAATTTGAAGACCTACCTATAGCCTTTGTAAGGGGGTGAAACATCAGGAGGGTGACGCCATTGGCTCACCTGCAAAACTCTAATGAAAAGCAATGGATGAATTCCAAGTATGCCAGAAGGAACTGTGACACCGAAGATCTTCTTAGTGCGCTTGGTAGCATAGCTGAAGTAGTAAGTGTTGGGAAATGTATGCAGATGACTGTTAAGTCTTAGGGACCCTTGGATTGTAAGGTCTGGGAGGATCCAATCTCCTGAAGCAAATGGACCTGCATTCCCCAAGAGGCAATCAAGAAGACCCCAAATACCCGCCTTCTTCCATGACATGTTAAAGTGATCGAAACCGAAGTTGTAATAGGCCTTCAACCACGGAATATCAAACCAATCGTAGATTATCACGCCTAAACGACATAGCTGCAGCAGACATATAGGTTTCATTCTCCTTCCATCTTCTGGCCTGCAGCAATTAGGAATCTCAGTAACTAATCTAGGATTTAGGAACAAGAAACAAGCTAACTCAAAAGCTCTCGAAAATTTTCATGTTGACAACAATAAATTTATAATCCTAATCTCAGTTGTTTTCTTTCTGTGTTTTTCTTTTATGTTGGTAATAACTGGAGTAAACAAAAAAAAACAAAAACAAAAAAAAAGTGCAAACGATATGATACTCACTGCATTCCATCTAAGTAGGTTCTTGTAGTTCCATTGAAAGCTCCAGACAAGGATGTTATACTCAGAACCCAGTTTTCATTAGTGTTCTCAAATCCCTTAAACTCCTAAAGTGAAACATATAATCAGTAAAAAAAAATTAAAGAAAAAAAATAAACAAGAAAAAATAGAATTTGTCAATTTGCAGTAATATAATTTGATACACACAAATTAAACCAACCTTATCAGCAAGCATTTGTTGAAGCACACGAACAACCTGTGCTCCGGCCGAATGGCCCACAAACTGAATTGGGTGATCCTCATCCCATTCAGGGTAGTGCCCTGTATAATTATATTCCAAAAATAAATAGATAAATAAATAAAATTTATACACAAAATTTCATCAAAACAATAAGATTAGTGAAAGAAGAAGAACCTTGTTCATAAACACGACCAAACTGGGAGTGCCCACAAGCCTTGCTGTGTTCTTCTCCATAATCCACTTGCCCACCTTTCAAATAATAGAACAATTCTCGAGCCCTGAAAATCCCAATACCGTTAATAATTTTGCTCATATACAAAAAGATAACTTTTTTTTCTTTTTAATGATTTTTTTTTTTTTTGAAACCTTTTCAAACACAAACACAATAACAAACCTATCGTAAATGCTCGTCAAGGACCCCAAATCCGGCACGAGAACCCTTTCGTCCTTCTTCTCCGCTCCGGCGAAATACGACAAGCCTCCCAACCTCTACAAAACCAAACCCAAAAACAAAACAAAACAAAAAAACGTTTCCTTTCTTCTTCAGAAAACCAAATTCGAACCAATTTTTCACAGAGAAGAAAAAAAAAAGTTTACCCCTTTGCCGAAGCCGAAGATTCCGTGGACCAATACGATCGGAGGGAGATTGTCAGCGTTGACTGTTGTTGTAGTCGTCTCTGTGGGGGATTCATGTTTGACCTCAAAATTCGTGTTGGGTTTGAAGAAGGTCTCGTTCAGAGCCTGAGAGAGATCTCCGGCCACGGCAGAGCTGAATATGTAGAACCCGTAAAGCATATGAACCAACGAGCTCACGAACAGCTCCGCTAATTGCAGCGAAGCTATCCAAAATCTAATCATCTTGTCCAAGAACGAAAAAATAAAAAATAAAAAAAAAGGAAAAAAAGAAGAAATCTCTTTTTTTTTTTTTTCTTGTTTTGTTTTGTTTTGTTTTATGATAAGATGAACAAGAAGGCTCAAAGTTTCCAGAGACCTCTAAATCCAACCCATAAAAATGGGAGAAGAAAGAGGTCTCTCTGAAACACCTTTGAAAAAAAAAAAAAAATTTAAAAAAGTAATTTTATTAGGCAGACTTTTGAAAATTTGTTTCCCACAAATTTTGACGGTTCCGACTTCTTTCTCTCCCGTTAACAGGAGTTACGACCAATCATGTAAATGAGAAACCTTTTACTGTTCATAAATTATGGAAAGATGACGTTAATTTGGGTTGGTGCCACGTGTCCTCTAGAAATCCTCTCCCGAAGAAAACGTATACGTGACAGACAAAAGAAAATGGGATTAGAATCCAAAATCTTGGGGCTTGTTCTTGCCGTGAAAAATTTTAAAAAAAATAACTTGAGATATAATTTTATTAAAATTTATATTTTTTTAAGTTTAAATTCAAGTTTAAATTTGAGTTTATGACTAAAATTTGAGTTTAAGTTTTTCTTTCAATTTGAGTTCAGAAACTCAAATTCAAATTAATGAACAGTATTTTTTATTTTTAAAAATGCTATAACTTTTTCATTTTAATTCTGATTGAGATGATTTTTTTTCTATCCGTTGACAACGAAAAGATGAATAAAACCCGATCCATATACCCTATTAAAATTTTTCATCAACATTAAGTTTTTATTGAAATACTATCTAAATACAAATTCAAGTTTTGACTCACTCAAATACAAACTCAAAAAGATTCTTATCTCAAACCATAACTCAAATGTATACAAGCAAACACAAACTCAAGTTACAAGTTCAACTCAAATTATAACTCAAATTTAACTCAAAAATTATATTCAAATTAAACTCTAAAAGAATAAACCCTTGACATATGATTTACAGGTTTAAGGAGTATTTTATTTGAGAATTTGTGTCATGATTTAAATTTTAGTTTGATTCGTTATAATATTTTTTTTACAAAAAATATATATAAATTAAAAATAATTTTAAATTATAATTCAGAATTAATATACGAAGCGTCTACTTAATTGATAAATACGGGTGTTTTTGCTAATAAGTTTTTTTGGCTATGGGAAATTTTTGGAATTTTTTGGTTTTGGTTATATATTCTATATTCTATATTCTATATTCTATTCTATTCTAATTGAAGGCGTTTGTTTTCACGCTTTTGTGCGCTGGTGTTGAGCTGGAAGGTTCTTTATCAAACCAACCCCCAACTGTATCCGTGTGACCCCCCTATCCGTTTCATCAATTTCTTCCCAATTTAACGTTCTAAAATCTCACTCACGCGCAACAAATTCTCGTGCATTGCAATTGCATGCGATTAGATTTATTTATTTTTCTTTTTTAGGCTTGGGGGTTCGAAGTCTTCCTCCAATAGAGCTTGCAGGAAGAGTTTTTAATTATTAGATATGAATAAAATTACATTATAATAAAAATATACAGAATATGTAGGTTTTTAATACAATTTTGACAGTTAAAAATATCTTTTAAGGTTCGCTTGAAAGTTTATTCAAATTATAATTCTTAATTTTAACGTTTAAAATTTAAATTTTTTATGAGAAAAAATACTGTAGTAAAATAAATAATTTAAATTTAAGTATATAAAACAAACGAGCCTTTAAATATTTATTTTTTGAGACCAATCAGAGAAATCTCCAAAAAAGAGGAGAAAAAGTGTTATGCCTCGTTCATTTTATTGATTCGAATTTTTAATTTTTAATTTTTACAGTAAAAAATTCTTAAAAAATGTCACATCTAATTTTTTCTGCTACAGTGAAAAGCTCTCATAAAATGTCACATCTCAATTTGAATTGAAAATTTAAATCTGTGAAGTGAACAAGGCACAAAGAATGCACAATAATAGTGAAAGAAAAATTGTGTGAGAAGTTGTTTCTTCCAAGCAAAAACATGCGCTTTTCCTTTTTGGAGGTTGACATGGCAGTTGGTCTCGTTTGTTGGTTATGCAATTTGATTTCCATTGGCCTTTTCAAAATCTCTTGTTTGGTCTCTATTGTGAATAGAAGTAATTATCCGTTTTGTGATTTAACACTCTTTTTAGCACTTTATTTGAGTCTCAACTTTTTTGAGGAACAGCTCAAATAATGTGAAAAGGAAGAAAAAAAAAAGTTATTCCTCCTCCTTTCTTTATTTTCTTCGTCTCAATAGAAAAAAAAAAAAAGAAAAAGAAAAAAAGTAGAGAGAGAAAGAGAGTAATTCAATAGTATTTAAAAACATACTTTTTTCCATGCGATATTATTCGAGACTGTTATATTTTCGTACAAAAAATTTATCATGGAACACTTTTTTTTTTTTTTTTTTGGAAAAGGATACAGTTTTAATATAATCTTAACATTCATAAAAATCCCAAAAAACATTTTTAATATGTTTTCCTCAAAAAACATTCATAAAAATCCCAGCATAATACTATAATGCAAATGGCATGGTACACGCTCAAGAAATGAGCGTGGGCGGTTGGTCAATCTTCAACGTTGAAGGGCCAGTGCGTGGCACATGCAGATTTCGTGTTGGCTACCAACAACAAGAAAACACCACAACCATAGAGTTGGGGCTGTTCAGCTCCCCCTCACTAAACTACAAATAACAACAACAACAACAACAACAACAACAACAACAACAACAACAATAATAATAATAATAATAATAATAATAATAATAGTTTTTTTGGTGGGACTAAAAAATAAACTATCGGTAATTTTTTTATTTTAAGCCATAAGATTTATATTATCTGTTATGTATACTTTTTAAATCTACAATTTTAATTAAATTTAACGATTAAGAATTAGCACTATTGATAGAGAATAAAACGACTAAAGACAGGGAATTTTTACATAGAACAAGCTATTTTGCTCTACCAGTGAGGCAAGTATTTGTACGGCTGATTAATTTTTTAATAATTAGATTTGTAGTAAGAGCAGTTTTATATGACGCACTGTAAATTTTTAATATGAACAAACACAAATTTAACCGTTAAAAAAATTAATCTAACTGTTAAAAACACATTCCTCTTACAATAATAAAGTATGGTTAACGGTGAGCCTTTATTTATAGTTGGGGACGTACTATAAATCAACACCTTTGACCATCGATAAGTGAGGACAGTCTAATTAGTTGTAAGTCCTTAACTCTAACCATAAATTAAAAATTTGAGTCACTCTAAACCTCACTTAAAAATAGTGGCATTCCTCATTCTCTTATATAAATAAAAAATAAATAAAAAAACACCTCTGACCGTCTTTCATACACGGCGCAAATGCCCGTTTAGTTCGCTGATTCAAGTTTTTAACTCGAGTTGAGATGTGACTTTATGTGAGAGCTTTTTACTGTGGCAAAAAAGTTAGATGTGATTGTTTCTGAGAGCTTTTTATTATAGCAAAACTCAAATTCTAAACTCGAATCGGTAAAATTAACGGGCCAACGTTTCACTCCTTAAATTCTCCCTCTATTAATAATGGTTCTAATACCATTAGTTGTTGAATTATTTAGTTTGCAATATCCACATGTCAATAATCAATGCGCGCGGCTTTTCTTAAATGAAGCTTTTTCCTAAACATAAATCCCGTCCTTAATCTAATTGTATCCCTTGGCGGATCTTTTCTAGTATAACAACTAATGAGGCTAGTTGTTGAATTATTTAGTAAAAAAAAAAAATCTTTTCTAGTATAACATCTCTATTAATGAGGCTAGTTTTTTATTATTAAATTCAGTCAAAATCATATTAATTAAAAAATACATACAATAACAATTTCCTAAAACAATTGAAACAAAACTTTTCAATAGTGAAATCTCCTAAAAAGAAATAGTTTTCTCTTTTTCTTCGTCGACAGCTTATTTAATTAAATCGTAAAAAAGAAGCGACATTATTATATTGAAGGAGAATAAAATATACGATTTTATGATACGTGGGCCACGTGAAAATGTCCACACTTGATCTGAAGGGTGAAGATCACGATTTTAGTGGAGGAATAATCAACCTTTATAATTGAGAAACTTCCAGAGGTTGGATTGTTTTATTTGACGTAGATTATAAAAAAAAAAAAAAAATCAGTTTTATGTTTATCAAGACAATAGAATAAGTTGATTAATACATTAATCATGTTTGTCAAGACTATAGAATAAGTTGATTAATACATTAATCAATCACCTGAATCCAATCCATCTTTAGAACGTGTTGGAAATACGTGCGCGTCAAAGAAAAACAAAGGGGACACCATAAAGTTCTAGATGGTTCGCTAGCTGTACTAGCAATAATACTATTCTTTAGCACTCGGCGGATCCACGGACCACAGTCTTTGTTTCTCTCTCTGATTAGGACTTGTGCAAATCAATTTTTTTTATTAAAATTTTTTGTTTTTTTCTAAATGAATTTTGTCACTTTTCTAATGGTTCATTCCAGTCCCTACCATAATTTTTTCATTACCTAAAAAGGGAAAAATAAAAAACGAGAGAAAAAAAAAAGGTATTCTAATCTCATGTTCACTTTGGTACTGTACCTGGTCGAAAACAGATGGCTGAGGCCTAAATTTTACCCTTTTTTTTTTCTTTTCGTTTTTTAAGCTGATCGTAGATATTTTGAATCAAGTCCAATCAATCTTGGTTGTGTTTGGTTTTTAAAATTAAAAGCGAGATCTTATTAAATTATCCTAATCTAAAATATCTTTTCTTTTATCTTATTTATAACTGACTAAGAAGATATTTGTTTCATGTATTCGTCTTGATTTTGAATTATAATTTATGATTTTTTCCAGTATTTTTTTTTATAAAAATACACGTAAAACGAGAATAATTTTAAATTATGATTTTTAATCTACGAATCAAACGTCTACTGAATAATTCAAGTCGACATATGTTAATCCAGAGTGCATGGAATAAGTAATCGGATTAGGAAGTATAAAACAACCAATGTCAAATTCTAGTATTAGTGAAAAAGTTATTAAAGTTTAAAATTTAACATTTCCATCTTAATTTATAAACGTCTATTTTTTTTATTTATAAGTGTGTTTCAAATCAGGATTTTTTTTTGTTTGATTTAAAAATTTTGGAGAGTAACTAGTAATCCATCATAGTTATCTTTTCAAGAGTCATCATAACACCCACACATATTGAGAAATGACTATATAGAATCTTAAATACTAATATTAAGAGACAAAACACGTCAACTAAACTTCATCAAGGGCTAATAAAAATACAGTTGGCGGTTCGTAAGTAATCTAAAACGATGCATATGAGACTCATATCCGATCTCTTGTCTAGGAATTGTTATTTTTATAACTTAGAATTACAATTTAAATTTTTTATTAAAGTATTTTATTTCACAAAAATTTAAATTTAATTTTTTTATTACAATATTTTTTCATATAAATTCACTTTATAACTCGAGCCCAAAAAAAACGAGGCCTAAGTGTGCAAATTGCTTGAGCATAATTGCAATGCCAATGCACGAGTAACACCACTACCTTGGTGGTAATTGAAATTTTTGAAAAAAATAATTGTAGGGATACTAGTTAAAGTCTCGATTATTGTATACCAATTAATATGGCGTATGACTTCTCATTTTTACATTTATATGTATTAACATCGTTGACACATCAATTAATGATAAGAGATTGTATCTATTAATAAAAAATGACAATTCACATACTAAATAAATTAGTACACGAGTGTTGAGATTTAAGTTGGTATCCTAACATTACTAAAAAATGTAGTATCATTAAGAGAGAATTACATGTTTTACTCCATTATTACCAAACCTCCTAATTCTACCCTTTTCAAAAAACTTTACCCCTTTCATTTATATGAGATATTTTCATCATAAATTGAAAAGACTAAAATAACCACAGATTATGGATCATACTATGACTAACGCCGGTGACCGAAGGTCTGTGGCCAATGTAATATGTCAAGTAATGGATCATAACTTGTCAGGTTATGGTCGGAGACCCACCAGTAGCCGGTATAATCTGTTATGTTATGGATCATAACCTGTCAAGTCATGATTGGCAGCCGGTATAATCTGTCATGTTATGGACCGTAACTTGTCATGTTATAGCCAAAGACCCGCTGATGGCATGTGTAATCTATTAGGTCATGGATCATAACCTGAGAGGTTATGGCCAGCGGCCAACCGGAGACCTGCGGTGGCTAGTGTAATGTGTCAGGTTATGGATCATAACCCTTCAGGTTATGATCAGGAACCCTTATGTGGCTGGTGTAATCTATCAGGTTATGGATCATAACCTTTCAGGTTATGATCATGGACCCTTTAATGACCGGTGTAATCTATCAGCTTATGGATCATAATCTGTCAGGTTATGGCCAGCTGGATAGAGACTCACCGCCTGGCGACGGGAGACCGTCAGCATATTTTATAATTTACCAATGGACCATTGAGGGTAACTTTGAAATTTTAAAAATGTTTAATTTAACTATTTTTATTATTTTAATTATAAAAAGATAGAAACTAATGAGCTAATTTTTGGGGGTTAGAATTTAGAAATAGATTGGGGTACCTATTTGAGGGTATTTCCATTGTTTTCTCTACCATTCATGTTGTTCTTGGGCTACACTTCTACTCCGATCTTTCCAATTATATATGTGTGGCCCATCTAAAAAGCCCAGATACATGTTAACGTGGGTCACTGAAGCCCAGACTAAACCCAAATCGACGCGCCCAGTCCAGTTCATTTCCAGCGAGTTGGGGCAACATATCAGTTTTCTCTTCTTCTCAGGGTTTTTGATCGCATCACACGCAGTGAAAAGCCCTAGTTTCAGAGAGGTCGAAAATGGCGTTTCAGCTGTTGAGTCGCAGCAGAAGCGTGACGAGACGGTCGAGTAAGTACCTGGAGGAAGCTCTGTACAAGAGGCTGTTCAAGGATGGCGGCTCCGAGGTCAGCGTTCGACGGCAACTCAACGACTTCCTCAAGAGCCGCAAGCGAGTCTTCAAATGGGAGGTCGACGACACTCTCAGGAAGCTTCGCGATCGCAAGCTCTATTGCCCTGCCCTCAAGGTCTGTTCATCTCCATTTCCTCATTTCTATTTATGATCTTGGTTTTCAGTTATTAGTTCCTAGAACTTAGAGATTCAAATAGTTTTACAAGGTATTAATGGATTCGCGAATCATGGAAGGTCTTCAAAGTTACCGCCTTTTTTGCGAACTCTGGTTCATTGTTTCAAAATTGAGTAGTGTGGATTTGTATCAAATAGCAAAAGCGTTAACATTAAGCCTCCGTTTGGTTTGCATTGTGGATTTTTGGTTTGAAATGAAAAATCTGAATTTTTTTTCATAGCGGAAGGGTTCAAAACTTCAAATCGCTGAATTGAGAAGAGGCCGAATCTCAAATTGGGGGTTAAACCGAATTTTTCAATCCGAACACAGTCTGATTTTTTGTGCCATACACGGTTTGGATGGCGGACTTGATTCAAATCTAGGAACTAAACACGGTCTTAGATTTATTGCCATCTTTAAACAATACAGTGACACATATTGTTTTTAAAGTTTGCGCATATTAGCCATACTAGTTCAAAGGTTACATATGTTGTGGCATAGAAATGAGTTTATTTGGTAGTGAAATCCCAATTGTTTTTGGCCATTTTTATTAGCTCTTTACTGGTGAACTGAATTATGTTATACAGCTATCCGAAGCAATGGCTAAAAGGGGAATGAACAAGACGGTCAGTGATCAGGCCATACATTTAGATTTAATTGCAAAAGCTAGGGGTATTCCTGCTGCAGAAACTTATTTCGTTGATCTTCCCGAATCTTTTAAGAACCATCTAAGCTATGGGGCGCTGCTCAATTGTTATTGCAAGGAATTGATAACCGAAGAAGCTGAAGCGCTTATGGAGAAGATGAAGGAATTAAATCATCCTTTGAGCTCCATGCCTTATAATAGCCTTATGACCCTATATGCAAAAAAGGGGAAGCCAGAAAAAATACCTGCTATCATACAAGAAATGAAGGCGTCTGGTATTATGCTGGATTCTTACTCGTATAATGTCTGGATGCGTGCTCTTGCTGCTGTCGATGATATCTCTGGAGTTGAAAGGGTTATTGACGAGATTAAGAAGGATGGCCGAGTTGTTAGTGACTGGACAATATATAGCAACTTAGCATCCATTTATGTTGACGCTGGTTTGTTTGGGATGGCAGAAAGTGCACTCAAGGAATTGGAGAAGAAAAATGTGGAGAGAGACCATTCTGCTTTCCAGTTCCTGATTACACTCTATGGTCGGATGGGAAATCTGGTTGAAGTTTATCGAATATGGCGATCTTTGAGATTGGCATTTCCTAAAACTTCAAATATAAGCTATTTAAACATGATCCAGGTGTTGGTTAATCTGAAAGATCTACCAGGTGCAGAGAAATGTTTCAGGGAATGGCAATCTAACTGCTCAGCTTATGATATTCGGGTTGCAAATGTTCTGATTGGAGCTTATGCTAAAGAGAATTCACTTGAGAAGGCTCAGGAGCTCAAGGAACATGCTCGCCGAAGAGGGGCCAAAGCCAATGTAAAAACTTGGGAGATCTTTCTTGATTATTATTTGAGGAATGAAGATTTCAAATCAGCAGTTGATTTTGTTGCCAATGCAATATCTACCGGCAGAGGGGATGGCGAGAAATGGATTCCATCACCAGATATAGTCAAAACGTTGATGCAGAATTTTGAGCTAGAAAAAGATGTGGATGGTGCAGAAGGTTTTCTGGAGATTTTGAAGAAGGTCGTAAATTTCTTGGAAGTCGATGTGTTTGAATCATTGATAAGAACATATGCTGCTGCTGGAAGGACTAGCTCTTCGATGCGTCGCCGATTAAAAATGGAGGAGGTGGAAGTGAGTGACGCCAGCAAGAAGTTGCTTGAGGAGATATGCGTAGACTGAGTTTTTTTTTTTTCCACCTCTCTATTTTTGTCTCTGTTCTCAGAATTAGAACTCCTGTAGAAGTGATTTTGAATAGTCTCTACATGGTCTTCCGTTTTGACAATAGAATGTGCCAGTTTTCTAAGGTGGAAAGATTAATTTTAGCCCTATGAAGAATGCCCCATTGGCTAATAATTTTGTACCATTGAGGTGAAGATGCTTGATCCTCGTTTGCCAAATATCATTTCTACAGGACCTAGATTTGTGTCGTTTATGGCAAGCTATATCGCGGTTCAAGTTGGTCTGCTCATGTTGGTCTAGAATGTCGGAAGTGGAGCACAACTAATCAAAAGAATGCAGTAATACGTGGACCGTGGACGATTAGATACCATTATTGTTCAACTCTTTTATAGTTCTTAGATGTTACCCAAGTTTTGGATTTTCCAATTCATTGTTTATTTACTTCTTGTTTTTCATTTCCGTGCTCAGCAGCTTGTTTGGCGACTTGGTGCTAATTGGAGATAGATTGCTCTGGTATCGTTTGGATTGGAAGAATGGAATGCCTAGTCATAGAACATGTCTCATAATTAGTAGAATTTTGCTGTATTTTATAGGGTTTTTTTTAGTGAAAATTTTATATTGGTACCATGTGTTATAGCATAATTGTCTTTTGGTACCTTGTGTTTTTAATAATTTTAAATTGATATCTTGACGTTTTAAAATATTATTTTTTAGTACTTCAATGTTATTTTTTGAAATGTAAAATGTCAAAATTACCATTCTCATTAATTAACCAAAAAACTAATAATAAATTTAGAAAAATTATGAAAATTTTTTAAACATTTAAAAATTAAAAATAAAAATAATGCTTTAAATTAAAAATAATTTTTTCAGAATTTTTTTCTAAATTTAATAATTTTTGGTAAAGTAATGAGAAGGGAAAATTTGTAATTTTACATCCTAAAAAATGATTTTAAGGTATTAAAAAATAATTTTTTAAAACGTCATGGTGTCAATTTAAAATTACTAAAAACACAAGATACTGAAAAATAATTACGCTATAACACAGGATACCATATGAAATTTTTTTCTTTTTCTTTAATGTAGGAATGAGGGATTTAAAATGGCCCAATATAGGTGTGAAATTACCGTCACTCTAAAGTGTGTTTACAAAACCATAAAGGAATGTAATGGGAAAGGTAATGAGATTAGAAAGTAAAGTAAGAGAATTAAGCGTCATTTATTTTATTTTATGTCCTTACTTGAATACTAGATGGTGTAATAGAAAATAACCTCATTCTCTTTCTTATGTTTACTAAAATTAGGAATAATAATGTTATGAATAGGGGTGTAAATCGGCCGGGTAGGGTAGGGTTGAGCCGAAAAATTGAGCCTACCCGACCAGTGCGGGTTGAGAAAATTTTGAGCCGCGACACTCTCTTAAGTATACAAAGCCGCAACCTTTCGGGTGACCTCGGGTAGGGTCGGGTTACTCGGGTTGGTGATCTCAAGGATCACATGATCACTTTTTAGTCAATTAATCTGTGCTTGTTATAGAAGAAATCATTATCAAACAAAACATGTCTTTCCTTCAAGAGGGGGTCTAAATGCAAGGTGAACAATTAAAACACTCACTTTGAAATCAAACACTTCCAATATAAATAAAGAATGTCCTAATTCAACAACTATGGCATACAAGCATTTTTTACACAAACCGTGAATCCAAAATATAAATAAGTTAACAGTTTAAATGCATAAAGTTCATAAACTTATGAAAGTAAGAATTTGAAGTGTTGGACATTGTTTTACCTACTTTGAACATGTTCGGCCGGGTAGGGTTATCTCGGGTTCATGTAACCCCATCCCGCGCCCCTACCCGCACAGTGCAGGTTAGGCATAATTAAAACTGAAAATTAAATAAAAAATTAGAAACCTGTGATTTTTGAGTAGGGTCGGCTCGGCTCGGCTCAGCCAGGTTCGTCGGGTTCGGGGTGATTTCTTGCAACCCTAGTTATGAATGTAATCATTAAAATTTTTTTTAGCAATTAAATAATTATTGAATGTATAGTAATTAATTAATTAAGAGTAGATAAGTAAATTTAGTATTTATTCCCTTAGACAATGAATCAATATTAAGAGGGTGTAAGGATTAGTATTCCCTTCTTCATTTCCTATATTGTGTGGGGACTACTAAATCTCTATTATTAATTTTGTAAATAAACATATTATTAAATGAGAAAGAAAATCACTTCTTCTCTTTATTCTTTGATGCAAAATAAACATGCCCTGTTGGGTTTTTATTCGAAGGTCGATTAGATTTAAATATAAAAGTGGCATATTCGAATACCGATTATCTAAAAGGGATATTTTCTATAATTCACCGGAAAAAATCGTATTAGACCGTTCACCAAGTACCGTTCTGTCTCCAAATCTTCCACAGCGAAAGTTCCTCGTTCACTCAAAGATATAGCAATTAGCAAGTCCAAGGACGGACAAATTGTCAAAATCGGTCGACAAGTAAAGCGGAAGTGACATCACACATGTTGCTGGGGTCACTATTCTTAATTAAATGATATGAACAGGCAACATTTTGACCTCTAGTTAAAAGTGACAGCAAATTTTAGACTAGTTTTTGAGACTAAAGTTGTCGAACGATGCCTAGAAGTTGTAGAATTGTCCGCAAATTAAAACAAAAATAACAGTTGGCATTGGTTCAAAACACAAGCATGCAAACTTTACCCTCGTCACAGCGAAAGCGAGAAGCTCATAAAGATAAAAATAATAAGATGACGATTGGGTGATGAAGAAACCAAGAAGTCAAAATCAAAATTTTGGCTCAAAAAGCATGCAAAAATCTTACGTTCAAAATTTTTTGCTCTTTTGACTCCTTCTTGTGTTTGGAGCCATTAAAAAAAAAAAAAAAAAAAGTGTAGTCTCAGTTCCTAAGGTTGTCGTCTTGTCTCGAAATTCCTTATTCCCTCGGAAGGAAATCATGCCAACACATAAAGACTAATCACAAGCAAATATTTGGCGTTTCGTAGACCAAACCCAACAAAATCTAGCGTAGATACTGGTACTGAATACTGATGGAGCACAGAGAGCTGTCAGCTAGTTTTGTTTGTCCATATTATGCCACGTGTACAGCTCAAAAGGGCTCGCCACGTAATGCTGTCAGTCATTGTCAGTCACCCACCGGTGACGTTTAGGAGGGTCAATTAAAAGGGCAACGGCAACCACCAACCAACCCGTACCCGGATCCATCTTGATCTTTTTTTTTTTTTCTTTTGGGTCTTGAAAAATCATGTTCACAACTTGAATCTGACCAATGAGAGACGTGATATAAAAAAGAATAGTGAAAATTATGGGGCATTTTTAATAGTTTGTGATGGCATCATCCAGTGGGCGGAGCCAGCCTTTCACTTTAGTGGGAGTGTACATTAAATTTTTTTTAACAAATTATTTTAGTAAAGACATATAAGAAAATATATTTATTTTAGTGAGGGCATATATTATTTCAGTAGGGATTTAAGTGTAAAATTTTAAAATTTTTAAAGGTAATATTTTTAAAAAAAAAAATTTGAGTAGGGGCAATAGCCCCACTGAGCTGTACTTACATCCACCACTGGCATCATGTAACTCAAAATTTAGTCACTAACTAATGTTGTTAAAATTCAGTTAAAAACTAAATTATACTGGCTTACCACATTTTCTTTTTCTTCTTATTCAAGGACCAAAATAAAATCTTTTTTTTTTTGTATTTGTGGTGCATCTCAAAAAATTGACATGTGGAATAGATTCTAGTGAAAGAGAAAGAAAAGAAATAATATGGAATTATTATTGCACTAGTTTGAGTGTTGACTCCTCATACTAAATGAATCACCTCCCATCATTTGAAAAAATAAAAAAAGAAAAAAAAGGAAGAAGAAGAAGAATATTATCCTTAGAATTATTAGCAAGATTTAAAGGTCATACACGTTTATTAGTATCATTAATTTTTAAGACGTGCAATATAAAGGAAATCTTATCGCGGTTGAAGTGGTCATTTGACTAATTAAGTTGTTTGTTTAAGAAAACGAATCTAATTTGTGCATGATAATGTCGACAGCTTTTCCTACTACGTGAAGTTAACTTGCAAAATGAATGATAGCCTTTGAGGAACAAAGTATACTTTATGCAAAAGATTGTTGGCAAACCATATGGATGCATATAATAATTAGCTTGCACGTCTAGACAACTTCATGTGGGAACACAAACCAATGCGCGAGCTAATTAAATGTTATTATTACCCAAGTACTCAGTAGCATTATTTCTTTTTTTTTTTTTCAGGTAATTAAGTTATTTTTTCTTCTACGGTACGTTTTAAGTGGTACACTTATTAGTTATAATTTTCTTCATATTTTATTTTCTGGGAAATGATGGCACCACTAGATTGATTTCAATATTTTCTTCCAAGCCAAGGAAGCTCTCTCTCCCTCTCTCCCAGCTCCTTGATTGTTTCATGCCAAATATATATTTTTTATTTGTATATTCAGTAATTTTTTTTCCAGTAATTGGGACCCGCGTCATCAAAATCATTTATATGGTTATCCATCAAGAGTTTTTTTTTTTTTTTTTTTTTTTTTTTTTTTTTTTTTTTTTTTAAATTTGTTTCCTCCATATATAGAGGGAGTTGAGTGTCTAAATCACTTATAAATGTTTTGGAAAAACGCATATCACAGAAGTTATGACAAAGAAAGAATTGGGAAAATTGTGAATTAATTTGTGAGGTACTAATAATGTTTGTACGTACACTTTTCATTTAATTAATAAGGGTAGGTAATTCATTTATGAGCTATATATATTGCCTAGATATTGGCCATATAATTCCAAGTACATATATATTTTCGGTTTGGTATATAGTTAAGAACTTAATTGATGTTATTGCAAATTTAAACACAATCTTTTAGCATATTGCCAAACGATTAAAAAAGGAGAAACCAAAATCACAAACCGTACTATATTCACTATTTCTTTTTTTCCAAATATACACAATCCCTAAGGGTGATAAAATTAATGGATCACCATGTTAGTTGAGGGAAAAAAAAAAGGAAAAGAAAAATATTGGATTAACAAAGAAAACAAATATAGGAATACCCCAAACTTTCCCATTGATCAAGAGAAGATCAAACCCAATTGACCCAACAATAAAAAAAAAAAAAAAACAAACCCAAATGACCCAAAAAAAAAAAAAAAAAAAAAAAAAAAAACCCATATATGTAAAAATTAAAAAAAATAAAATAAAACCCCACATCTATACCTTCTTTTTTCTTTTCCCCTCCTTAGGGACACCTCACATTTCTTCCGGGCCCACCATAGTAAAAGTAATTACCCCAAACATTATTAATCCCTCCTTGTATGTCGTAGCAATTTGGGTGATCAGCCAAAACTTTAAGGTTTGATAAGGGAACCAAGCTATTATCCCAGTCCACAGTTTGCAAGTTTCTAAAATATGATGCTTTTCCAAACCCTTCTCCGGCGAAATGTCCACTTCCCATTTGTGTTGAAGTGTGGAAACCAGAAGGCCTTGAATTCACAACTTCTCCTCCAAATTGGACCATGCTTGCGTGGTCTCTTAGGTGTGTGAACAAAAATGACGGCCAGTATCCAACTAAAATTCCGGAGCCAAATTCTAGCCACCAATTTCCATGCTTTGGATCCTGCAAAACAATAGTGCAATTTTTGTTTTAATGCTAAAAACTTTAGATCAATTTCTTTTGCCTTAACTCCACATGATACACGCGATAATTAAGCTTTAGCTTAGCTAAGGGTTTATAATAATCATGTCAAAAAGCCAGGGAGGTATAATGGGTAAAGGAGGAGGAAGAGAAAAAAGGAAAGTTGTAATAGCATGACATTTGCTGTAAAGTTGAAATATTACGTTGAGCTTTTTATGGTAGGTTAGCATATTTATGAATGTTAGATCTGCTCAAATCATATTAAAATAAAAATAAGTATATAAACTGACAGAATCTAATACGAATATGGCGATTCAAACAAAATTGTTTTTTTTTTGTTGTTTTTTTTTTTAAATATCCCACTCTAGAATTCTCATACAAGTTGATAGGTACTTTTGTTATTGTGAAAGAAGGAAAATTGAAAAGCAAACATATAGGGTGGAAGAGTAGACGGGAAGTTCTTTTGCTAGGATGAGAAGCGAATCTTGCAGAAGTGAGGAGGGGGGAAAAAAAAAAAAAGGCACGAGAATTACAGTTCAATAATTGTCGGAATCAATTCACCAGTGCATGCGCGCATGTAATATTCCACCATACGGACAAATATAACTTATATATGTATATATATATATATTGTGGTATCTTCCTCGTACGTGTATATATTCATGTAATACATCTTTTCTCCCTCAACGACGTTGTAATGAAATAATCAAGAGCACTTATATAGTGTGTGTGTATATAATCACATGATAATGTATAATTAATAAGAGATATGATGTTTAGTATTTATAATATGTTTTCATATACCCTCCCTTGTAAATTAAGCTATATGATTATGGGCACATTGCATAATAGCTAATTATGTGTCAAAAAAAAAAAAAAAAAAACTAAACTTGGGGGGTACAGAGTAAAGTTTATTTAATTGAAAAGTGAATTTATTAATTAGCCAAAAAAAGAAAAACAAAAAGTTGAAAGTCTATTGTATTTACCTTCCAAACCAATAAGCTAATATCAAATTGTCCGCCACTGTAGGATGAAGTTGGAGAGATTGCAGCTCCAATGGCAATTCTACTATTTGTCTGAACAAATCCTGAACATAGCAAGTTATAGCACCCGGTTGCTTGATATGCGTCCGTCTGTTAATCACCATTTTTTTATTTATTAAAAAAAAGTATTTAATTAATTATTTGCTTAAAGAAAATAACACGAAAATAGTTGAATTATTAAAGGTTTACGTATATTGTATACTTACAGTCCAATAAGTAAAGAATCTAGGATAGTTGTCCCCATATAGCTCTGGGCTAACCTGCAGAAAATTAAATGATGAATTATTAGCAACCATGACTATATTACACAGGAAACGTATAAAAAAAATGAAAATGAAAGGTAGTTGAGCCTTCACAACTGCTTTAAATGTTCATTTCTTTTCCCGTCGAAATAAGTAAAACTCTACTGTAGAAGTCGACTAGAAGTCTAGAACAACTTTAAATGTGAAAACAGGTATTTGGTTTCCAGTGTAATGATAAAAATACTGTGCAATTGTCTAGTATTGCCAGATTGAGTATAAGTTTTGATTTCTGAAATCAGAATGCAGATTCATGGTAGATAAATTGATCCACCGATAACTCTCTTCATTCAAACGCACCACTCATACATATTATAGAATTCTCGGTAAGAAAAAACATAGTATCAATAATGCACAGTTTTGAATGAAAAATAATTTTCATCTTATTTGAAATATTGCTTCCTTGGAAAAAGAAATTAAAATATTTTTAAAGTATGGAACCTTTCTGGTAGGAACTATCATTTTTAACTACGAGTAACAACTGTTTTTTTTTTTTTTTTTTTTTTTTAAATTATTGGACTAAGTTTGTGTCTACGTTAAAAATTTGTAGCACGTGAAAAAAGATTTCTCTAATCCACAGACCTGACTATTGAGAATTTAATTTAACGATTAAAACGCAAGTTCATACTGATAGTTAAACGAGAAGGTCCTAGTGCAAAAATTCCCTAAATGGTATCCAAATATATTGGAAAAAAAAAAAAATTATGTATACCATGTACAACATATTACTAGAATTGAGATAACATGCACTGAATTTGAGGGAAATTAAAGATGAATGAGAAGGAGAGGAATATATAAATACACACCTGCCAACCAGCTTCAATAGTATTAAGGTCATCGCCAAATGAACCAGAGATGACCCACATTTGTGACAAGCTGAACTCGTATTGATTAGAGACCTTTGGCGCCCACACGTTTATGCTGGCTTTTGCTCCGTAATATTGCTCTCCACTCACATACCCAACTGCATGCTGTGTCTCACAATGTTTGAAACTCATTTAATATATGATATGTTTCTTTCATGAGGATTTTTCAGGAATTTCTTAAAACTCGTCTTGGAACAGTCGATACACTATTAATGAATGATGTGTAGCCAGATATGGGATTCCTATAGTTTCTGATATTTCAATTTGGATTCCATGTGTTTGTGAAAATTCTCAGCATGACAAGAAAGTTATTTCATGAAATGAGACTTGTGGGGGGGCCTGGTCTGATAATCTGAAAGGACATTAAAATTATATATATATATATACACACATATATTTCATTCAGATAAGTGTAACTACACCTGCCATGAAAGTTCGTAAATGTTACTAATAAAAGGAATCTCACTGTGTTTGATTCTGTTATTTCGCTTAAATAGGAGAGTGTGGGACATTTTGCTTTGACATGCATATATTCAAAATTATCTAAACAAAATGTTGTCTAAAAAAAGGTATAATTTCATTGAAATTGAACTTTGTGGTTCTTAGCTTATTCAGAAGAACATCTTATGCTTCACTTTCTTATTGTCTCAAGGAAAAAATAAAAATGAAGAATAAGAAGAAGAAGACAAAATAAGCAATAATAATTAACTCTGCCTCACGTTTGAGAAAGAACTAGTACAAACAGAAACAAACTGTTTTCTGTACCTATGTATGTATTCTTCTATTCCTTAAGCATGAATTTATTTGAATAAATAATTATTAGAAAAAAAATTTTAAGTTCTAACCTCATGGCCGTTACTGCTTGAATCCCTCCTAACATGTCTTCTAACTTTTCTTCCAAATCTTCTAACGGAACTAGCTCTTAGCATATCCTTCTCAGTTGTTCTTCTTATTGGCACAGTTCCTTCAGGACATGATTCACCAGACAATCTCCACATCTGAAAATCCACCCCTGAAGGGCTATGTTTGTTGTGCCCTTTTGGTCTCTCTGGTGGATCCTACAAAATTTCAAAAACCTTAAATTTAACTAAATATCTGGATATGAAAACTTGAAACAAGTACGAAATATGCTTTTTTTAAAACGTTATTTGCCCTCTATTGACTGAGATTGCTTGACAATTCCGACAAAACTTACCAATGGCTTTTGTCCCTTCAATAGAGGGTGATCAAAAGCTGGTTGCTTATGAGATAACACACAATCGATAATATCACCATCAGGACTCTGCAAAAGAAAAAACATAGAAATAATTAAACTAATTTTTTTTAAGAAAAAAAAAAACAGAGCAAAAAGACAGAGGAAGTGAGTGTTGGCCAAATTAATGCCTGAATTGTCTTGACAGCGGGCTTGTTGATCTTCTTAAGACACGCTTTTATTATCTTCAACTTTTGCAGTTCCTGGTCTGGTCGGAAAGTCTGATTCTTCGCTTGTCCACCAAGATTGTGGTCGTCGTTTACTTGTGATGAAACGGAAGAAGCGACAAGAAGAAAGAATACAAGAGTTTGGAGAAAGATTTGCGAGATCTTGTAACTGTAACACCAGCTAGAAGCCATGTTTGTTTGCTGTTGTTGTTGGTGGTGGTGTTGTGTACAACATTGGCGTTGTCGTTTTCTTCTTCTTCTACTTCTTGTGTGGTCAGATTCAGAACATGAGAAGCTGCATTTATTCCAATGTTTTGTCCATGGAAACAGAACCAAATCCATATTCCAACACATCATGACCGTTCCAAGCTTAGACTCTCACCATTTCCGAAGCTTAATTTGGAACACCAGAGTGAGTATAAACTTCCTTGATTCCTTCGACCTATTTTTCTCTCTCTATCTCTCTCTCTCCGAGATTTCTAATACCTTGGTTTTATGTTTGACAGCTTGAACTTCTGAGCATGAGGTGATTAAAATAATCACCAATGGGTTGGTTTTTTTTTTTTTTTCCTTTTTTCTTAGAAGTTTTTGTACATGTGGGTGTGGAGCTATAAATGCTCTTGCTGGGTAGTGATGGAAATCATGCTTGAATTTTTTTAATGTGGAAACAAACTATTTAGAGAGAGAGAGAGAGAGAGGGGAGTTGTGTTTCCAGTCTCCAATACAAGGACTGAAAACTTTAGCTTTTTTGTTTAATTTTATAGGGCAAAATGGTACTCATATCTGTTATTCTTTACTTTGGTTATGAGGACACAGAGGAATTACACTTGATTCTGGGTTTCCAAAGTTCTTTTCTTTAGGGGTTCTCTTTCTCACTTCCCTAGATGTTCTTTGTGTCAGCTACTCTGTTTTTATTTTTATTTTTTATTTTTTTACCTTTTCCTTCTAAATTTTACTTCCTAATAAAAAACTAAAACCAACCCACTTTCAATTTCCCACAAATCGTTATCAAAATTTCATGGGGTTTTGGATAATATAACATGGAAAAAGATTGACTGTTGCCAGTAATACAGTAATTAACAATATACATGGGTAAGGAAAATGGGGGACTTCTTCTTCCGGTGGGCCATATTTTGTCGAACATATACTTAAGATCTGTTTAATTCGTTAATTTGAGTTGAGATATGATTTTATGTAATAACTTTTTATTATAATAAAAAAATTAAATGTGACTGCTTCTGAGAATTTTTTACTGTAACAAAACTCGAATTCTAAACTCAAATCGGTAAAATAAATGATTACCGGGACTTTCATCATCTAAGTTACTAACTTTTTTTTATTAGCAAAAAAAAAAAAAAGTTACTAACACCTTTTTAAACTGTCGTTTTCTGGTTAGTAAGCCAAAATTTCTCAATGCAATTGGGATACACCGCAGTGGTGGCTTGGCGCTGTTTGGCACGCGCACCTGGTTATGTTCACAAGCTGCATGCTTATGCACACACCCATGCATATTTTCTCATGCGCATTATGGGGCTCAATCTTGATTTTGTTCTTCATAATCTACGTGATCAACATGCTTTCAAAGAAAAAAAATAGCTACCATAAACATTATATTTATTTATACATAATATTTATGCATATAATAGTAATAGAATAGTATATATGCATGCATTTTTGTATTTAATTTGTTGAGTTTGCAAGTATTTTTATCATGTCTATTTTGTTTCCTTTTTTTCATATACTTTTTTTTTTGTTTTAATAAATTGAGTGAGGTCTGAATTAGTGTGTGATGCCGGTTACACTCTTTTTTATTAAAAAAAACAAAAATACCACTCAAAATAGTAAAAAATAATATTTATGTCACTACACTAAAAAATAAATAATTGTCATTCAACTAATAAAAAGAAAATAAAACATCACACTAGCACCCCACTATTTAGAATGACATAAATAGTAGACCTCAACAAATCTATTGCAAACCATGTAATTTCTCTTTTTATTTTGCAAAACAAAAACCTATGCCATGCATATTGCATATGTTGATTTATTGAATTTTTTTCCTATTATTTCTTTTCTGATTATGGAATACTTGTTGATGAATTTCAAAAGGATATGCATTAATTTTATCATCCAAAAACGAGTTATTATTACTGCCATGAAACTGAAAGACATGTGAGAGAAACAATAACAACAATGACTTGACAACTTCCACTGCTGATATTCATCAGAATGAGATACACTCTGAGAGGCATAACTGCGTGATAACAAATACATGGGAAAATGAATTGTCCATTTATATTACCTTTTTTTTTCAAAAATAAAAATATTGAAGGGGGTATGTGATTAATTAAATAAAAATTAGAGTACATTAATCACATAATTAATGCCCCTAAGACTCTGTTTGGTTGGAGAGATGGAGAGAGTTGGAAGGATGAGGAGTAGGAAGAATGGAGAAGATTATTGTAATTCTTTGTGTTGTTTGGTTGGATGGAGAGAGAGTTGAAAGAATGGATACTAATTATTTGTTTAGTTACTATATTATCCATTTTACTATTTTTTAATAATTTATTTTGAAGTGTGACAAAGTATTTTTCATTTAAATTTAGGTGGATTGGTTAGATCCTTCCATTGATTGAAAAAAAATAAAATGGTGAGCCTGAAGGGAGACTCTCTCCCTCCTTATCTCCTCTCTCTCCTTTCTACTAAACAAGGAATTCACGCTCTCCCTCCACCACTCTCCCTCCATCCATCTCTCCTTCGTACCAAACATACCCTAAACGACGTCTGTTTAATAATATGAACTTTATTTTAAATGGTATTTTGATTGCATCAACATAAGTGCTTTTCCCATAATTCCCTAAGCTAGTTTTCTTTTTAGGTCTCTGGTAATGATGCTTGCACCGTGTGATCTGCAGCTCCTTTTATATCCTATTACGTCAATTTAAAATCTAAGGGGTTGTTCTTTTACAACAAAACTCGGAAAATATTTAAACTCAAGTTACAATTTTATTTAAGTTCACGTTCTTTTAAGTTCCAACTTTATTCAACTTTACTCAACTTTATTCAAGTTACAACTTCAACTCAAGTTATAACTCAAAAACTACACTCAAGTTACACTCCAAAAGAACAAGCCCTAAATCTCTCTCTACTCGTTATGGAAAGTACTGTACCTACCCACCACTGGCGCCACCTAAAAAAATAGTAAGCATCTAGGAAAAACATTGGCCCCACATGGTGTAATTAATCTCATTTTAAACCGAGTGGATATATTGTAGGATGCACAAAATAATTAAGGTTAAATTAAACCCTCCTAGCTAAGTTAGCTCACGGTACAAATTTAATATTTTACCACAAGATCGTGTTCATATGTAGACTTGAATCTGCTTAAATATTGTAGAGCAATGTACGCTAAGAAAATGCCGGAGCACTTTCCAACTTAGAGAAATTTGAGAATTTCAAAGTGAACCCCAGACGAACTCTTTATTCATATCATGCGTTTTTATATTGAGTCATTGACTGTAACCATACGATTTATAAAATCCGCCTGATATGAATCGCGCAACTACGGTCAATAATTCCTTAAATGAGGTTATACTCCTTACCGTAAAATTTCCCAAAAATAATATTCATATAATCTAATATATGATCCTCTCTATGGCTGAAAAGATAAGTCGATTTATCAATAAACTGTTAGGAAAGGGACTCCCCACCACTGTGCTAGTAATTGTTAGTTAGAAACATTAATGGCTAGATAGTACGTAGTACTACTCCCCTAATTGCTTGGGAGAAAATATAGTCTCGATCGAAAGAGAAATATTTCCCAATAATAGAAGATCATCATCATCTTTTTTTTTTTTTTGATAAAGTGCCATCAAATTTGTTGGTTTCTAAATCAGCCACAATTATCACGTAAAATTGTGGGAAAAAATTTTGACATATAAATTTAAATTCGATAAGATTACTTTATGATAAGTGATCAATACTCTACACAAAATTTAGAAGTGTTGGAATTTATGTTGGACTCTAGTGATCAAGACCAATTTAGGTAGATGCTTGTTAATATAGGGTTTAGATTTTTTTTTTTTTTTTTTTGTAGAATATTGATAATGCAGTGTTAGAACATGTCGTCAATCCATTGAATTGAGAATAATGCATCAAGTCAATACGAATTTTCAAACTTTATACATGGTAAAATTCTTTTCGAACTTAAAGCTGATGGTTGAAAGGCTGCTAAAGCAATATATGTAGTTGCTTTTAAAGGGGGACAAAGGAAAAAACAATTGAAAAGAAAAAGGTATTGGGTTTCATCATTAGGTTGATACATTATTAGTTTGATAGGAATACAAGAAGGAAAAAAGAAAAAGAACACACACATAAAACTCATATAGCTATATATATATATATATATATAAGTAATCAAATTATCAGGTCATGCGTGTGTTCTTAAGCATGCATGCATGTGTTTTGTTGTCTAGTAACTACTATATGTGTATGTACTATGTAATATATAAGTAGAATTTACTAATGATATAGTAAAAAAAAAAAAAGGAATTGGGACGAAACGCACATGAATTACACACACATATTATCTATATGTGTGCATGAAGGATTGATATATTTTGCATGGAAGCGTGATTTTCAATTAATGGTAGTGATTAATTAAATGCAATATATATATATATATCATGGTTTGCATGTAATCCAAGTTAACCTTTTTTTTTTTACTGAAAGCAATAGCCTGCTTTAATCGGAAAATATATGGCTTTTAACAGCTTTGGAATTTAATATAATTTATAGAAGTACAGTTGGTGTGTAGACAAAATAATGAGTTGATGTTGAAATTTGTCCAACATCTCACAAAAAGCATCGTTTTATTTTATATGGCGAAATATTCTTTGGTTGGTTAAGAAACCGAAAAGCATATTTATTTTTAAGCGTGAAACAGATCTTCATATGATTTCCTTTTGGGGGTTATTAAGGTGAGTGAGAATATATGTGAAGGAACCATGCATGTGATTTTGTCGATAATTATAAAATTCAGTGTTTCCCTGTTCATCATCTTGACAGAAGGAAGGCTGAAATTATTACTGTGTAAACCCTTAATTAAAAACGATATAACAACAACAACAAGCCTTAATCCCAATTTAATTGGGGTCGGCTATATGGATTTCACTTTTCCACACAGCTATGTTTGAAATTAAACTTTCCTGAAGGCATAGATCTAGAAGGTCTTTCCTAACGACTTTGGTCCACGTAATTCTTGGTCTACTCCTCCTTCTCCTAGTAGTAGGTGTAAGAATGTCCTCACAAGCACGAACTGGTGCTTCTAACGGCCTATGTTGGACATGTCCGTACCACCTCAAGCGGCCTTCGCGCACCTTATCTTCTATTGGTGCTACAGCTACTTTACTACGAATAACTTCATTTCTTATGCGATCCATTCTCGTATGGCCACTCATCCATCTTAACATACGCATTTCTGTCACACTCATCTTAGATATATGTTGTCTCTTAATGGCCAAACATTCACTACTATATAACATAGCTGGGTGGATTACAGTTTTATAGAATTTTCCTTTTAACTTAATAGGCATCTTACCATCACATAAAACTCTCGTAGCATTCTTCCACTTAACCCACCCTGTCTTAATCCTATGTTGAATATCCTCTTCTATATCTCCTTCATACTGCACTATAGACCCAAGGTACCTAAACTTTCTAGAAGCCCCAAT